AACATGGTTTTTAAGGGAGTGCATTTGCTACATGACAAAATGATATTCTCCAACCAACTAGCCCTCTAGATATTCCAATAATTTCCTTTTAAACCCTCTTGCAGTATTTCTCTTTAATGATATTTGATAAATTGTTAAAGTCTCGTAGTCCCTTGTAGTATAAGTTTTTCACACAGACACCGGTGTAAGGAATGCAATCCCGATCTCGCGAGATCTCCTGTAATGTTTCGGGATCAATTCCGAAGCATAATTTGACGAGATCCCGTTCGAGATTGACGGGAATACCCACTGCTACCCAAACTAATACCTACTTCACTTCAAGAGGAATAAGAAGAAACTCTGCGAGCGTCTAAAAGTTCATTTACACGTGTACCCAGATCCACAAGCTTTGATAAATTAGAAAAAACGAAAAATACTAATATTATTGTGAAAAAAGCGTATGCTTTTTTGTATACTACAAAACCGTGTTTTTCAGTCTTTCACCTACCAAGCCCAAGGAAGGCAGCAGGCACGCAAATAAGGGTTACAAATAAGGCGGCAGGCGCGCATGTTAATAAAAAAAAGTTCTTTTTTCAAATGAATAAATACATGAAAAGTGAGTTCGAATTATATCAAGGAGGTTAAGTACAACGCCGTCTGCCCACGAATAGATCAAGCAATGTCGGTATATCAAGGTTACATACAGCGCCATCTGTCCGCGAATAGATCAAACAATACGTGAAGCTAATAAAAGCGTGTTAATTTAAAAAACGAAGAAAACTTTTATAACAACCTAGTACGACGAAAGATTTCGTTGACATCCCCTTCAAATAAAAATAAAAGTCGACAAACCTTCCAAACCGATGGCAAAAGGTAAAACCGTGACAATCATCCACGGTTGCATGTGGTAAATCATGTCGACGGGGTTGGTCATTCCCATTTTGGACTTCTGCAGCAACAACTGGACGCAAGTCCATCGGATACCACTGGATATTGAAGCCAGCAGCAGAAGCATGAAACCGAGGAAGTTGAACTGCGTTGACTTGTACGTGAACAAGATGAGTCCGGTAGTGATCATGAATACGATTCCGCTCAGACTCCATGACTAAGAGAAGAATATTAATGAGCGTTTGAAAAGCAGGGTGATTCTAAAAACTACTCGTAAGATGTGCGTAAATGAAAAATTTAGATTCTGTTCATTTTTTAGGGTGGTGTTCATGTAGGTAAACATTTTATGATATTGAAGTACAGTAGAGCTCCAATCATCTGAACTCCAACTATCCAATAATTTTATATTCAGATTTTTCAGGTAATATTACATGTGATGTGACAAGTAATAATCTAATTCCCAATTTCCACATTAGAAAACAGATTCAGAGGAGCTGAAATTGAATTCTATTCGGTCAATTCAGTAAATTATCAGAATTCTCAAATCCAATAATTTCTCAGCATTCCAAAAAGTTTCAAACATTTCTCTGCGAAATAAATACTTCCTATTCATGGTTGAACTCATCTCCCTCTGTCACAAGATGGTCTGCAACATTCAAGAAACTACTATGTTAGTTCATTCTTTGGGAGAATCTCCTCCCTGTTTGGCCAATATAAAGTTTTGGGCAAGAACCACAAATCAACTTAAACACTGCTATTTTATTTGACATCGAAATCACGATATTTGTATATCCACACTAAGATGGGTCCTAAATGATTTGAGTTCTACTGTAATAGAAAAATATATAAAATTTATAAATAAAAATATTAGGTCGGCATTTGCCCTCGAAGTATACTTGCTAATAGTTATTAGACTTGAAAATTTCTCATAGAAAAAGTATTTCTAAGTCACATATCTGAACAAAGCACTTACCTTTTTCTCTAATTTGAACAGAATTGAGAAAAATAAAATGAACACGATGGTAGTTGATTTGGTCATTGTATACCTGAAAAATTAATATACCAATAATAGGAGTGGAAAAGAATTATACAATTTGGGTGTGACAAATATTATAAACGATATACAAAAATACAAACTCAAGACTTTGTAAGCATCTTTAGTTCTCGATTCAAAATGGTCGTAAAGAATTTTACGTTAGATCTATCTTGAGAATGTTTATACTCAGTAAATCGAACATAAAAGTACAAGTACAATACAAACTTGAAAAATATTATAGAAAAACTACACTAATGTGAAATTTCCTCTTCTGATAGCATCTTTAGGCCTCACAAAACCATCTCAACAAAGTATGTGTCATGCTTTTATAGCAATTTGAATCCTAATGACTGTAACTAAAAAACTATGTCAATGCTCTTTCATTCTTTTAGAAAAAGTTCTTCGGGTTTGTCCAATATAAAATTTTGGACAACAACCACAAGTCAACTTGTATACTCTTGATTTATACGACACTGGAGTTATAGTTAGATCATATTTAGTAGGTATCATTCTGAAACTGGGTAGACCTGATTCAGAGCTTGTTTCTGCAATTTTTTAGGAATAATTAAGTCAAAAATATCCACCTTGTAACCGTTGTTGACAGCAATACGTTTTATGAAAATCTGTTGTCTTTGATCAAAGAGAACAGCAGTATTGTGAAGCCTGGAGATGCTACTGTATAGCAAAACACTTGTCACGGGTTTGTAAAGTGTTTTTTTAGAATATGTCACAAACTTGAAGTTTCTATTTTTTCATGATTTGCAGTTTTGTCTAATGAATCATTCAAAAAATGCCAACACTACTTACAAAGAGACATTAATAAGTTCCAATCCCCAATTTGAAAAACCGATGTCGATACCACTGAAAACACCAGTAGGGCCTACAGAAACCACGTAATCCCTCCATCCTATCAAGTTCCTTGGTTTACCTTGTCTCTTAATCAGAATTATTCGAATCAATGATGCTAGAATAAACTTCACGGTCATGTGTATCAGGACTGTTATCAACGGAAATCGAAAGCTCTGAAAAATGTTGAAATCATTTAGTTGACAAGGACAAAATGTAAAATAAACATAATAATAAGTAAAGGCATCTCAATAGACTTTTCCAATGAAAGTGAATGATAACTATGTGAGAATCTGCCAAAGAAAAGGAGAAAGTGCAATTGAAATAAACTATTTGAAACGATGTGTAGATATGCAAAGAAGTAACTTTCAGACACAAACTGTTGGATTCAAGGTTCACATATGTGAAAGTACTTGTTCTAGATGGATTTTTCCTTTCACACTTGTCTTTATCTCCTTATCAGCACCAAGTAAGTTCAAAGTTACTATCTTTGAAAGTAGTTGTTTTAGATGGATTATTTCTTTCAGTTTGGAGATGCAGATAGTCGAGTGTATCAGATTTTGTGTACATGTCTTCATGGAGCTTACCTGGTACAACCATCTTTGGTAAAAGGTAAGACCGATGGATGGGATGAAATAGGTTCCAATTAAAACACATGTGAATAAAGATGACCAAACACATGCTGGGGAGCAGAATTTTCGTTTCATCGATTCCAATTCAACTGTTTCCGGTTCATCGTTATCATTTACAGCTACGTATTTCGGCTTTTTATCAGATTTAAACATATTGTAGGTATGTTTTCAATAATGCATTCTATTAACTACGGGAACATCTTGGCTAAGCAATTATTTATGCTTATTGTTTTTCATTTACTTGGTGTTCCATGTAAATTATCGGAATGGGACCTGGTATTTCCAATTTTCATATATTTTCATATTTTCTAATCATTCTGACAATGACACTGACATTGGTGAAAATTAAAAATGAAACATGACGTTTGACGGTTCAACATAGCCATATTTTCTTGTTAGAACGATTTTGAAATCATTTTACTCATGCTTCAGTATACAACGTCATTAAACATCGCTTTAGTAGAATCATCTCCAATCATCATAGACTAATATTCATTATTTTCGCTCAACTGATGACGGCAGCGCCTTTCTTTGAAACATCCATGGTTTTGAAGTTATTTTAATATTTGATACGGATGACGTCACCGAAAAAATCCTTTAGAAGAAAAAATGTAGGGAAGAGAAATGAATTAGGATTGTTCATGTCGACAATACTTTCATATTATAATTTAAAAAGCATTTTTTGTTAAAATACATATTAGTTGTAGAAATCAATACAAAATGTCACTTTTTCCTAGAGTTTCGCACTTTGCCGTTTTAGGACAATGGTCCCCTCCGATACCGGCGGTTGACATAAAAATGACAGCATTTTCTTCATTACTTATGATTCTATAACAATTTGAGACATCCTAATAATTATTGAATTGTTACATACACATAACTGCCGTTCAAATATCTGTCATTTCTTCATATATAGCTCTGAATGCTCCACAATATAATCTTCACTCATTCATTTCTTCTACATTTCACTTATTATATGGTTGTGGCAGTTTTTTTTTGTAAAAATGTCATTTTCTATGTTGATAACAGAACTGTCGTTTATTGAAAATTTATTATGAAAAATCAGTGCGAGCAGTAACAATCCTTATTAGCAAATTGAAACTCAATAAGATTGCCACTGTACATTCTTTCGCACGCTACTGAAGTTTCAATAAAACCCCGAATCCAACAATTTGTTACTTCATCAGCTGAGTTCTGTTATGAATAATCAACTCCTCAGTTATTTGATATCTCTCTCTATGATAATGGCTTTTGCTACCATTGAGGTGCATTAAGCCAACAGTCATTTGATCATTCCACTGTATTTCATAATGGACAGTTGATAAAACAAACGTTTCTTGGGTTGGTTAACCATAGCAGCAGAGGTCACTGGGAAGAAGAATATACTTATGGTCATTGGCGTAGCCTAAAGATTTTGTTAAGGAACTAATTCCAAAACAAGTATTGAAACAATACCACAGATTAAGTACACAATACCATAAACTAAATTATAAAGTACTCAGTGAAGATATTTTATTTTTCTAAGATAAAGTACTTAATTTTCATAGAAGTCTGAATTTCATATAATAAAGTACTGTATATTTTTATAATTCTATTCCTTATTAGGTTTCCGAAAATATTTGTAGAACGTTTGTTCTAGAGATGAGTAGAATTGTAAGATAGACAGAGGACGGTAGCCGGTTGGTTTGAGCGAGTGGAACTGTGGTTTGAGCCTAACGACCGATTTCCACTGTGTTTCGTCCAATCCGAGTTGAGAATCGCACGTTATAAAGTAAAACCTTGTCACTGTTTTTCGGGTTTGAAGGCCGTCAATTCTTGAAATGTCTTCTAATTAATTTTGAAGGAAACTGATGTAAAGGGGTCTAGAAACCTGAAGATATTTCAGTGAAAACTAGGTAGAGAGCTTAGACATATCTTCTAATTCTTTCAATAATTTGATTGCAAGATGAAAAACTGCCCAACAACTCTAAAATCAAATATGAAAGTCTGTTTTTGTTTAGGCAAAGTATTTTTTATTCATATTAAGCAAGCTACTATACCTGCTGCTATTCTCTCATCAGCCTCAGGATATTTCTGAAGGGAAAATTTACCTTCTACTGAAACGATATTCATAACACTGAAAAAGACTGCCAACCTTTGTCAAAGAAGAACCTCGCATCAATTTTCCATAAAATCGATGATAATCTTTCAAGTAATTCCCACTTTCCAAATTATGATACATATGGTGCTAGTCTCATAAGACCTGCATAGTTCCAGCTACAGAAATCTTCAAAAAAACTTCTTCATGTCGAGCTTTACAATATATAGCCAACTGTGGTAAGAACAATTCCTATACATGTGCAAAAGTATAGAAAAATCTTACTGATGAATGTTTTTACAGTATAAAAAGTATATGGCTATATTTCTATGATAATTCCTGAATTCACTTTTAAATAGAAACTTTGTCTGGATAATTTATTGTATTCATTTCAGTTTTATACTTTTCACCAATATGTTGTTGAATTTTACTATCTATTTGAAAAAACAGTTATGAATCATAGGCTAGTATAGTTTTATGACATCTTTCATTAAAAAACATTCTATATTATGTACAAAAAGGGTATTTAAAGATGGGTGTCTACTTAATCTGGATTTATGCAAGCACCCCAGCTTCTCTCAAAATTAAAATTACCTCTCTTTGTTAACAGAATAAAACCACTCTTGTTCAAACTTGGGAAAGGAGGTTGCATGAATCCAGATTCTCTGTAAACTCTTTGGAAAAACCTTTTTTTGAATTTCTACGTCTTCCTCAATGTATAAATAGGAAACTCAGAAAAAAAAACAAATGTCAATAAACTCTTCTAGAGAAAAAATGATGGGCAGATAGATGTTTCTCTCAAACATAAACTAAAAAAAAAAAAGATGTCACTGTCAATTTTGACTACTTGGTGGCAATTTTGACCACACCCTGTCAATCTTGACAACTGCCTTTCAATTTTGACATTTTCTGTCAATCTTGACAATTCCCTGCCAATTTTGACCCTTCTCTGTCAAGCAGTAAAATTCTGAATAGTCTAAACGATGATTCATTCAAGTCATGCATGCTTTGTGCACATTTAATGAACATAAATCTATTTCACACCTGACAAATTAAAATTTAATAATTAGACGACATTTATTTTATGTTGTGTATCTTTTGTACTTGAAAGAAACATCTACATTGGTAAATATTCCGGTTTTAACAGGTTGTGCTATTATTTGAATAAAAATCATTTTGTTAGACCTACCTATTATTGTCTCCTGATCACGAATAAAGAGTCAAAATTTGGCACTTTGGTCTACTTTTGGATATATGGCCACTCAAAAAGTTTTAATTTTCAAAAAATCAACTAGTAATAAAATCTTGTAAAGCATATCAACACAAAATTCCCATTCCTTATATTTTCAATAGCCATATGAAATTTGACAGCACTGCATTTAATTCCAGTTTAATTTGACAAAACTGTCAACAAAACCAACAAAAAATCCAAGCACTTAGCAAGGAACAACTATGAATTATTAATCAGCAAGAAATAACTAGCACAAAAGATATTATTCATATATTGATAGGGGTAAATTTTAAGATTAATTTTTCAAAAAAAAGGGTTTTGGCTTTCTACTTCACCATCTTCATACAAAAGAAAGGAAAAAAGCCATCAATTTCATAAATTATCTCTATATAAAGTCAAAAAGTTGACTCTATATAGAGTTGATCAACTTTATATAAAGTTAATTCTGAAATTGATTGAAATTTCAAAAATTTGACTATATATAGAGTCAAAAAATTGACTCTATATAGAGTTGATCAACTCTATATAGTTAATTTTGAAATTGATTGAAATTTCAAAAAATTGACTGTGCATAGAGTCAAAAAAATTAACTATATAAAGTTGATCAAGTCTATATGGAGTTAATGTCGAAATTTCAAAAAATAGACTCTATATAGAGTTAATTTTGGAATTGAATGAGAGTTGATCAACTCTATATAGAGTTAAATGAATGATTTTTTGTATCAAGATAGAGTAGTAGAAAGCCTAAACCGTTCTTTCCCATGGCATTCATGTTTTCCTAATTAAAAATCACAATGGAGTAAAAGCAAGCAGTTGAGTCTTTAGATTTTATTTGAAGAAGAGAAATATGTGATATCAACTGGTGTATGTGTATTTGATAAAAACACCTCAGAGAATTTCTACAATCTGATATAACCAAAATGAATAATGTCCTAGAAGTCACCAAATATATTACATATTTTTGTCATCGTCAATCTTCATCATCAATTAGAAAAAATTGCAGAAGCAGATAAGGGAAACTAATAATCCGAAAATGTTCAGGTTACATTATACCTCATTATTTCTGTCTGTGAATTCCAAGAATTTTGAAGTGTTTGAGGTATTCAATGACAGCATTCAATTATTTCAAAATATTGATTTGTTTCATAAGGATTGAAAAAATGCCCTGCACTTTTTTAATTATACCATTAATTGATCTTTAGTGATTAGTGATTGAAAGTGCGAGTCATAAACATTTGAACTAGTATCATCGGCAAAAAAAGAAAATGATACAATGGGAAAGTTGCACTTAATATCATTGACATAGATGAGAAATGAGGTAGGGCTGTGGAACCCCTTTCACATCTGCTTTGCCTGATTAATGATTCGTTTTAAGCTTATTTTGAATGAGTTTGGATCAGTTGTGAACCATGTCAATAATTGATTATTCGCAATATATCTGAAAGAAACTCGGCTATCCTTGCCAAGTTAAACTTCAGATTTGTGACCAGCAGACAAAAATACACACGCCCAATGAAACATTTTTTAAAACCTAGCAGGGGCTGTTAAAACCAATATTCACCTGTTAATACTTTCCTAAATAGTTTCTCGGACACTTGTCGATTTCTTTTTCCAAATTTTTGGACGTTTCCTATTCTTTAAACATTGTCAGAGAGGCAGAAATCCAAAATCAGTGTCTTCACAATTCCAAAGTCGGTCTCAAACTCGTCATTACGTTGCTCGGTTATGTCTATTTCTGTGCTGCCCTGATCTCGAGCCCCGGGATCGTTTCTGATTGTCCGAAGGGGGGCCATTTCCACTCTGTCGAGAAGTACTGTTCGCAGTTGTCTTCGCAGGCCCTGCGATGTTGTTGTGCTGCATCGGAGGTGGAGCAGTAACAGGAGGCTGCGGAGGACCGACCCTACCCGCCCCGTTGTTGGTTCCATTATTCAGGGGCAGGTTGTTGGGGGGGCCGCAGACGGGAGGTATTTGAGGTAAGACCGGTCCGGGTTCGCTCATGTTGAGCTGTTCATTGAACACCATGCAGAATTCGCCTATTTTCTGGATGTCGCCCCCTTTGGAGGTGTACAGGGTGAGGCAGTTTCTCCACAACGATACGTAGCCTTTGGTCAATCGGACTATGTCGCCAGGGATCAGCAAGAGGCCTGCCTCGTCCCAAATACTGGCGTTTATACACGCACTTTGGTCGGCCACTTTGAATGTTCGAACTTCGCGGTTCTCTTTCGTCACTGTGGGGTGACCGACTTCCAAAACTATGAACACTGCATTAACGTTTTTCAGTCCTGGACGCATGTCCTTTATTTGGATATAGTTATTGTCCATCATGAAGACTGGAACACTGAAACAAATCGATTAGGAAGTCAGTAAATCATCATATTTTCAGAAACCAATACAAAGCTTTTTGAAGAGCCTTCTTGTCAACCTAAAGATATCTTTAATTAATCAAATGAAAGGAATGTTGGAACACAAAACGCAGAATAATAAACAATTATTCCGTGGTGGGAGTTTCGTCCGTTAAGTTGGCGAAGCTGGTGCTTTAGATGACGCTTGACAGTTAAATATAATTTGTTTGCAGAAGCGACACTTTAGGGTATTTTTCAAAGAGCACGAATGTGCGAAAAGAAACGTTTGGATGAGTCGGAATTGCTCGAATTTTTCGAGTGATCCGATTTAAAAAACAATAAACACTACATGTTAACGTCTTTCAGTCCCGGAATCATGTCCTTCATTTGGACGTAGTTAGAAATAATGGCGGCACATCAATATTACGACAGATGAGTGTCCTTTCTGTAAAGTATTCTTAGTCAGAACGCAGAACAGTAAAATTCTAGAGAGGGTTTTTCTATCCTTGTTTTTACCAGAATATATTCGAAGTTAGGTCCTAGGCCATATTTAGATCAAAACTAGTCGGGTATTTTCGTGACTACTCGATTTTATTCTGTCGGATCGTTATTTCAATATAAACGTTCTTAGTTTGTGTCGACTAATGAGATGTTTCATGGTAAAAATGGTAAACGGTAAAAATTTGCGAAATACTGTATTAATATCCGATGACTATATCGCAGCAGAAAATGTTAACAAAACAATGAAACATAGAATGAAAAAATGTCACCGCAAGTTATAAGAAAAACAACAATCTTGTATAGATGTAAAAGTAAATAAATATACAAAATATTCATTTCAAAAACTGTCAGTGAAGTACTCCCCAATATTTTAAGTTTCCATATGTTGGAGTATTTTTATCATTTTCCTTTTGAATTTATTGATGCTCACCAATCTTTGGTTGGTAGGTCGGTAGTCAGCCGGTTCGGCGTGGGTGCTTCGTTCACTCACTTGAATTGACTGCCTTGTTGGTCGGTGGTTCAAGCCCTAGTCTGAACGATTGATTTTCTCTTGCTATCGTCCAACCCGTATTAGGAGTCACACGTTGAAAGGTAATACCTCGTTAATCCTTAGCTCGCACAAGTTTCGACTTTTGAGAGTTGTCGTTCGTAGGGGTGCGAGAGCTGGTTAACAAAAAAAAACCAGAATATTTCCTACAAATCATTAGGTAATTCATTGAAGAATTGTATGCACGTGTAGTTTTTATTTCTAGTTGTAGTTCCATACCTATTTGTGAAAAAGTAATTTACAATAAAATTCGATTCGTTATTGAAGAAAAACATTGACCATTCATACTGTATAAATGGTCTTTAGATCCGTCGATCGGAAGATACTTCTGCATGATTGCCTATTTTTAATATTCAGGATTATTCTAACCATCTTTCCCTGAATAATGAATTAATCTTTCATACCAGAACTGCTTTTCCAAAACATGTGTTCATGTTTTGCAAATACTTCAAATTTTGCACGATACATAGTTTCATTAAATTAAAATGCAAAAATCTATCAAGAATTATCATGGCAAACACGATTGAATTGCCACAAAAACCAAGGCATAATCAGAGGGAGAAAATCAGTGAAATCTGTCATTTCAAAGTGTCCGAAATGTCGCAGATTCAACTCCAGATGTATTGAGGTTCCACCTATAGTACTCCTAGAAAATCGTGTGCGAGAAGCCAAAGTTTTTGAAGTCATCGGTGTAGATTCAGCTGGTCCACTTTACATTCGACCTGGAGAGAAGGCTTGGAATTGCCTATATACATGTGCCATTCATAAAGCTGTTCATTTAAAACTTCTCTCATCACTGTCTACAGATATTTTCTTACAATAATTCAGAAGATTTATGGCAGAAGAGGAAAACCATCTATTGTATACAGCGACAATGGCCCAAATTTTGTTGGTGCTGAAAATGCCTTTTCATAATTGGAATGGAAAATGATAACCGCTTACAGTACCACCGAGAGGATAACGTGGAAATTTAATCCTCCAACAGCTGCCTGATGGGGTGGTTGGTGGGAGAGGTCAATCGGAATTATGAAGGATCTACTGAGAAAAGTTTCGGGAAAAGCGAGTCTGACATACGAGGAGTTATTCACGAAGATAGCAAAGATCTTGTTCCTTTGACTCCTGCTATGTTCCTCAAGGATATTTCAGAGCGCGGAGTTCCGGATTTGGACGCCGTGGAAAGTTCAGATCTGAGAAAACATCTAAGATACAGGATGAAGCTGAAAGGTGATCTTCGTGGGAGATTTAGAGAGGAATATCTCGGTCTGCTGATACCTGGGAAGGATAATAAAACACGTCTGGTCAAACTGAAGACAACGAAGGGAATAGTACTCAGGCCTCTACGAGTATATCCTTCAGATATGAATTGTGTTGATGATTTGGACTTAACTCAGATATCAGACCGAGCAGTTTCTACAAGAGAGACCAGAAGTAAAGAAACTAAAGAAACACAAGAAAATGACAACGGGTGTTTCTGAACCACTTCCGATAACTACTAAATATGGTAGAAATTTGAGCAATTTGAGTTGTAGCAATTTGAGATGTTGGTGAACAAAGTTCCACAACTCAAGGTGGGAATATGTCGCATTTGCTGTCATTGATAAATGATTGATAAGTCAATTGTATTGAACTTACTTCTGAATATATTTGAGTTTGTTGAGTACTTTAATAGTTTTCGATCCATATTTCGTCCTACATTCGACGTATTCAGTCACCGGGTAGGCGAATTTCGAATACTTAACATCTACATTTTTCTTCACTTTTTGATACACCGTAAATGAGTACGTTCAGTGAGATCTGTAGTCCTCAGTTTCAAAATTTATGAAATAGTCAAGCCATATGTAGATGGTAGATATGCTCCCATACTAAAAGCGTTTCACGCTATTGGTGGGCAACACATAAAATGTAAAGATTAGAGTTAAACTGAATCCTCTCTCGTAGAATGCACTGCTTGGTTCCACGGATTCAATTAACGTCATCTTGAAATTGTCCTCTCAACCTTCAACGAGATTCTAACTTCTTAAAGCAGGCCATCTGCGATGTGGGTGAGGCTGTCGCTGCAAGGTTAATCCAAAGCATAATTGATTATTAGTGGCTAGACTCTGTCTACGAGAAGGATAAGTTTCAAGAATAAAAATATAGTTTGAGATCTTTCATGTTTTATTTCGGATGATGAAGTTAGTTCAGTAAAATGGAATACAAAAAAAACTAATGGAAAGAAACCGAGAAAACCAATGTACCATTTTGTAATCGAAGTAAATATGTTCAAGTCGAGTCCCGTAGAAACAAAAGTTTTATCGCCATTTTTCAAATAGTTATTCAATTGTTGACTAACAAATTTTTTCCCAATCTCCGTTGGCATAAATAATGGGATAAAAGGTATGAATGATTGGCCTATAAATTTTAAACTTCTTGGAGCCCTTTTGATATATATATACTTCATACGATCCTGCGATAAAAGTTCATAAAAATTTAATAATTTGTTAATTATGATTTTTTCTAACTATCGCAAAATGAAATATCTATGCTATGTCTGTTTTTACATTAAACAATGGCAGTTACTAAACATTGGATATGGGTTTTTTACGTAATTTGTTCATCAAATTGTTTTAAACAAATTCCCATTATTTATGCCAACAGAGATTGGGAAAAAATTTGTTAGTTAACAATTGAATAACTTTTTGAAAAATGCTGATAGAACTTTTTTTCTACGGGACTCGATTCAATCAAGTGTTAAGAAGATATTATAACTTTTTCAAATTTTTAAAATGACATTTTATGTTATAAAAAAATTATTTCTTTTGATAAACTCTCTTTAGCGGCAGCGGGCGCATGCCGTAACAGCCGTGCGAAACCCTATTTTCAACGTCAAATTAAAATTATAAATAATGGAGATAGAGATTCGGGAGTCGGGACTTTTTATCGGAAATTTCCTCCTCTTTAACAAGCTTTTTTCGAAATTGCTTAAATATTAATATTTTTTGAGTTATTAACGAAAAAATAAATACAATTTTATTATCTTATTTTGTTAACAACAATTGCAATTTTTACCTGCACCAAAATCCTGCAAAAACATTTTTCTAGAGGTGATTCCGGATCGAATGAGCTATCGATCATATTTTTAAGACCTTTATCTCTTTTTTTCATATTTTTGAACTTGTTGATTAGACTAGTGTGAAAGTAAACAAACTCTACATGCAGTGAATCGACACTATCCTCACCTGTGTTCAACGTCCCAGTGCTCCCCTCCTAACGCCGACCAATTTTCGAACGCTATAGAAAGTCTAAGCTTACATCATAATCTTTATATAATTCGCGTAGAGGAAAGGATGCCATGCCCCAAGCTCGCCATCGTTAGATAGTTGGTATTTCGTGTTAGTGTTAGTAGTATCTAGTGACCTTAGCTCTTTAGCATTGAACAAGCGCCCGCGTAACCCAATTATTTCAGTGTTGACCCAACTGTCGCTAAAATTAGAGTTGGCGCCGATCGTTTCCCGTGTTTATTCCCAAAGTTTGATCGGTGAATCGAGGAAGTGTGATGAGTAAAGGGAGTTATTCCACGCCGCCCCCGTACGGGCCGCCCCCAGCTGCTCCTCCCAGCTACGCACAGGCTGTTGGGGGTGTCCCTCCTTCCAGCCCTTATGTCCCGAACCATTCCTGTGAGTATTGTTTACATTTAGATGGGGTGAGGTGAGGTTTGAAGTTCAATTAGGATGGACTCGTGCAACAGCTTTAAGTCATAAACGTCGCAAGTTTGAACAAAGCTGGATCATTAATACTCAGTGGCAACAATCATGCACAAGCACAGATGTTATAAATGTGTGTGAATTTTTTGTTCGCTTTTTGAAAACAACTCTTGCAAAAAATAAGTTATTTGCACGAAATTCGGTACACGGGGAAATCATAATTTCGTATTAATTTTCATGTAACATCTAGAGGGCGTTGCGTACGCTGTCATTATTTATTTCAAATTGCAACTTTTTTGACAGTAAACTTTTGGTACTTTTCATGAAAAAACCTAATTTCCACACCTTTTCCGATTAAAAAAGGTACACTTCCTCAAGAACGCTGGAGGTGATCGTTTTCGAGATATTTACAATTTTCTATATCGATGCATATTACTTAGCTCCTAGCGCTAAGTGAAGTTGCTGAGAACATTACAAAAACTAAGTATGTGGTGGATCTCGTCAACATAAACAACTTTTTCCGATAAAATGTTTAACGAAGAATGATTCGTTTTCGAAATACAGATTGTTGAAATTTTTCAAAACATGGTAGGTTTTTGTCATACGTTTTTTGCAATTTTCACGCAGTATACTTATACGCAGTATACCCGTACAGACTTCTTCTAAACTGAGCATTATCGAATTGCTTATTCAATCCAAATTAAGAAAATTTGTCAGGTTTAATTATTCAATTAGAAAGTGCTACATTTCGGAGTTTTTGAAATAAACAATTCGGGGAAGTACTATGTTATTTATTAGGAAAATAAACATATAAAAATTGAACGAAACAACTATTACAACAACTATTCAAAGTGACTACCCCCAACAGTAATACAACCTTCTGCTTTCCTCATCAAAGAATTCCGTACCCGTTGAAAAATGCCCGATGTGTTTCTTATCGTTTCGCAGCGAGCTATGATGCGATCACTCAACATTTCCTCGTTTTCAATGGGGCTAGCATAAACTAGTGATTTTAGGTGTCCCCAAAAGATAAAAATGAAGGGATTGAGGTCCGCTGACTTCGGGGGTCAATGCTCAGTGACTCCTCTTCCTATCCATCGTTGGGGATATTCTACGTCTGAAAAAGTTCTTGCTATCACACGAAAATGAGCAGAAGCTCCATCGTGCATAAACCAAGAGTGATTTGGGAGACCAATGGGAATATCTTCCATAAGTTGGGGAAGCTCGTGTTCCAAAAAATGTAGGTAAGCATCTCTATTCAAACGTAAGGGGAGAAAATAGGGCCCAATTAAATAATCTCCAATTATGCCTACCCATACATTAAAAGAGAATCTGTCTTGGAAATGAGTTTGCGTTATCGCAAGTGGGTTATCTTCCGCCCAGATGTGGTTGTTATGGAATTTCATGAAAAATTTGCCTCATCTGTGAAGAGGATTTTCGATAAAATTTGCGGATGTTGTTCGACTTTTCTTTAAAGCCATCGAGCAAATTCGATACGTGGTCAGAAATCATGTAGCGTAAGTGCCTGGACACGCTGAATATGATAAGGATATAATTGCTGTTCCTTTAAAATTCTGTAAACTGTCATGTGACTCACATTTGAAGTTTGACTAATTTTTCTTGTACTTGTCTCTGGATGTTCACTAATTTCTTCGAGAACCGCCTTCTCCAATTCTACAGTTCTAGTAGTTCGTGGCCGTCCTGCTGCAGAATTTGTTTCAAAGCTTCCAGATTCGGAAAGTCGCCGGAAAAGATTCGCAAATGTCGCTGCACAAGGAGTCACGCGTTGGGGATACCTTTCCTGATAGATGCGTCTGGCCTCTCTAGAATTTCCGTCAGCCAAGCCGTATGCAAAAACCATATCAGCCATAACAGCATTCGGGCATGGTACCAAAAAATCACTTTATAGACTCCGAACTGTGAATTTGTCAATTAATAGTTAAAAATGTGACAGCGAACTTTTATTTTTATAAACAAACTTTCATAGCCTACTCGATTTAATTAACTTAACTTGCAAGCGGAGAGTGACAAAAATTATTGAAATCAAATTTGGCTTTGAAGTAATATGCATCAATATAGAAAATTGTAAATATCTCAAAAACGATCACCTCCAGCGTTGTTGAGGTGGTGTACCTTTTTTACTTGGAAAAAGTGTGGGATTTAGGTTTTTTCATGACAAGTATGAAAAGTTTACTGTCAAAAAAGTTAGGGAAATTTGAAATAAATAATGACAGCGTACGCAGCGTCCTCTAAATGTTACATGAAAATTAATACTAAGTTATGATTTCCCACGTCAAAAAAACTCCGGGTACCAAATTTTGTGCAAATAACTTATTTTTTGCAAGAGTTATTTTCAAAAAGCGAACAGAAAAATTAAATTTCAACACCCCATATCTCCGAAACGAAGCATTTTCGGACACAAGTTCATATAGACTTTTTTTCCTAAAATTGTCTCAGGAATACGTCACTTGAATTAACGTACTTATATGTAAAACCTTGTATAATTAATTACAATATCTCTGCACGCACGATTTGAAACTTGCAACATTTAAATTGAGACTGAATCCATCCTTTTAGATGATGTTTTGTTGTTGTTTTTTAGACTTGCTTGATTGAGGAAAAACCTACAGCGACGATAACTTTTGCAGGAAAAGTGAAATTCTTGCACGTTGTAAAATTTGCTTTATATGAAAATGTTATTATAGTAGTACCTAGCAGTAGTAATTTATTGATGCAACAGACACTACAGTGTATAGCTTAAGTCATGAAAGAAGTTGCAACATGGTTAAACACGCAGAGTTTCTCTTAGTAAAATACATGAATGAAATATGACATATGAGTCAAAAAAAACACAAACCCTTAAGAAAATCGTACAGCTAAAGCTGTTGCCATTTCTAAAACGTATATTACATAAACGCATATACAGTGCATATCTTTAATGTCCCCCCTTATTATTTTCTGAACGGGTCAACATCTACACAGTCATCTTTTTACGGAACATTGATGTTCATACGTAGAAATGTAATAGAATTTAGAATTAAACATTCATGGTTTTACACACACTTAACAAAAGAATTTTGCAACAAGCAGTAAAGTCAGAAACCAAATAAAAAAATGTTGCAGAAGAAAATTTTTTATTTTTTTCTTGAATAAAAGTGAATAAAGGGTATTTATTTCTGTTGGTGACATATTATAGAGATAGTAGTCCAAATAAATATTCTGGGATTGTGGTAACCTAATGAAGTTTGCTTGTTTTGTATTGTTGCCATGTATTTGAGATTGTCTATTCAACCTACTCATTTGTAGCGGTAGTATGCATCGGCTAAAAATGAGTTCTCATTGACAATAGTCGGGGTCATAAATATAGTCAAAAAGGGTCAACCACTGGGTCCCGAATTCCTTGTCTTATCCATAAAAGTGTTAACAATGAGTATCTACTCGAAACATCTTAAGTGGTGTCTATCGTTCTAAATATTAATCTGCTTTTCAGCAATAAACTTTCGTTCGAAAATGATTAGTGAAAATTAAAATGAAATAATTAACATAACAACCCAAGCAGATGGACATTTTGGACGACTGTTCGATAACACAGTTATAATAATAATATGGCATCTAATGACATCTTACATCCCCCCCCCCATTTAAATCCGCCTCTTGTTGTATGTTTTCGAATATTCTTCAACAATGTTTTCTCGTAATAAAGTTAGATTGAACACAGTAGTGTATATGTTACCATCAACTGTTATTTTTTAAGTATGTTCTATCGACAATTACCTACCTAAAAATAACAATTATTTCATTGACTCATATTGGTATCATTGAGGTCGAAGCTCAATGCTTTTTGCCTTAACGTTTTGGAGAAATTTATCTCATTATCGTTTGTTTCGTTTATTTATACTTTACAGTCAAAACAACATTCGAGTTTTTGCGAATCAGCTTAGTTGATTTCTGTTGTATTAATTTTATTGTGAGCTGAATTATATATTTCCAAAAACGAGTGTACAATGTGGTAACAATAATGAATCTGCCTGGTTTTGTTGCAATAAATGTAGGTGAAGCTTGCTAAAATTCACTCATAAACGCAATCCTAGTTGAAAAACAAACTAACAAATAAATCTGTTAAAATATCACTATTACTATCCTTGAACCAGTGAAATGGGATATTCGAATATGATTGTAACTAAGAATTGAAACTTTTTCTAAATGCTTTTACAGAAATTTGCTGCTTTATTTTGATATTATGATTATGACAGTGACTAGAACTTAACGCTACTCAAATGAATGTGTAAATAATATAAAATTCGCCAATACAATGCACATATAAAAGAGACCGACTTGAAAATTGAATTGCCAAACTTTAATAATAAATATGTCCTCACGAAAATGAGAAAGAAATTCTTCAACTTAAACCACCTTGAATGCCAATAATTTATATGTGATATCCAGAAATTTATTAGTAGTTCAAATGAAAAGTATACGCGACGTATTGGTGATATATTATATGGACCGGAAAGTTCGTAGGCTGACACACATATGGCAATAGTAGTGTTGAATCCATAATTATGATTATTTGTTAACCCCATCCTTCAACAGACACGTGTACAAATTTAACAGCTGACGGACTATTAGTTTGTGGGATAGAAGATTTTGAGTGGGGCCACATTTGTTAGTTTGAAGAAAATGGAAAAATAGAAATTTCGTGTGTTAATAGAGCATTGCTTTTAGGTGAAAAAAATACTGTTGAAGCCAAGGCCAAGTGGTTGGCTAAGTTTAAACGAGGCGAAATGATTTCTTACAGTAGCAGCAACCTTAGATTTTAGACATTTCTTATATATTAGCCACGTTTTCAAGAATAACAACAATTTAGTGTAGCGACTTTCTTCAGACTTCTACCTGTATTCTTTCTATGCTAAATAGTGACTGTATCTAAGCAACAAAATGTTTCTCTTTGAAATCAACAGTTACAAACTGATGTTTTTTTATAGAATCTTCATTGAGGGGTAAAAGTTTTCATACTCTTGGAGTTTTACCGTAGCGAATATTTATGCCTGTTGTGATAATCATGAGAACTTCAATGATGAATCAAATGACATGTATACATTCTCTTTTATCGGTATTTACGTCGATGTTAGCTATAAACTTTCTCTCATGAAGAGTTACAACTTTCTATAATTATAACCACCGGAAAGTAAATTTTGGGTGTAATAATATATGATGCCGTAATTTAATATCCCATTCAAGGATATAAATTATTTATATTGAGAATATTCATTGCAATATTCTTTGTGAAGAGTTCATTTTGAACTTGTTTACTTTCTTCATTCCTTTGAAAGTTTCCCTAATTTTTTATACAAAGATGGAAATGTAGAAAGCCAAATAGCTCTTCTCCTAAAAAACTAACCTCGCCTAAAAATATATCTCTTTCAGTTCATTCTTGATTGGAATTGATAAGACATCCAAACGGTTCGTGTATTAAGGAAAATATCATTACCACTAATAACTTAACAAAATAGAAGAACGAAATATAATTATTAAAGATCTTTATATCAGTTACATTGTAACAATTATTGCTACACTTTGATATATATTGAGAGCCCAGACTTTTAGTGTAGACCAAATTGATTATTTCTCAAAATTTTTCTTTTCAGTCATTACCAAAGGCCCTGAAATAGTCACCACTGTCGTACCAGTCGGCCCAAACCCAACGCATATGATATGTCCTCACTGCCACGCTGAAATCGACACAACGACAAAGTCAAGGCCGGGATTGATAGCTTATATTTCCAGTGGAATCCTTTGTATAGTCGGGTAAGTTAGCTACATACAAACATGACTTTACGTCGTCAAATGGTTCATTGCAAACGTCAAGCTCCGAGTTCTCTAAAAATAATACTACTGATGAGACGTTGATAGGTCGAAACACCGCTGTCTGATGAATCACGTATCTGGTATCTGGTTTCATCTAGGTTGCCTTGCACTGAAAGCTTTCCTGAGCTTTACCGAAATCATAAAGCATACACCCAAATAAAAACCTCATGAACCTTATAAACCAGAGCCCTTAACTAAGCATGTCATCAACTCGTTTTAAATTCTGAAATTTAACAGATATCAACAAAACCCTGTTTTGTGGCTCGAGTACCCCCATGAAGTTGAATTCAATAATGTCGAAATTTCAACAGATATTCAAGCATTGCAATTTGAACGAAGAATCTATAACAGTGTTCAAAAGGGCCTGCTGCCCAAACCCAACACCTCGACACTTGTTTCGGTCACCAAGTGACAATATTTTTTTATTAGCCCAAAACTTCAGGTTTCCAACTTCAAAACTGACGAATTTTAAAACAATCTTTGAACCCCTATTTTCCCCCTTAGGGTTGGAATGATGCTTACTTACGCTATACAAAGAACCTACCTGCATATTTCAAGATTCTAGGTTCAGTAGTTTCGGCTGTACGTTAATATAAGAGTGGGTAAGAGCTAGTAATTTATATTTTTACTTCGTCCAAATTACTTGGTGCAAAAGATAAAGTTTATCTATATTAAATACTTAAAACGACAATAGGGAATGTTCCTCCTGACGAAAATCAAGTAGTTTTCATAATAGAGCTCTAAAACAACGCATTTTAAATTTATCATTTCAACCTTTTTTTTTTCAATATTTAAAGAAGAGGAATGAAATAATGCATTCAACATTCAAGGGGATTCGTTTCTATTTCACCATTTGGCAACATCGGTTACAGCTCATAAAGGACAATGAATCTGTTACCTGCATGAGACAAACAAAGATGACATATTTCAGAGGCGTGCTGTTTGTTTACTTTTGTTCCGAGTTCCGAGACATTCTGTGACATATGACTTTTTGTGCACCTAACCTATCTTCCTCTATATGAATAAATAACAAAACAACTGTAGTTTATGTGGCTTATGGAGGTGGTATTGAACTATAATTTATATTTTGCCTCAATTGTTGATTTATAAAGATAATTTTCCTTTTTTAAAGTAGAATTATCTAGGTACGTATACATTATTTTAACTTGGCGCTGTTGCCAATATGTGAATTAAAAACAAATCCCTTTAAAAATTAAAACCCAACATTTAAAACATCAATTTGAATACTTTTTGAAGTGAATTTGACAAACTCATGAAAACTTTATTTTGTTCAAGCTTGCATTTGCTATAATAACCCAAATTGAAGAACATTTCTCATTGTATCAATTTTTATAAGAATTTGATAGATATTCTTTGCAATTTTACATAGTACGGATTGAGGGGTAAACAATAAATGGATATTAAAAAACAGTAATTATAATTTGTTGTGAACAATAAACGAATATATTCAATTTAGGTTCTTGTAAATATAGTCAAAGTACTTGGTGAAGGAATTAATTCAGGTAAACCGTGTATTCTAAGAGCGAAATTCTGAGAAAAAAGAAACAAAAATTGTATTGTGAATAATAAATTAGTTTTGAAAAGCCTTTAAATATTATTACAAATGAATTGTACGATGAATAATTGCTTTATTGGAATTTAACAAAAAATAAATAGTAATTGCACAAGAAATTAGTCAGAATCTCAATCACTCTTGTCCTCTTCAGTTTCGGAAGTAGAATCTTCACCTAAATTTATAATCGGATGTTCCGTAACTTCGTCAATGGAAGGTTCTGCTTCAAAGAATTTTTCTTCCCACTTTTTTGCGTGATCACAGAGTTTTTTCCACTCTTCAGCACTGAATTCGTCAAAAAAAGTTGCCCATAAATGTTGGACATGCCTAACATGAAAAGACAATTTTGGACAGTGATTTTTTGACTATTGTTTCCTCAATTTCACCAACTGTGGAGTAAATGCAGGTGAGAGATATATATATACTTGAAACACAATAATAAAAACAGAGCATTCAAAGCCACTTTGGGATATGAATTGCGATAATCAGTTTAATTTTAGAACTGAAGCTTTGCAGTGATGAAAATTTAGACCCGAAAAATATTTTTGTTGTTCTCATACTTTCAATGAATTATGAACATGAGTAACTATAGAATCTATTAATTGAACTGACTCTGTAAAACTTTATCATACACAGAAATAATCGCAATTCAAGTCACTACATAACAGGTTATACGTGAAGCTTCTAGAAAAACTTATGAAAATGAGAGTTTGCTAATTTCATTTTATGACAAAGTTTTGAACCGTACATAATAAAAAACGAGTGTATTGATAATACAAATATAAAAACCGTTATGTCCACTACGGATAATAATTAATAATATACATTTCACATCCAAAGTAATAATAATAATAATAATATGATTTTATTTCCTTGAGACAGTACAGGCTGTATGGAAAAAATCAAACTAGTTTGGCCTAGGATGAACTGGTTGGGCCTTATATGATTAGGTACACTTCAGGATAAACTAGTTTGGCCTAGTCTATTCTATGCTAACAGGGAATAATAAAATACCAGAAATACGAGTAATAAAATCAAGATGTATTTATTAATTAGATCAAAATCAAATTCACTTATTTTTGCATGGTGTACTCTAAAGGCATTTAGAATTGCAGAGCACCATTTTTTTCTTGCATTTGCAACTGTTTGCCAAACATTTTTTTACGCAGCTGCACCTTACGAACTCTTGCCCTGAACCAACTGAATGTTTAGTGGCTGCAGTCCTCAGAGATATTTCAGTATCTTGGTCAACATCACCTACGTTTAAAAATTTCTGAATGCAAATATCGAATTCAGTTCTGAAAGAAAAAAACAAATCAAAACTAATATTTTTCAATCACCAGAAAAATATGGTAATGTCGACATTGAAGTATAAGTCTATTCAAAATAAGTATTATTAAAATGGGCTTTAAAAATACAATGAGCAAAAAATCTGTACCTGCAATATAATTTCTGCAATACACCATGTTTCGTGTATTGCAGAAATTGCATCATAGGAAAACCAAATGAGATATATTCACAGGTTCTTTGCGGGATATGAAATCTAAGGCATTTTGTTTTATCAATATTCAGAAAAAGACGATTTGCCGAGAACCAATTATCAACTGCGGATAAACTTTCCTCACAGTTTTCCGTTATAGAACTTTCTCGGGTATTGGAAATTATAAGTGAGGTGTCATCTGCGTGCATAGTGAAGGATGCTGGCATAGGGAGCGTATCAATAACGTTGATGTAAAGTCGTGGTACTAAGTCTGTATGTCCACTTCATCTAATAGTAACATGGTTCCAAATTCCATACCGATTAATAATTCCAATTTTTATCACGTATATCTTGAACAAAATTGTGTATTGTTCCTCCTCTGATGAACAGATCAAAACATTCGATTATCTCAACTAAGGTGTTGATATCCTCCATGCCCAGGAGAAATATGGGATGGCTGTAAATAACTGGCCAAAAATCATACATGACATTTGTAGATTATCGGTCGAGTAATCCAGAGCCGCAATTTTTACAAATGGGCTATTCCGATCCTGTTCATCATAACTCGTCGCGGACACATTCAGTTTAGGTATACCAGAGGTTGATGACTTTTACAAATATGGCCAAACAACAGATAGAAATAACTGAGCAACCATACTATTTTGGAATATTGTAAGGCTTTTCAACATTTCCAATCCTACACACTCCAATCAGGTAAATCTGACTCATTGAAACGATTACTGAATTACTTTCGGGACCACCAGAAAGTCAATGTAGAGGGTTAGCATGGTATATGTAATGTCGAAAGATTTGTTGTAGAAAAGTGTCACATTAACAACATTTAAAATCGATATTTCACTAATCTAGTTATCAGATTCGTCGATGGTTAGTATTTGCACGATGCATCATTCGTGGAATGTCTGTCTTCCATTATTGCTACGAAGGTTAACGTCAAATAACCTTGTTTGAATAATTTGTTGATTTCTTTACTATAATCAAGATCCAGAGGATTGTCTCCATGTAATAGCAGTTCAAAACAATTAAGTCTTTGACTCTCCATGGATTGCGAATTAGGAAACGTACCTGTTGTTCATCGGAAGAGTTATTAGATCTACAGGAATTGAAACAGTTTTTTTGTCTTCTTTCGTTTGCATCTTATATATTTTTCTTTGTAAAACCCCAAAATTCTAGGTTTTCATAAACGTTTTCACCATTTCATGAAGGGGTTCATCTCTCTCATTGAGCCTTGTCTCATCCCTTGACAACTTTATACAATCTCATTTTGAAGACCCATATTTGCAGAACAATGGAAAATAGCTGATGTTTATCCCGTATACAAGTCCAAGACAAGAGACGATAATGAAAATTGCTGACTCATCTCAGTTTTTAGGACTTTTCGTGATAATTTTATACAACCGTATCTACGTCAAATGTCATTTCAAATCACCAACATGGTTTCATGAATCCCAGATCTACTTTTAATAATTTAGCGATATTCTGTCGATTCTTATGTGATAACAGGTGTATACTATTTCTCGAAGACATTTGAAAAGAGTAACTATACGAAAAAGCTACTGTGATATTTTTGAAAATAAAGTTTATGAAAATCGAATCGTTTCTCGTGTAATTTGTGAAATTATATAACCTTAGGTCTTTATAAGAAGCTGTTCTGTTCTTCAGTATGTTTTCTTCAAATTTGGATATCTGCAATAGCTTTTGAGATACTCTCGAAAAAACGAACGTCTCTTTTATTACTTTTAAGCTATTTGTTAGCGCAACTTGCCTCAAAGCGTGTGAAATTACGAATCAAATCTGTAGGTATGATAATTTTCTGGCGAACTCGATTTTTGCTGAATGGCATTATAAAAAAAAATCAAATCAGAATGTGATATGTGGAAACAGCAACATACGCGGAACTGTTTATGTATTCGTTAAAACTCGTAACTGAATGTTACAAACACATTTTTATTTACATCTATTAGTCATACACGTGGTTTGTCGTCAACAAATCTATTTTAATCTATTGAATACTCCAAAGGTTGATATGGAATTGAATAAAACATATTATGATTTCCCGAAGTTTCTCATTTGCAATTCAAAAATTAATGAGACATTTTCGATATTTTGATAGTGTTTTATCTTGAATAAATTTCATACAAATCTATGAGAATAGAACAGTGTATATAATTGTAGGAGAACAAAGAGTTAATTTTAAGATCCATGAGATGTTTCTCCATATAAAGCCAGTTGGAGTATGGATAACAGTTTCACTGTAATTTTTATGTTTTTTTCTCAATTTCACTATCCTCTGAAACTACACTGGTTTTTATTTCCTATATACCTATATAATTACAAATAGGTGGGAGCAATGAGCTGTGATGTCACCAGATATATCAAACGCCGAACCAACTAGGAATTGCCATCAGTTTCAGTTTCTGTATGAACGTGTGGAAGTTCAATTTTTTTGTAACTCTTAACGAAAATATAAAATTTAACCAAGCCTGGCAAATACCTAGAGAATCCTTTTTAGTCCCCTAAATGAACTTTCTCTTGCTGCGAAGATCATTTTAATGAAAACATATCACATTCATTTGAAAACAAAAATGAGATGAACTCTCTCCTTTTTTTTTCGTTGAAGTATTGAGGATCTCAAACTATAAATGCGCTTTATAACAGAACGAACGTGTTTTAGACACTGTACCAACAATCGCACATATCCCGTGACGTCACGCTAGCTTTCAACAAGAAACACAGCAATTTAAAGCCGCGTACTTTGATACCGGTGATTGCTTCCGATTTTAAATGTTTGCCAGTGTGTTCTAGAGGACAAACGCTGTCAAACCATATAAAAAAATGCACAAAATTGTATAAGTATTGACATTCTACGAGAAAAACAAATTAAATGTAATGATAATTATATGTCGAGTGTTTATAGTCACGTAGGAGGTTTGAAACAGGAATTTAAAATCAGGCGAATGATTGGAGGTATAACTATTCATAACACGAAACCTACTCCTTGTTGGTTGTTTGGACAAATTAATGTAGCTGTGAATGATAAAGTTATTGTTTTTTATGCAAAACTGCAATGATAGAAATAACAAAGCAATAATAGAGACAAGTTCAGTTCAGTTTTTTGGTAAACACTGAAACAGATTGATCTTGCAGTATTTATTCGTTATTCTTTTTCGTAAGTCTTTTCGGTGAAATAAGAACGTCCACTGCAAGTGGCCGTGGATGGATATCTTTTGGATACATTTACCATCAATGCTGGTGTAAATAATTGACTACATTTTAGTCATATAGTCATTTTGTACACCATAATCCCTTCGAGTCCATCTTTCAATGCAACTCTTTACAGTTTACTGCAAACTTTTAGAAGTCTTATAGAATGACATAACATGAACGAAAATTCCATTCAGATTTCGCTATCCTCTAAAAAGTTTTTGGGCTAATATATCTCCAGTATACTCAAGTACCTAACAAATATTCTCCATTTAATCACAAGTCGCCACATTTGAACTATAGCAAACCAGACAAAGGACATATTGTGTTTCATAATTTTCAGATCGTCTTCTGGATATTGGTTCCAGAGAACTGAGCGTTCTCAACTAGCGACGTCTTTGTTACCAGACATTAAATAATTTATTCTTTTACAGATGCTTCCTAGGTTGCTGCCTCATCCCTTGCTGTATAGAAAAATGCATGGACGTCTCCCACACCTGCCCAAACTGTGATGCGTACCTTGGAACGTACAAGAGATAGACCCCATCGAAATTGTTGAATTGTGCACAATCAATATTTGTGAAAAGCATTTTGTTTATTTATGAATCTCCTTAGAATATACAATAAATATGTGTTATCTTGGAAAGAATTGTAATTAAGTTCAAATATAGCGATGATAAGACGCAATTATTGTTTCTGAAGATATATTTTGTAATGTTTATTAATACATCAGTATGAAATGTAATAAATCAAACCACTTGACTTTACTGTAAGCGTTAACTATTGAAGTATTTATAACCAATGTTACGAGTATTTCTATTTGTAATGAACGTAAATGCCGGCGAAATCCTTCATTATCATGGATAAGGTACGTTATGAACGTTACTACTTCCAAGCTGTTCAGCGTGACCACATTTTATTTGAGAAATCTACCTATCTGTGCTACAGTGTCATCGAAAACCTATTGAAATCTATTGCAATGTATTTGAAGTGGTGTACTCTTTGATTTGAAGAAACCAACATAGTGAAAATTTGAATTTTTAACCACTAGGTGGCGCTTGCAGACATTTGAAAAGCATCACTGAATCTAGAGGGCCTTGGCCTTCTTACGGCCAATGAGCCTGGTCTAATACTTGAAATAGCAAGTATATTTCTAGTTGGTTATTTTGAACACTGGGACTATTTCAAGTATTGGATTTCAAGATTCAAAAACAAAAATGTTTCCATGTTCGAAATGAAACTTTCAATTCTTTGAAAGTCTGAAAAAGAAAAGTGAAATGAGGTTACCTTCTTCTTCCTTTATTTGGAGGTCGGAGATATACAGAAGCAATCGGAAAATGGATGTTTTATGATCTGTTTCCATTTTGTGTTCTGTGTATTGAAGCGGACAGAATCTAGAAATAATGAATTCATATCATTTGCTGTAGATGTCGCCACACACATTGAAATGAAAATTCTATCGCCAAGGCATCTTATCCAAATCGACCATCTATTCATCTACTGCATTTTTCAATTTACGTTGAAAATCTACCGAAAAAGTAGAAATCTTCCGCATATGGTCACCCTGAGCCGTATCCACAAATTCAACTTTTATCCACCCTTTCTTTGGGAACCATCTCTGACTTTGATTCTTCAAGTTAGACTATGAATAGGTACAATTTTTCTGTGCTACGGCATAGTAATTTTAATTTCGTAGGTCTTTTAGAAGTCGTTCGAAAAAAAGTGTAACAGATGATGTCGAAAAAAAGGAACATTTGACATAAAATTGTAACTTTTGAAAGAGTCCTACACAAATTGCAGCATTTCGCGTTGAGAATTTGGCAACATTAAATGATACATCATCAAAAACTTCGAATTGACGTAGAAAAAATGACTGAAGACGGCTAAAAATGCCCTTCACATCCGTGGGTTCTGATATGTTAACTGTCAGTGCTCATACGTCAACTGTCAGCTTTGATACGTCAACTATAAGTTCTGGTGCGTCAGTTGAATTATTTTCAAACTGTAACAAAATTAGTGAACGTCAAAAAGTTACTTTTTGATACTAAATCAACGCCAAGAACAACACTGCTGTTCATAATACAGCTGCAGCCCACTACTGCTAATCACTTCCATATCTTTTTGGGAGAAAAAGCCTGCTAGTTGGCTATTGTTGATCTTTGATGGGTAAGATGGCGAGCTAGCATGGCGGCATATCGCCAAAAGTCTAATGGTTTAAAGCAGAGGGCACCACTTTATTTTCTATAATTTCCGCCTAAAAATGGCCTGCATAAACTAAATAGAGTTGTATGATGAAAGATTGTGTATTATATAACATAGTACATATTATAATAATATGATTTACAGGGAAAATGATTATTTGCTTACAGGGTACAAATAAATTTGACATTTTAACTATGAGTTTTATTCAATATCAACAACTGAACACTGTAGTGTTTTACTTTCGGTGATATTGAAACAGAATGTTTTACAATATGACTGTGGTTATTCAAATCATGGATGTGCACATCCCAAAATTTAGGATTTCTCAATTTATCCGTATACTAATATTGGGATAACCGCATACGTGCAAGCTACATGTAAATACTCAGTACTTCGTTTTAGATTTTTTGAGCTTTGCAACACCGTAAAACTCATTCATATTGTATCTAATTTTCTTCTTCTTCAGGTATTCTCGTTCTTTTTCCTGTATTGTTGTTCTGAATGCATGCGACATTGCCATTTCTTATTACAAACGAATATTTTATTCTATTTGAAATTTTGTTGAAGAGATATTTGATTTAGTTGTGCTACTTGAATTGTCATTTTTGAAACTTCATAATCTCTGGATTTCTGGCAAAACTATTTTGAATAAATTATCATCAGTAAAGGAAAGCAATGAATGACCTTGTAGATTGAAACGACATTAATCAGAGTGGAATTCATTAGAAAACAAATTAAGGTCATTTTGTTGGTTTGTTCCTCAAAAGTTTCATCATTCATGAGAAAAACTATGTCCCACTTGTTTTCCTCATTTTGGATAACAATTGCGTCCAGAAGTTTGATATGTATATCGTTACTTGATAACTGATCACAAAACCTTTCTTTTCCAAACATTAATCAGTTATACGATAATATGTTTTGAATAATTAACATATAAACAATTTATAACAATCATTCTAACCCTTCCTCATGCTAATTCGAGTTGCAGAACTCGAATACAATTTATTTACGTAGGATAATACTTACGGATACTAAATAAACCGGCCCACCTGTATGATACAGGTAGGGTGGTATTCGTCCCAGTGTATACAGGTAGAAGGTCTCAAATTTAAGGGCTGCCTTTCCTCAAACGTATATACTGTCAGTACAATTGACTACCGTGTCACTAGTCCAGTTTTGAAGCTGAAGTGGATCTAAAGTGCAACTTGTGGTCTTTTACTGTTTAAGTGAAAATGATTCCGGAATATCGTCGTCGAATCTTACAAGAGCCCTACGGAATACCCCCTAGATACACCGAGGCGGTTTGGGGGTACTTAATTATGCCAGATGATTCCCGTAAGTATTTATCCTTTGTATCCTGAAGAATAATAATGACTTTAGTTTCCAAATTATTCATAATATACATTCACTTTGCAACAAACTCCATAAACGAGCGAGGTGTTAACCCATTAAGACCATTAAGGCTGTGCCTAGGAACATTTACCAAATTTTTGTATCAATCTCAAGCAAATTTGTTTTTTGTTAGAAGGCGGTGTTGGTCGTAAAGTGAGTTTTGGAAGACATTCTATACGTACTATATTATCAATAACATAATACCTAGTTAATAAAAAATAACCTCAAGTGATATAAATAAATTTGAATCTGGACTTCACATGACCCAAGAAAAAGTTATTCTGTAGCAGAAATCTGCTTATGTGGTTTTGAAATTTTCGAAAACTATCTCAGAGATTCGTCTTGCTTCCCTTATTTTTTGCTAACAGTAGATCTTACAAATAATAATAATCCTCATTGCTATAGTGTGTACAGTCTTCTTTCGGATTTGAAGGCCGTCTACCATGAAAACTCGTTCTAGAGATATATGTAGGTCATACAAAGAAGTTTCAGGTTCAAACTAGAAACAAACCCTTTTGGAACACTATTTCCACATGAACATTGAATTTCAGTTTGTACTACGAACATTCGCTAAGAAATTGAAACATATATTCATAGGAATACTATACAAAGTGATACTTCGAAGAGTGTTGATATAAAATTTCCCGTGTTTGCAAATGCTAATCTAATTGGAACTTGCAGACGTTCAAAATAAATTGGCACATCTGTAGGTAGTGATCTATTTTCACCTCAGAACACGGCATTCGAAATGCTGGGTTTGATAACGAGTTTCATTGATTTTTTAACGACAAATTGCGTGGCGCTGCACAGCCGTGATGAATTCAAGTGTGAAAATTTGTGTATATAATTTTTTTTCAATTCGAATGACATTTTCTTTTTTTCACAATGTTTGTTTATATTTTAACCCCAAATTCCAGTCCAAATCTCTGTAGATATTGAGCGACCAGACTTGATTAATTAATTCTCGATATTTCTATTTGCAGTCACTGAAGTACCACTCGGACCCCGCTCAACGCATATGATATGTCCTCACTGCCATGTTGAAATCGACACAATGAATTATACAGTGTCAAAAGAGTCGAAACAGGGATTGTTTTACTATGTTTCCACTATGATCATCCTTCTAGTCGGGTAAGTTAGCTAAATGTACTGTCGTATATTGTCAACATCGACCGCCGAACGATTTCTCTAAAATAGTACTACTGATGAGTCGTTGACGGGTCGAAACAGTGCAACTGAGCGCTTGTGAGAGCCTCGTTTGTGTTTGCTTTTCTAGGGTTCTAAAGGCCGGTAATAAAAATTGAAATTTGACAGTTGTATCTCTTAAAGCATTTCACCGCACATTATTTACATTTATACATCGAAACTACAATCAATTACCCAAAACATTTAGTTTTATGTACACAAATTGAAACCTAACTTTCTTGTTCACCTAAAAACCAAGACCATAACTAAACCGTCTTTAACTCATGTAAAAATGTTGAACTTAACAGATGTTACCAATAAAACGCTGCCTACGAGTACCTACGAGCCTCTAGAAAACCCTTCTTTGACTTTTTTGGTGATTAGATGGATATAATTGTTTATTAGAGGTGACAAGGGAAGTATGGACAAAGTTCATACATCATCTTTTTAGATTTCATCAGTCGGGTAAACCAGGTCCGTAAACTGTTCATCATACCTAGTTTCAGACATATTCAGTATACCAGTATACCAGAGGTTGATGACTGTTATTAATACGGCCAAGCAACGAATTGAAATGACTGACCAACCATGCTATTTTGGAAACTTGTAATGCTTTTCAACATTTCCAATCCTATACACCCTTATCAGGTAAATCGGAATTATAACGATTACTGAATTACTTTCGGTACCATCAAGAGGTAACTATAAAAGGATAATGTAGTATATGTAATGTAAGCTAATTTGTTATAGATCAGGTAGAAAAAGGACACAACAACAACAATTGAAATATTTTAGGTTCACAATTCTAGTTGAACTCAAGAATGAATGGGGTTTTCCCAATTGTTGTTAGTTAGAATTAAAATCTTGTTTGGTGCTTTTATACCAAATTTCCCATTGGAAAATTTTGGACAAAGTGGAATTATCTTGGTAGTTTATAAACACAATAGTCGATAGCCTACTATTTGTGTGACGGTAAATCTGAAGCGACTTTATCCTCCAAATTTTAAAGGTAAATTTCTGAATTGTCGTCTTGTTAGTCCAATTAATAGTTTGCCACATTTTAGGCACAGTATTTTTTAGACTGCAGTCCTTTCAAGTCCATCTTTGAGTGCAAATTTTTTAGTTTTAGGTTCCCCTCTTAGTTTTAGCTGATTTTTAGGCTCCCTCTCGGGAATTGGAAAATATCGATGTCATTTTTCTAAAAAATATACGGCTGATTGATCCCAAATTTTAGATAAAATGAATATAGTTTGAAAAGTCTAAAAAACACGCTTTCATATCATGCGAAACTGAAAAATAAAAATAATTTAATAAAACTAAAAAACACGCTTTTAAAGAAAATCGAACTAAAAAGTTGAAAATAATATTTTCTAAATAAACTCAAAACAATAACGAACGAAAAATACTCGTATTATTGTGAAAAAATCGTGGGCGCTTTGAGTAATATTTTTTGTGTATCAAGCGCCCGTCGCTAGTATTTTTTGTTTGTTATTTGCTTTGTATTAGGCTTTGTTTTAAGCTTATTTTGAAAAAATATTTTTCAACTTTTCAGCTTGATGTTATTCAAAAGCGTGTTTTTTAGGTTTTTAAACTATATTTATTGATAGCAGGCTTTGAAATTGAGTTTTTAGTTTTAAGTATAGAATGAACTCTATTCGTACAAATTACTTAGGGCCAAAATTACACAAAACCTTTGTGAATTGTAGGCTATATGTTATTCTGATGTTTCATCTCAATCCGTTCAGTCGTTTAGGCGTGAAAGAGCCACAAACATATATACAAACATTTATTTAAGTATAGAATGAGCTCTTAACTTGACCAAAATTCCTTTTAGATTTCGCTGTCTTTTAAAAAAGTTTTTGTGCCGTTTATATCTCAAGTATACTCCAGTACCTAACATATATTCTCCTATTACTACAAGTCTCCACCTTCAACCTAGCAAACCCGAAAAAGAAGATTGTGTTTTATAGTATGCAGTGTCTTTTTGATAATGATTCTAGAGAACAAGCGACGTCTTTGTAACCAGACATTGATAACTTATTATTTTGCAGATCCCTCATAGGTTGCTGTTTCATCCCTTCCTGGTTACAACCACGCATGGAAGTCCTTCACATCTGCCCCTACTGTGATGAATATCTGGGGGCGTACAAGACCCCATCATAGACCTCAACGAGATTGATGAGTTGATGTATGTCCACATAATCGATATTTGGCATATGCAGTGAAACTTGAGAAGTGATATGATCATTTGTGAATAAATATATGCTATTTTGAAAAAAGTTTTTATTTAATTCAAATATAGCATTTATACAGTGTGTGCGATTAAAACTGTAACACCCTGTTATTTCGGAACCCATAAAACGATTTTGAAAAATGAAAATTTCAAATTATAGTACTCGACGAGCTAATAATAATAATAATATGCTTTATTATTTCACTAGTTCGGACTTCCATTGTCTATTATATAAAATGATTTGAAATCCCTGAAACAACTAAAAAAGAAGAATTGAAAATTCTTGAATATTTTTTTATGAAAGTTCTGAACGGGAATTGTACCTTAAAAACAATTTGATTTATTTTAAAAAGAGTTGAACTCAATAAAAATACCTTTGAATCTTCAAATTATCTCGAAAACTAATCGTTACAAAAATTTTCTTTTAATAGAGATGTAAAGGTATTCGAAAGACCTTTAAAACAAGGTGCCACTCGACCTACTTTCCCTATCTAAATAAGGGTCGTCGGACGCACCCCTCCGAGGGGGTGCGTACTATAAAAAATCTGATTAGTCTGAAAGGTGTCGTTGTTACACACATTCATCCTGCCAATTCTATATAACTCGAGTACAATTCATTTACGTAGGATAATACTTACGAATACTACCCTATCTGTATGATACAGGTAGGGTGGTAGCCTTGATGATACAGGTAGAATGTCTCGTAAATATAAGGGCTGCATTTCTTCAACAGTATATAGTGCCCGTACAATTGACTACCGTGTCACTAGTCTAGTTTTGAAGCTGAAGTGGATCTAAAGTGCAACTTGTGGTCTTTTGCTGTTCAGTGAAAATGATTCCAAAATATCATTGTCCAAATTTACCAACTCCCTACGGACCACCACCTAGATACTCCGAAGCGGTTTGGGTCAACTTCATTAGCCCTTCAGAATATTTTCGTAAGTATTTATCCTCTATATCTTGCAAAATGTTAATGTGTGTTTATTTTCCAAATTATTCATTCACTTTGCAACAAATACCAATTCAAATTTCATGTCATCAGAATAGTGCTTTAGTTAAGGCTTTTAAGGCTTTTGTAGTTTTAGACAAAATTGATTTATTCTTAATATGTTCTATTCAGTCTCCACTGAAGAACCTCAAATAGTCACCATTGAAGTACCAGTCGGGCCAAAATCTAAGCATATGATATGTCCCCATTGTCATGCAGAAATCAAGACAACGAGAAAGTCGAAGCTAGGGATGCTAGCTTTGATTTCCAGTGAAATTCTTTGTGCACTCGGGTAAGTTACCAACATACTGAGCTTTCTCAACCAGCGACGTCTTTGTAACCGGGCATTACATAATTTATTCTTTTACAGATGCTTCCTAGGTTGCTGCCTCATCCCTTTTTGCATAGAAAAGTGCATGGACGTCTCTCACACCTGCCCTAACTGTGATACATATATTGGCACTTACAGGAGATAAGCAATATTTGGTATACGCAATAAAACTTTTGAAAAGCGATTGGATTATTTATGAAACTACTTAGTATGACATAAATCAACCCACTTGACTATACTGTATGAATTATTAAAATATTTATAAACCAATGTTATTTCCAATTGTTATGAATGTAAATTCCTATGTTGAAGGAAACTTCATTTGTCAGTCTTAATAGCATTTTGAGAAAAAGATAATGCAAGTAGAGACATCATGGACAAAGTTTCATAATGTATCTACAAATTCAACATTTATCCACCCTCGCTTTGGAAACCATCTCTGGCTTTCATTTTTCATATTCGATCACGAATAAGTATAATGGCTTTCGTGCTCTGCAGAGAAATTCTAATTTTGTAGGTCTTTTAGAAGTCGTTCAAATAGAAATGTAAGAAATCATGGCGAAATAATGACATTTGACAGAAAATTGTAACTTTTCGTCGAGTCCTTGGTCTACTGCGCCGAAAAGAAGCAAAGACCATAAAAACAGAGATAAGAAGAAGAATGAGTCATACATAAATCGCAGCATTTCGCGCTGAGGTTGGCAACACTGATTCATCTTCGAAGGTGATGGTTGACATTAACGAACTTCGAATGGACGATTCCAGCAGTGTTACCACTATAAAATTTTCGGGTCTTAATCGACTGACATTTTCTAGGCTTTTTTTGGAATAATTTTAAGTCGAAACAGATAGAATTTGTAACTTTATAGATTCCTGGATGTTCCCGGATATTATATATGTTTACTTGTTGTCACAAACATAGCATTTCAGTGTTCAGTTTGTTTTTGCCAAGTAGTTACGTTTTGATAGTGTATGATGTAGGTGTTGTATGATATCTTTTTCCATACCATTATTATTACCAGAGGATGTTCCAGGTGCCCTATTGAAAGACAATTTCTTGATTGAAGACCATTTAGTTGCAGAACTCCAAATATGGTTAGACTTTTTCTATCAGAACGATCCTGTTTTACTGAATACAATGAACAATAAGTAAATACAACAATTCAAATGGTATATGACATGTGACGGTAAAATGGCAGAATTACCACTATTAAACAACGTACAAACTTAAAATTCCCTAGGATTTTTTATTTTGTCCATATCAACTTTAATACTTCGATTCACATATCCGGGAACATCCAGAAATTTATAAAATTGAAAATTCTGTCTGTTCCGGCTTTGAATTATTCCAAAAAGGCGTAGAAAATGTCAGTCAATTTGGACCCGAAAATCTTATAGTGGCAACACTGAATAGGGGTACTGGAATCGTCTATTGACGTAGAAAAAATGACTAAAAAGTCAGTTGTCATGTGCCAACTGTCAGTACTGGTGTGTCAGGTGAATGTTTTTCAAAATGTAAAAATATAGGTGACAATATGATAATTCTGTAAAAAATATTTTGAATATTTTTTGAAGTAAAGGGAAGCGATAAATGATTTACTGAAATAAAACAACATCAATCGGAACTATCATATTTATTGAAGAACAAAGGAAGTTCATATGACTGAATACTTATTTTTCAATTGTAAGAAAAGAAGAATATAGCCAGAAAGTTTCACTACATTAAAATTGTTATCACAACACAAAAGTTCAACATTTTTACATTAACATATACTTAACAAATGTACACCTAAAATAATAACATTTTTCCTACTCCTGGTCTGCCTATACTACCTAGCAAAATATATAAGTTTTTGGATACTTAGCCAATATTCATCACCATGATTCTGCGAAGAAACTTGAATGGTATGCCAAAATAATATTGAAAATATGATAAAAAATATACCAGTGTCAAAAATGAGGTTCATTTTTCGACCTTTGACAGACAATTGTAACTAATTTTCATTACAAACTCTATCCTATTCAAGTATATTAATGACCTTATATATTGATATTATTATCTTTTTTTTGTGATATTAAATACTTATTTATTTTGTGGAAATTCATCTTCAATTAAATGATATAGATGTAGAAATAAAATACTTTGTCTAATTTCCACTTATTTAATGTATTGATATTAATACGACCAAGGTTTCGGTTTTTACACCATTCTCAAGTATTCTGTGGAAAAGTAGTGTTAGAATACTTGAGAATGGTGTTAAAACCGAAACCTCGGTTGTATTAATATCAATACATTAAGTAAGTGGAAATTAGACAAAGTATTTTATTTCTATATCTATATCATTTAATTATTATCATTATTATATTAGGATCAAGCCTTCATCTTAGTAAACTATTGTCAATTCGACTCTTGTGACTAATCACATTTATGCTGAATTTTTAATCTTTACTGTTAGAGTGAAAATGAAAGAAAAATTGAAAGTTTGTTGTATGAATCAGTGAGAAATATTAGATTGAAAAATACAACAATAATTTTGGCACTCAAATGTTCCTTTAAAAAGTGAAGCAAACTCAAATGAAACATGTAATAAAAAAATGTTACTCAAAACAGCCCCTTTTTGCATGACGGGGGAAAAAATTTCTATTTATTCAGTAAAGTCAATGTCCTGACACTATTTTTTTGAACGATATTATAGATTAGTAAGTCATTTAGAAAATGTATAGCTATTTCAAAAGCGATATTTGATTTTCGTGGATGTGAATCTAAGCTGAATGTTACTCATGTATAGTACAAAAACATATTCGATTTCATGAAACACAACATTCTTCAATCTTACATGAACAGCCATAGAATCAGGAACTGTAGAAAAAAAAAGTCATGACACTAGATTTATTGGTGCTTTCAAGCTTGGAAATGATGATTTAATAATGTGAAAAGTGTGAACAGTGACAAGAGACCCATCTGTACCTGAATGTTAATGTTTTTCATCTCACAAATTATGTTCTGATAAAGTCAGAAACAAAAAGCTCAGATAATATGTTTATAAATCAGAGAACTTGAAGCACATACATACTTTTGAATAAGTGATAGAGGCGACTGATAATTCCAGAAATCTTCACAAAACGTGGTGTCTCTGCATAAACTGTTGGAGGAAAAGTAAGGTTTTCCAGTGATTTCTTTTGGAAATTTAGTTGAGAATTGAAAGTTTTGCTTGCAAAATATTTCTATCATGTGTATATTATGTTCATAGATTCTGCAATGAATTTGTTTTGTTTACATTTATGGTCTGTTATTCAGTATTGAAAATGTGTGGGAAATTAAATATTTGAACATTCAATATAACATCTATGAGGAATGTTACATGTTCTTGGTTTAAAAAATACACGGAAAAACATTTTGAGGAAACGAATGACAAAATTTTCGAAATGTTCATTTCAAAAAAATGCTGATTAGCCCCTTCATTCCTCCGCTTGACAGTTGAGTCAGAGACACCGTAGAAATTGAATAAAAATAGTTACAATCATTGCCCAAAGATGCTACTCGATATGCCAAACGTGTATTGAAAAAAGTTTTTAAATGTATTTGATTCATTTCACGCCAGATACTTCAGAACAATCTACTATAAACAAGCTTGAGCTTTGGAAAACTAAAAAAAATGTTGATTTCAAAGATCCCCGATCGATAGAGAACCTCTCGAGAAATATTTGTCAATATTAGCATGGCTCGAATACGGTTGAATGGTTTTATTAAATATCCGTACAATACCTAGATATTGGTCGTCTTTAAGTAGGCTACAAAAGTTTCACATTACCTGAACCCTAAGCGAGCAAATGGCCTCTCCCTCTCTTCCAGTTCAGGCATGTTGGGATCAATGTCCATAAAATCCTCATAAAAAGTAGACTCAAGACTATCATTATCGTTGTTATTATCGTTGTTATTGTCGTTGTTATTATCATTGTTATTATTGTTGTAACATTCATTTAGGAAGAGCGGCCTATGCTGCTTTTGCCGCAGTCTGTATATGTCCATATCCTGCTGAGAAGATATTTCACTAGGCGCCATTCTGTACATCAGTGGAAGCCCCGGGTTCCCTCGGGCAATATTATTGTTATTATTGTTGTAACATTCATTCAGGAGGAGCGGTCTATGCTCCTTTTGCTGCAGGCTGTATATGTCCTTATCCTGCTGAGAAGATATTTCATTAGGCGCCATTCTGTTTATCAGTTGATGTTCCGGATTCACTCGGACAATATGCGGTGTATCTACGTTTTCGTTCAATAAGATCGACCTCAAACTAGCTCCCAGTTCTTGTAATGTTATGTCTTCCACATGCGACTCCTTTATCCGACTGTAAAACAGCAGGTAGGGCATTTCCGGTGGTTCCAAGCGCACCAGCTCCTCCCATGTGGTCGTGGTGACAATGTCGTCGTTGAACTTGAACCAACCCTCTTTGTCTTTGGCAAACGTGTAGTAATGGCCGGAATCCACCGAATGGCCTTGGTGGACGACGACGGCGTGAAGCTCGTAGAAGCACTCATCCACGACGATGCTTTCGTTCAAGGTCAGTGTTTGCAAAATCTTCAAACGGCTCTGCTCGTCTGCGTCATAGCGGAAGCACATCACGGTTAGTATCAACTTCCTCGGTGGTTCTGATATCGTCACTCTTCTCTCGCTATCGGTCAGTTTGCCGCAATGATCACAGTGGTACTGGTTGTCCCCGGACAGATTCTCCGGTTGCAGGAGATTATCCAGAAGAGTTTGCACGCTTGAGCCTTCACAGTTGCTGGGGAACGAGAGCTGGAGGTCCTTGAAATTGTCTATGTGCTTGCTCTTGGTCACGCATTCTCCGCATGTTAAGACGGACATTGATTTCCCTACGAATAGTCGCTCGATGGTCGTTTGTGTAAGTGAGGCAGCTGCTTCATCTGTATAACAAGACTGACAGGTTAAGCAAGGATTTCAAAGATTACTTGGTCCAGGTATCTTAGTCAAAATTAGGTATCTCGAAATTAGAGGTACCCAGCTCAAATTCCGAGCCAAGTCGTATGAAATTGTATTTTAACATCCTGAAAGTTGTTAAAATCTAAGGTCAAAGGTCGCTAAAATCGATTCTTTGCAAATATCTCGTTTCCTATGGGATTTTCGCATTAAATATTTGTAGAGGATTGTAGAAGATTGAATTCCCTACAACTTTTGTTTCAAACGTTTTTTTATACGTTGAATCGATATCGAGATAGAGGGCGGAGAGCGTGTGGTTAGAGCATCATTTAAGGTCAACCGGCAGTCCCGCCATATAAAGAAAACCTCATCAATATGTTGACTGAAACATTATCATTATTATCTATTATTAAATATAAATAAAGGCTGAGGACAAAGTCCTATGTAAGCCTAAAAACGAAGGATATCAACAAGTTAATTAAGTGCATGCAAAAAGAAAAGAAAAATAATCAATATATGCATAGAGGCGATTAAGCAAATAAGCAAGTGTCTATTTTGTTTTTGAAACTGTTCACTGAGTCGGAATTCATAACATCGTTGGGTAAGTTATTCCATGTTTCGAAAATACGATTCAGCAAAAAATATTGTCTCTGCCTCGTTGCGAATTTTTCCTTTTTTAATTTGAGTGTGTGATCACGTAACCGCGAATCATTGTTGAAAACAAAAAGTTCTTTCTGATTAGCATAGTTATACTTAGCTATAAGGAAAGATATGATGAGGTCCCCACGGAGTCGACGTTGGTCAAAAGCTAGCAGTTGTGCCATCCTCAGTCTTTCGGGATAGCTTGGACGCACTTCACCAAAAGTCATACGTGTGGCTCGACGCTGTACATTTTTCAACAAGACACAGGACACCACACTGGACCTGCATACTCCATGATTGGACGAACGTAGGTTTTGTAGAGTTTTATGGAACTTTAATATGATAGATGGAGGAACGCTTTGAGGATGAGGTAAATCAGTGTGTGTGCGCGTTTGCATGTGGATATTACATGCTCGGACCAAGTTAAGTCAGTATTAATAGTCACTTCCAAGTCTACATGTGAGGACACTGTACGTAATGATTGACCGCTTATTGTGTACGTATGGAGTGGATTGTTCTTTCCTTCCTTCCTTCTACCTCTTCCTTCCGTTAAGAGGTAGAAGCCACTCCTTGCACCACTGACTAATCAAGTTGAGGTCTTCTTGAAGGGAATGATGTTCGTCTAAGGCATTTCCATACAGTTTAGTATCATCGGCATAAAACGACTTGATGGACTTTATGTGAAGAGCAAGATCACTTGCATAAACAACGAAGAGGAGCGGGCCAAGAACAGATCCCTGGGGAACTCCACTTGTGACTTGTCTGTGCGAAAAAAAAGAGTGACCCACTTTGACCGTGAAAGTTCTATCTGTCATGTAATTTGCAATCCATAGGATTAGTTGGCCTCGGATACCGTGTGTGTCAAGTTTGTGCATTAGCCTCCTCACTGGGACCCCGTCGAGAGCCTTGGCAAAGTCAAGATAGACGACATCTGTCGGTATTTTCCTATCGTAAATGTCGTTGAAGACGATAAAAATAAGACATTGAAATACTACAGCGGTGGGAAGACGACGATGAAGAAGAAGATACTTGAAATTATAAGTTTTAGTTCTTTCAATTTGTCATATATAGGTGTTCCGTGTTCAGGGCAATCAACAAGTGGGTTATCTATCAAGTTTAGACACATGATCTGTCAAGTGGAGTTGATATGAATTTAATAAATACATTCTACAATACTTAATTATTATCACATAGTTGAGAGATAACTAGATAACATATTTTTTATTGATTTCTTTAAATTTCCACGATCATAAATGTATGGAATATTTTTTAATAAAAACATTGATTGAGAATTATTTGTTTTTATAAAGTTATTGATATGAGCTACAAGATCTCCGCCTTCTATCTCAGAAACAATTCAACGCATACATTTTTTTTGGAATGAAAGACGTAGTGAATTTAATCCTTTACAATTAGTCAATACAAATAGCTAAAAACTCATAGGAAACAAGATAGTTGCAGAAAATCGATTCTTGTGAGAGGTTTTGAGACAACTTTTAGAATGTCAAAACGTGAGTTATAGCTGACTATCTCAAATTTCGAGGTAAACTTACTAAGATGACTGGACTAACTTGCGTATAACACAAAAATATAGTGTTAATTATATTTCTGTGGTGTAACACAACATAATGACAAGGCATACAGGATTTTTGCCGATTTTCTCGGGGTTTTGATTTTTCAAAAGCTGAAAAATAAACAAATCTAAATCAGAGTCCAGCTTTGTTCATTTTTCAGATTGCAAAAAGTTCAAAACAACAGAAAAAACACTGACCCTTTCAAAGAACATGTGATTATGAAGTGGCAGCCATTTATCGTAGAAGCAATTATATCAATAATAAAAATAAATCGGCTTTATTGAAAATAAAAAAAAATACAAAGAGCAATGAGAAAAAAGTTACACAGGAAATTCGGTACTCGTTGGTGAAGCCCAGCTCAGAACTACTCAAACTCAACCAACAAGCACCACTCCATAAAAAATGCGAATATACAGAAATTAAAAAAAAACAATTATTGGTGATGGTACCATGACAAAAGAAAAATAAAAATATTACTTGCTAATTATCCCCTAAAGAGTTGACAAATCAATTTGATTTGTTGCTCATTCAATATTTATTTGTACAATGAGCAAAAATAGAGTTTAGTGAATGTCACAGATATATTTTTAATTTGTATTTAAATTTCCTGATATTGAATTGCTTCAATTGCTCAGGCAATTAATCGAGTTTGAAAAGAAATGATCACTGAAACTGTGCAGTGCCATGTAGTGTCAGAGTTAATTTGTTTTTTCCCAATATTTATTGAGTGTATATCTTCACGCAGAATAAGTTTTTGTATTAAGAGGGGAGAGTGGAAAAGAATAATTAATTTATGAACAAAACAGTCCAAATGATGAATCATACGGTTTTTTATATTGAGCAAGTGGGAGGTTTTTTATAAGAACAAAACACAAGCAATTCCATCATACATGTTCCACTTGATAGACAATTGATCAAATCTAGATCAGCGTTGAAGATATTTTGTGCCTCAGGAAACTCGCATACACAACTGTGTGTCATTAGTATAAGCCTGTATTTCATAATTCCTGATGGACGAGATATCAGTGGTATAGATGACCAACAAAAAAGGTCTCAAAATGGAACCCTGTGGTACTCTAAGAGATAAGGAGTAGTGATCATCAACAAAAATTTGAGATACGCTTTTTTCAATTCTAACAACTTAATACTATTATTCATAGACTTCAATTGGTGTTTATTATCGTGCAACCTGTGATTTATTTATATTTCAATAATTAGACAAAATTTAAGACATTTAAAATTAAGAAAAATATTGTGATTTTGTTTAAAAGAGTACTATTATAGACATTACAGTTTTATGGCAAAATTATAATTTATGGACAGTCAACACCACTATTTGAAGACCAATATAGAATTCATTCTTCTTTTACAATTCAGAGTGTAAAATTTAACCAAAAATATTGTTTTTTTATTAACAACTCAAAATTCTTGCCGATTTCAATGAAACTAGATGTGTTTATTAGCAGTAACAAGGGACTTCTTTTCATGGAATTACATTATAGACGACAAATCCAGTGGCGTCACAGAAGGCTACCTGATTGATATTTATGGTAAAATCATTGTACGCCACTGTTTTGCTCCAAATTTGATATTTGCTCAGATTGAAAAATCAATAAAAGAAGTGTTGGGAAATAAGCTTTTATACAAATGCACCAAGTTGAAAAAATTTCTTCGCAATTGTCCGATATACGTTGAATAAGCAAGATATTAGTTTTTCATTATTGGTGCTTTTGTATGAAACCTCCTCTTCAAAAATATGTCCGGATTTTTACGCCAGTGACTCTGATTCGATAAAGTTCAGCTTTTTCAAATAATAACAAACTTTGCGAAAACAGTGGCATACTATGATTTTTACCATGACTGTCAATCAAGTAACCTCCTGCGACGCCACTGACTCCGAGTCTATAACGTTACATTGTTTCAAATAATATCAAATTTGGCAAAAACAATGGCGTACAATGATTTTTTACCATTGATATCAATCAAGTAACCCTTGCGACGCCACTGACTGCGATTAATAGAGTTCAGCTGTTTCAAATAATGTCAAACTTAGCGAAAACAGTGGTGTACAATGATTTTTACCATAAATATCCACTGAGTAACCCCTGCGATGCCACTGACTCAATAGAATTTAGTCATTTCAAATATTAAACTTGGCGAAAACAGTGGCGCACTATGATTTCAACAATAATAATCAACTGAGTAACCCCCTGCGACGTCACTGATTTTGAGTCGATAGAATTCAGCTATTTCAAATATTAAACTTGGCGAAAACAGTGGCGCACTATGATTTTAACAATAATAATCAACTGAGTAACCCCCTGCGACGCCACTGATTCTGAGTCGATAGAATTCAGCTATTTCAAATATCAAACTTGACGAAAACAGTGGCGCACAATGATCTTTGCCATAAATATCAACTGAGTATCCCCCTGCGACGCCACTGACTCTGAGTCCATAGAATTTAGTCATTTCAAATATTAAACTTGGCGAAAACAGTGGCGCACTATGATTTTAACAATAATAATCACCTGAGTAACCCCCTGCGACGTCACTGATTCTGAGTCGATAGAATTTAGCTAAGTCAAATATTAAAGTTGGCGAAAACAGTGGCGTACAATGATCTTTGCTATAAATATCAACTGAGTATACCCCTCCGACGCCACTGACTCTGAGTCGATAGAATTTAGTCATTTCAAATATTAAACTTGGCGAAAACAGTGGTGCACTATGATTTTAACAATAATAATCAACTGAGTAACCCCCTGCGACGCCACTGATTCTGAGTCGATAGAATTTAATCAAGTCAAATATTAAAGTTGGCGAAAACAATGGCGCACTATGATTTTAACAATAATAATCAACTGAGTAACCCCCTGCGACGCCACTGATTCTGAGTCGATAGAATTCAGCTATTTCAAATATTAAACTTGGCGAAAACAGTGGCGCACAATTATTTTTACCATAAATATCAACTGAGTAAACCTCTGCGACGCCACTGACTCTGAGTCGCTCATACTGAATATTAAAGTTGGCGAAAACAGTGGTGTACAATTATTTTTACCATAAATATCAACTGAGTAAGCCTCCGCGACGCCACTGTTTCTGAGTCTATAGAATTTAGCTATTTCAAATATCAAACTTGCCGAAAACAGAGGCGTACCATCATTTTCACCATAAAAATCAATTAAGTAACCCTTTGCGACGTCACTGGAATTGAAATTCCAAATCTAATTTCATGAAAAGAAGTCCCTTGTTGCTCACAACAAACAAACGTAATTTAATCAAAATCGGCGTAAATAAATGCGAGTTATCAATAAAATAGAAACATTTTTAGTAAAACTTCGACACCCTGTTTCACTCGAAAACAAAGCAAATTAGGACACACGTTAACATGCATTTTTGCAATGAAATATCAGGAATAAATAATAACTGTAAAAGTGGCAAAAAACCACTGAAAATAAATGAAACAACTTTTTCAAAATAACGGCTTTTATTCAAAAACAAACTATATTAACTTGCGAGACACACTCCTCCCTAAACGGGCCAAGAAATGAATCACAAACAGAAACTAAAGTGAGTTGAAAACAGTCTAATACCAACTCCCAACATATCACATAAGAGTCGAACATTCTAAATACAGCTATACAAATAATAGTTGACCAGTTGTGTTCCTCACGCCACGCGAATCCGGACCATAGAAAAGCCAACAAGTGAACCTTATATAAAATATATTTATAAGTATAAATATTGTAGAGTTACAGTTGAATTTCAAACACATCTCTCCCTATATACACCACTCTTTCGGTCGCTAGCACACAAACATATTACCCGACGAGGCCGAAAACCCGCCTCCGCCGCACCCCGGTGGGGGAGGTTCGTCGTTTTTGTCCTGGTTAATACTGTACAACTTCACAGACCTACGTTCCCTATCCCGTTTGAATTCGGCGTTGTCTTTACCCAAAACTAGTTGTAACCTAGGAGGGAGCACTGCGGCCGGCAGGTCCTCCATATCTGAAACGTCCTCCCTACTGTAGAATAGTATATAAGGAGTCTCCGGCGGCTTTAACCGACTCAAACACTCCGGCGCAGCTTTCGTCACCGAGTAATCGTTGAATTTGAACCAATTCGACTTGTCTTTGGCTAGCGTGTAGTAGTGTCCCGAGTCCAAACTAGAGCCGCAATGCACTACAACAGCGTACAGCTCGTAACGGCAGTTATCCAAGGTGAGGTGCTCGTCCAAAGCGACCGTCTGGAGCAACTTGGTGCGCTGGTGGGAAGCCGGGTCGTAGTGAAAGTGCTTCAGCGTCAGCGTCAATCTAGTCGGAGGCTCCATTATCCTCGTTATCCTCTCGCTGTCGGTCAACCGACTGCACTGCTCGCAATGGTATTTGTTATCGTCCGTTAACTTTTCAGGCTGCAGGTAGTATTCCAGGAGGGTTTGTACTGTTTGGTTTTCGTCGCGGTTGGGGAAGGACAGCTGCAGATCCCTGAAATTGTCGATACGCTCGCTCTGTGTTCCGCACTCTCCGCATCGTGAGACAGTCAGCGTCTTGCCGCCGAAAGACTGCTGCACTACGGTAGGTGTGACTGCTGCGGCACCTTCATCTGTGTAACAAGTCAAACGTGAATTTTAGGATAGTGAACTAACTTGCATCTCTTCTCACTTTTGTGATTTCCTACAGTTTTTTATTAGCTAGCAAAGCACTCAACTAACAACTACTACTACAAGCACTATATATGAGTATGAGCTGGAACAAACAAGTTGGTGATAGTATGTGATGTCGATAAAACTAAGGTGTATATATTTGGTAATATATACACATATAAGGAAAAGCCTTGTATGATTTATAATATTTTAAGGGCTACATCAATTTTTTATAACTCAATTCTACAGAAGGGCAGAGAGGCCACATATTTTTATTATTCATTTCTTGGAAATTACGACTTTGAAACTAGAAATTTAGACTTTAATCTCGAAATTTTGATTTTACACTTGAAATTATGACTCGACTATAATGACGTGTTAGGAATCACACGTTAAAGGGTACGGCCTCGTTAATCCCTAGCTCGCACAAGTTTCGACTTCTGAGGGTTGTCGTTGGTAGGGGTGCGACAGCTGGTTAACGAAAAAACAGATTTCAAACAGATTTTTTTAAACAGAATTAAGACTTCAATCACGAAATTATGACTTTTTAACTCAAAATTACGACTTTTTTAACTGAAAATTATAACTTTTTAACTAGAAATTAGGACTTCAAACTCAAAATTTAGACTCCAATGTTGAAATTGCGATTTAACACTCAAAATTTCGACTTTTCAACTCAAAATTACGACTTTTTAACTCGAAATTACGACTTTACACTAAAAATTTAGAAGATAATCTCGAAATTAAGATTTTTTAACTCGAAATGACGACTTTTTAACTAGAAATTATAACTTTACACTCAAAATTCAGACTTCAATCTCGAAACTGAATTTTGAGTGTAGTCGTAAAATTCAATCTCGAAATGACGACTTTTTAACTAGACATTACGACTTTACACTCAAAATTTAGATTTCAATCTCGAAATTTTGACTTTTTAACTCGAAATTACGACTTCAAAAACTCGAAATTACGGCTTTTAAATCAAATTACGGCTTTTAACTAGAAACTACGACTTTACACTCAAAATTTAAAAGTTAATTTCAAAATTACGACTTTTTAACTCTGAAGTACGACTTTAAACCTAAAATTTAGACTTCAATCTTGAAATTACCACTTTTTAACTCGAAATTACGACTTTACGCTGAAAATTTAGACTTCAATCTCGAAATTTTGACTTTCTAACTCGAAATTATGGCTTTTAACTCAAAATTACAGCACACAACTAGAAACTACGACTTTACACTCAAAATTCAAACTTTAATCTCAAAATTACGACTTTTTAACACGGAAGTACGACTTTAAACTCAAAATTTGGACTTCAATCTTGAAATTACCATTTTTCAACTCGAAATTACGACTTTTTAATTCGAAATTATGACTTTACATTAAAAATTTTGAAGTTAACCTTGAAATTAAGGCTTTTTAACTCGAAATGACGACTTTTCAACTAGAAATAACAACTGTACACTAAAAATTTAGGCTTCAATCTCGAAATTTTGATTTTTTAGCTCGAATTTATGGCTTTTAAAACTTTAAATTACGGCTTTTAACTCGAAATTACGGATTTTAACTCGAAATTACGGATTTTAACTCGAAATTACGGCTTTTGACTCAAAATTACGGCTTTTAACTAGAAACTACGACTTTACACTCAAAATTTAATCTCAAAATTTAAAATTTAATCTCAAAATTACAACTTTTTAACTCGGAAGTACGACTTTAAACTCTAAATATGGACTTCAATCTCGAACTTACCACTTTTTAACTCGAAATTACGACTTTTTAACTCAAAATTACGACATTACACTAAAAATTTAAAAGTTAACCTCGAAATTAAGACTTTTTAACTAGAAATTATGACTTTACACTCAAACTTTAGACTTTAAACTCGAAATTACGACTTCAAATTAAAAATTTAGACTTCAATATCGAAATTTTGACTTTTTACCTCGAAATTATGGCTTTTAAAACTTGAAATTACGGCTTTTGACTCGAAATTAATGCTTTTAACTCGAAATTACCGCTTTAAACTCAAAATTGCGGCTTTAAACTCAAAATTGCGGCTTTTAACTAGAAACTACGACTTCATACTCAAAATTTTAACTTTAATCTCAAAATTACGACTTTTAACTCAAAATATGGACTTCAATCTTGAAGTTATGACTTTTTAACTCGAAATAAGACTTTTTAACTCGAAACTATGACTTTACACTCAAAATTTAGACTTTAAACTCGAAATTACGACTTCAAATTAAAAATTTGGACTTCAACATCGAAATTATGACTTTTCAACTAGAAATTAAGACTACTAAAAATTTTGACTTCAATCTCGAAATCACGACTTTTTAACTCAAAATGATGACTGTTCAACTCCAAAGTACGATTTTTTAAATTTCGACTTTTAAACTCTAAATTACTACCTTGAACTCGAAATATCGACTTTAAAGAAAGTCAAAATTCAAAATTGCAATTTACAAGAAATAAATAATAAGAATGTGTGGCCCTTATGCGTTTCCGAACAACACAAAAGGCGAACGCTTGTGAATAATGAATACAATAATTTTTGCTTTTATTTACAGAGTAAATGAACACCTGGTGAAACCTGTATATTCAATGATAGCTCAATCAACCCTTTCCATCAGCCACATCTGATGTGGCAAACGAATGTTTGACTCAGTACAGGTGTATGGTTGTATGCATGAAAACAAGAAACTAGAGAGGGCGCCACTACCTCTGTCAATGCCACCTGTCAACGCCACCTGTCAACGCCACCTGTCAACTACGAACATGCAACTAAAATCTAGACTTGAAACATAGAGATGGTTACCTTACAGATGAAAGAACACTACAAATGAAATTCTGGAGCAAAAGCTGAGAGGCATTCTGGTTAACCAACAAAATCACTCACCTTCCGAAGCACTCGTCATTTTGATGAAATTGTTCTCCTGCTCGTGCAACGTATCCAGCAGGAACCCTAAAAACTCCGAGCTATCATGCTGTTGGCCGGCAATGAAGCCTGGAGGCCTTGCCAGATCCAAAATATCGTTCGGCGATAGGGCTGCCCTATTCGAAAACTGCAGCAAGGCGAACAGCTCTTGCAGTTTGATGAACAACTGCGAAATGTCATTGTTACATAACAGCACCTCGTTTCGGAAAGTCTTCGTCATGAACAGCGCCTGAAGGACGCTGTTCATGTAGCAGGTATTTCCCAGATTGGTCAGGCCGACTTTTTCGACGAAATACTTATTCTGCACATACGAACCCGATGCGTCCTCCCACGATTTGCAGCGCAACACTTGCTTGCAGTCCGAGTCGGCGAAGCGGGGTAGAAGTACGTCGGTGAGAGGTTGGTATAGTTCTGGGTAATCAGGAAAATGGTTCATCAACGCCATGAGCAGGTTACCCATTTCGTATAGACAATTCATGCTTGATTCTGATCCCTCTTTTTCCAATGCTTGAAAAACGGTACTGGCAAGCGGGATGATTTTGTGAAACACCTGTTGATTAATTATTATTCAGATTATTGGCGAATGATAACAATAGTAACTATTTATTCATAATATTTCTTCAACGACGTAAATTTAAAATAAACAATAAGTTAATAAATACTCAACGTTATGAAGTTCAGTGCTTTGTTTTTAAAATTTTTCAAGACTGAAGTCGAAATTTCGAAAGAGTCGAATTTTTGACTTTATTTTCCAAATTACGACTTTTAATATCAAAATTTCGACTTTACCTTCGAAATTTTGACTTTAATCTAGAAATTTCGACATCACCCGCGAAATTTCAACATTAATTTCGAAATTTCGACTTTACCCTCGAAATTTTGACTTTAATTTCGAAACTACGACTTTAATCTCGAAATTACCACTTTAATCTAGAAATTTTTACTTTAATCTAGAAATTTTTACTTTAATCTAGAAATTTCGACTTTTCCCTCAAAATTTTGATTTTATCCTCAAAATTTTATCTTCAATTTCGAAATTTCGACTTTAATTTCTAAATTACGACATTAATCTCGAAATTTCAACTTTTCCCTCAAAATTTTGACTTTATCCTCAAAATTTCGACTTTACCCTCCAAATTTCAACTTTAATTTCGAAATTACGACTTTAATCTCGAAATTACGACATTAATTTCGAAATTTTGACTACAATTTTGAAATTACCACTTTAATCTAAAAATTTCGACTTTAATCTTGAAATTTCAACTTTTTCCTCGAAATTTGGACTTCATCCTCAACTTTAATTTCGAAATTACGACTTTAATTTCGAAATTACGACTTTAATTTCGAAATTACGACTTTAATCTCGAAATTTCGACTTTAATATCGAAATTTCGATTTCACTTTTGAAATTTTTAAATTAATCTAGAAATTAAGATTTTACCCTCGAAAATTTAACTCTAATTTCGAAATTTTAACTTCAATCTAGAAATTTCGAACTAACCCCCGACTTTAGTTTCAAAATTTTGACTTCAATTTTCGAAATCACCACTTTAATCTAGAAATTTTGACTTCAATTTCGAAATTTCGACATTACCCTCAAAATTTTGTCTTAAACTAGAAATTTCGATTTTACCCTCAAAATTTTAACCTTAATTTCGAAATTACAACTTACATTCTTAAATTTTTTACTTAACCTTTGAAATTTTGACTTTAATCTCGAAATTTCGACTTTAATCTCGAAATTTCGACTTTAATTTCGAAATTGGGACATTACTCTCGAAACTTTGACTTGAATTTTGATATTACGACTTTCACCTCAAAATTTTGGCTTTGATTATAAAGTTACGTCTCAAATCTCGAAATTTCAACTTGGGCCTCGATATTTTGACTTTAATTTTGAAATTACGACATTAATCTTTGGCTTTGATTTCAAAATTGTAATTTCGACTAGTAATCTTGAATTTGAACTCTCAATTTTGACTTCAATCTCAAAATTTTAGCGTTTATTACTGTTATTAACCGCCATTCAACCGCCAGCGGATTGCCACCTAGGTTTTCAGTATTTTTTTCAAGTCTAACGGTGTTAGGCAGGGTAATATAGGAGGCCGTTCTATGATACCTCTCCTGCCATAGCACATAATGTCTAAGAAATTATTCGTTTAAGAATAAGCCAGAGGTAGCAACATTCTATGGAGGTGCACCTTCCTGATGGAAATTCAACTCGTATTCGGTGAGGTTCTCATCCTTTGCTACTAATTCAGTTATCCTGGAGTTTATTTATCCTCACCGAAGTTGTTAATAACTTTTTAACTGCTGATAAAAAAGCCAATCATTAATATCGCTTCAGCACCAACAGTTGTATTTATTCATTTTATGATTCAAATAATACAATCATCAATGAGAAAAAAAGATCTTCAATTTGATTCTTATCTAGTAAGGACTGAATCCACAGAAATGTGTGTGTCCCAAAATCATATTAGCTCATATCGTATGTAGGAATGCCTATTTCATCAATTCAAACATTGAAAATCTAGCAACTTCAGCGAATTTAATATTCATAAAAAGAAAAACGAAAATGGTTATTTGTTGGGTTATCAAAGCATTCTTAAATGAATAATTTCGTTGATCTGACAATAAAAATATCCGGAAAATTATGCCAAGCGCAACTGTATTTAAAAAAAAAATAAGAAATCGTTTTCAACCTAGCAACAAAACGATAACGTGTTTTATTGAAAAAAAAACAATTGTGGAAACTCTTGTGAGAAACCCTCCCGAAAAAATAGAATAAAAAAACTAACCTGTTTGATACCACAATAACTGGAGGTCAATAAAAAATTTGTAAAATACACAGAAACACGCGTCTTCTTTCCGAAAATTTCAAGTTTTCAAAACTCAAACTCAATTTCCGCAACATAGAAAGTTAAACAAATTAAAACCCATTAAAACAACTAATATCTGATTGACAATCAACTAATCCAAAGCAGAAACGTGAATCTGCAAAAAAGAGGTGTGAAAGCAAAAAGTGATCATTTAAAAACCTCTAAAAGTATCAAGGAACAATAAATTGTAAACTTTTATACAGGGAAAACCGAAAGTGACGAAGATGTCTTTGCCATTAATGTTTATGTGACATTTTTCAGATACACATATAGGGTGACACAGACTCATAGTATACCCCTAATTTTTCTTTATTTCCAAGCTATTTTTACGAAATTCGAAACATCAAATATGCTAACAAACAGGCACTTCATGACGAAACGGGATTTTTTTTCCAACTTCCCTTTTTTCAGCAATGTTTGATTTTTAAATGAAACACTCTGTATACTGAATATTTTCGAATTATACACAATTTTCTGAATCCAACGATACCCCACACTTGATATTTGAATTATGGACTGGAACACATGGTTCTGTCATGCGGCCTGCAAGATCACCCTACTTAACCCCTCTGGACCTCTTTTAGGTTCTCGCGGTTTATCAGAGCAGTTGCTGCGAAATAATAAAACAACTTTTGGAGCTTTGATGGACTGTTACAAGTTAGTTAGTTACTGGGTACATTGTTGGAGATACTATTGATAACAGAAACGAGTTGAGAGTGTCACAAATTTATAACAGAAAAATGAAAGAGTATATGCAGCTAATTTATAGGAAATGGTGGCAAATTCATGTGTTTTTCCGAAATTTGGCAAAATGAATGTCCTGTCGAAGTGGCATTTTCAAATTGAATCTGTTATCAATACGATCTCTAACAATGTATTCAGTAACTAACATAAACAGTTTACAAAACGCCAAGTTGTTTTATCGTTTCATAGTACCTTTCGCGATAACCCGCGACGCTCTAAAGGAGGTCTAAAGGGGCCAAGTCAGGTGATCTTGCAGGCCATCTGAATGGACCATGTGTTTCAATCCCCAATTCAAATATCAACTATGGGGTATCAACGGATTCTGAAAGTAACGTTGATTTCAAAGATACAGGGTGTTCCATTTAAATGATTGATGTCATTTCATTTTAGTCGATTTAAAAAAAAGTTACAATTTTTTTTGAAAAGTAGGATTGTGGAAAAAACCACACTTAAAAAAAAAAGAATAAAAAAAGTCAACATTTAGATGAAAAAGTAAAAAAAGATTCAAAGAAAAAAGGTAAAGATTCGAAAGAAGAGCTGTGGATTCAAGAAAAAGCTATGCATTCAAGGAAAAGGCTGTAAATTCAAGAAATGAGGTGAACCTCGAAAAAAGGCTACAATTTCAAGAAAAAACTTCAATATAAAAAAAAAGCTGCAATCTTAAGAAAAAGCTGTACTTTCAGGAAAGAAATCTGTCATTACAAGAAAACAGATTTAATTTCGAGAAAAAAACAATTTTCCAGAAAAAATAACAGATTCTGGAGAACTTTAGGTGAAAATGCCTACAAAATCTTTGTTTAGCAATGTAAGTTTTGTGTGTTGCATATGCTCATAAAAAGGAGGAAAAAAAACATAGATTTTGAGGGGGTATATCCAAAAGTAAATCAGATTTGAATTTGCTGATCTCAGATGTTTCAAGAATAACCCAATCTGATTTCTTAACTCAGTATATAGATGAAAGCACAGTTTAAAATCCTTAATTGAAAAAATAAAAAATCAAATATGATGAAAATTTGGACAATTTTTATCCGGAGTGATTTAAATTTTTATCCTAGCTTTGAAAAATCATACCGGGACATTATTTTTGAAAAAAAAATATTGACAATACTGAAATGCATTAGAAGAAGATAGAAAAAACAAATTCTTAACAGCTTGATGAAAGTATTTTGTTCACCTACTTCATATGATCAAATTTCAAGCTCCCAAAAATTTTGCAGATGTTCAATGTTGAAAATGAGGATTTCGTTAAAAAATCAGACTTATGTGATGATGGTTTGGCTAAATTTAGAACATACTGAGTTCGAACAACACCAACACTTCACTTTTTCTAAATCAATTTACAAAATTGTTCTCCAAAGAATCTAAGTCTTTCCAATGCCACAAAAAGATGGTATCATCTGCAAATAGCGAAATTTTTCCAATAATATTGATATCTGGAAAATCAATCATTCAGAAGAAACCAGGTAGGACCTAGCACGGACCCTTGGGGAACTCCACAGAGGCCAGATGTTTCATTTGCTACCTTGACAAGTTTACTTCTGTCAAAGCCTAATTATATCGCCTGGAAGCGCGTTCACGTGTATAGATTGTATTTTTTGAAAATTTCTTCGAAATTATCAACACATCTTCGAGAGTAGTGTTTTATATTTTTACTTTTACATTCATAGATGTTTCTGTCAACAAGTTATCTTTAGGCAAAGTTTGATTTTGATTTGATCGATTGAAGGAGGAATTTCCATCAATACCCCTAAATTTCTGTTTCATTACATTATTTATACATTTGAAAGTACATTCAAAGGAAAACAAAATATACAAACATATTCATAGATTGTTAGTTTAGGTCACATCAAACAAAAAAACAAAATAGGACACTACTAAAAAATATAACGGTTTGAAAAACAGTTCCAACTGAAAATTCTTACTCACCTGAGGATTATTCTGGTTTCTGGACAACATATAGAGCACAATGGGCCCCACTGCTTTCCTTATCTTGTGAAACATCAGGAGCTTGAAGAGAGGTTCAATCTCGGCTAAGGCGACATCAATCAGGATCTCGTAATGTTGTTCCGCTTCCAACCCTTCCATAAACGCCAACACCAGCGGCCCCAAATTCTCGGCCCAAGCACACTTCTTCAACCAATTACAAAGTGTGTGGATCGCCCTTTCCAGGTTCTGTTCCGGATAACCAGCCCCCAATATATATTTGACCGCATGAGGGATGCTCCTCTGATCGATCAACTGCAAAACAATTGACATGGCTGGTGAAGGCTGCCTTTCGGGGTCCGGATTGGAGATCTCGTCGTACAAAGCCTTCAGTGCGATGAAAGTGTGCTTCTTGTTGCAGAACTCCTTGGCTAGGATGTCTCTCACCTTCGTTATGTCCTCGATGAATTTCATGTAGCTGACTGCATTGCTGGGAATCGGTACGCTGCCCAGACTCTTGACAATCTGGACGCATATCTTGTCTTGCAGCCCGTCTTGCGCGGATATGCCCTCCAGGGCTCTGAGGATTATTTGCAAGCGGGCCTCCTGCGCTTGACCGACACATTCTATGACTTTCTGTTTGACAGCCATTTCGCTACTGAAATGGGGAATCATAGTTTACTGTAATGTAAAACTCTTTTAATAATCTGAACGTTATTGCGTCATTTGTCACTAGAGAGTGGCAGATGAGAGGAATTTTGCAAGTTTCAAGTCATGAAAAATCCATGTGTTTTAGTTTTATACTACTCAACTCTTGCACAAATATACTATAATTATGTACACATTAGATAATATCTATACTCATACATGAACGATTCCAGAGAAAATTAATGAAAAACTACTTATGATTTCTTACAACTTGCGACTTACGACTGAGTGCTTGAATATTTCTAAAAATCCAGAAACTGGTTCAGTTAGCAGACGATCTAGAAAATTTTTCTCCCACCTTGTAAAACAATGACTGATACTGATAAGCAACTAATCTTACAATAGACAAAAAAACAATTTCTACATTAAACATGGAAATGATATTTCAGTGGTAACCCACACTACTATATTACTGTCAATGAAAACAAATTACCTTCAGAGTAGAAAAGTTGATCTCCTTTGGGTTGACAAGGTTGATGATGAGTAAAATCGGCAAGCAATTCCTTATTGAGCGAATACGAAAACAAATAACAGCAGATGATCCGTGACTCAAATGAAACTGTTCTAAAAATAACGATCAAACTTTTGACATCAATTAATTGCCATTGTTTGAAAATAGAGTACGGTTACGTAAATTTCTAGACACTATTCAATGCACCTTTTGTATTAATATTTTGGAAACTGTTTAAAGTTGGGATAACCCTACCGTTGTGGTGATTTTCTAGAATAAATACGTCACTGGTGAAAATTGGTCTCGAATAACTAATACATTTGTGTTGTTTTCTAGCTGTGGCTGAACTATTCGAAATAGAAATAAATTGGTGATCACTGGGTTGATAAACAAAACTTAATAAATCTGCCAAAACTAATAAAATGAATTTATATTTCTTTGACGTGAGGTACCTGTCACCTGTCAGTTAATTCATATACCAACCAAAGAGTACAACCAACCACTCATCAACACTACGAACATTATCGGGGTTGGTATTAGTAATACCAACTGTTTTTTGAATACAGACATTCATGACGGATATTTTGTAGACATAGAGGTTTATATGTGTATGTTTACTAAAAATCACACAATGAAGTGTTTCTTGAATACAGGCCAATGTCTGAACGATATTTAGTGAACATCCATAATATATATTTAGAATAAACTTCACTGGAAAGACAGCAAAGTGACCACTGTTTCGAACAACGTATCATTGAAACGCAACTTTCTATATAGTATTTCGAGGATCTATAGGATAAGGGAAAGCCGAAAATGAGTATGTGTTATAGAGTTGACGATTAGGTGTTTTCACGAAGAGAAGAATGATCGTGAGCGTTCGATTGTGATTTAAAAGCACTCTATAGACAATCTCGAATATTGAAGATTATAGTGCAGACAAGTCACAATTACGTTACAGCATCCGATAGTAACCAGTGAAACAAAAGGTAGCACGGTTTCGATTTGAGTATTAGGTACGTATTACCTAATAAAACGTTCGGGAATGGAAAAAATATATATTATAAATCGTATGCTAATCGTATGCTGCTCGTATGAAATCTAATACTAATAAATGCTTAAGTCACTCACTCAGCACTCATTCTTTTTTGTTTCTCCGTACTGGTAAGTGCTAGGGAGCTAACATTTGGTATATATGTACTTCTTAGGTCTTGTATGCGCACTAAGAAAGGATTTTCGAATATTCCAACTGAGGCGCCCTCCGTGGGGGTAAAAAGGCAGCGTTTACATATAAAAATTACCTTTTCATCACTGTTTCTCCGTATCGGTACATTTTTGGAGGCTGACATTTTGTATGTAGGTTCGCTTTGTGTTGTAGTTGTGCAATAAGAAAGGATTTTTGAATATTGAAACTGGTTTTTCTTTTTAGAACTGTCCATACGATTTTTGAGCTGTCTTCCAGCTGCAGTGCAATCTTTCTGATACTATTTGAAGTATTTCCTTCTATCGCATCAAGTAAAGCTTCTTCTAGTTCCGTGTTGTTACAGTTTCTGGTCTTCCACCACCTGAATTTCCATTTAATCTTCTATTTTCACATAATCTTCCATGTAGCGTTGAAGGCCGTAGCCAGGAAACAATTTCGGGGGGATTTGCTATGGTGGAACAGTAGAAAAACATGAAATATAAAAATAACGAAGGAAAAAAAATGTGTTACATGTCATATATATTTATTAGAAAACCATTACAGAAATAGTAACATATTTTTACAAAATCAAATTTAGTTTTTTAGCTTTCTTTGCAGCAAACAAATCAATTACCTCCTTGGTGTCGATGTCAATTCTACGGTGGATTGACATTAACGCCAAACCGTTCAGTCGTTCCTGGCTGGTGGAGTTCAATTCCATGCCCTTTTCTGAATATAATGAAATGATCAGAAATCAAGGTAGGCGATTATGATTTAAAAAAAAATGAAGATGGAGGCCAAATAAACGGAAAAAAATGTTATTTGGAGTTGTCAATAACAAGAGAAATAAAAAGTTAAAAATAAAAATATAAAAAAAACATTTTCAAACAAGAGCTTTTATACAAACACAATAAAACAGAGGAAAATAATTATTTATTGTTTGATGTAGGTCATTCTGTGAGTTTTTCATTTTAAACTATATACAAGGGGTCTGAGAGTCTCGTATTCACTTGACTTGTATCAAACTGCTGCGCTATCGAGAGATTGCGAAATTATTGACATATCGTATTGCTGTAGGTCTAGTGACATCTGACTTATTTTCTAAATATAGGTATTCACTTTTTGAAAATACTTCACTGAAAATACTTCACCTTCCACTGATTTCTATCATTTTGCAAAATACTGGGTGTTCTATAAGTGAACGGTAAAATTTATACTTATTTAATAGAATTTAAGTAGTTTAGGTTGTCAATATCAATAAGTTATTTCAATGATGACGTACCATACGTCACTTTTACTTTAGGAAGAAAAAGTACGACTTTGCTTCCTACAATGAGGTCAGCAGGAAATGTAGGTATACTTTCGATAGAGGTAGGCGGAAAACATATTCATTGCCTATTTTTCAGTAAATTTTCTTCTGATAAAAGTGTGTGTACCTATTAGTTGAAACCCAAAGTGAACTACGTGCAAATACACAAAGAAACAAAAATGCAAAATATTTCTCTTTGTCACAACTTGGGGAGTTTAAATAAGTTTCAAAAAATACGTTATATTATCAAAACAATTTATTTGCAGTAGAACAATCGATTAAGGAATTATTGAACTTCATCTTCGAAGATAAAAATGAAAACAACAATAAAAATTAATTGGCGCTCCGGGGCGACTTCATTGATTCCAGTGGCGCATTTGCTTTTTCAGCTGCAAGAAAAACTGGAAAAACCTGCAGCACCACATCATCTGAAGATCTTGAACTGTCAATGTCCTCTCTCTCATAAAACAAAATGTAGGGTGTCTTCAGAGGCTCCAATAGATTCAATACATCGCCAGAACACTTCGTGACACGACTATCGTCAAACTTAAACCAGCCCGTTTCGTCTTTGACCAAGGCGTAATAATGACCAAAATCATCGCCAGAACCACAATGAACAATGACTGCATGAACATCATTATCACCTCGTTAAAACCTCGTTCTTGAAATTCTTCGTCATGAACAATACTTGTAAAATGCCATTCATGTAGTAAGTGTTTCCTAAATTATCCATTCCAATTTTCTTCTCTAGATTTTCGGGACAACTTTCTACTGATTCGTAAGGAAAAACATGTTTCACAGAATCTCCATAAGAACCATTTCTCAAGCTGTGAAGATGAAGGGTTTCGTAGAGGGATCAATTCGGCTCTTGCTTCATGAAGCTCTTCCACTGAAAGGGAACCAGAACTACGAGGACTGCATCTCATATTTGGGGGGGCAAGAATGACCTAAGTCCATTGACTACACTGAAAAAGAAGAAGGTGGATCAATCACTTGTGAATTAACCTTGATAGGGGACTGATGAATATCTACGTATCTCGGCTTGTTTCGAAGATATTTCAGTTTCGTACTGAAATTAGGGCAATGCATGATCTCATCAAAATTATGCGAAGGAGGCCTAAGATGAAAAACAGAGGTTGCATCTTTTGATGCAACCAACTGATCTTCAGCCATTCCCGTTTCAGTAAATGTTCACATTTATTTATTGTATCATTATGGGAATAAAGACCTATTATTATTATTATAGTTCCTAGGACCGAAGCAGCATTGCAACGTTGAATAGCAATACTAATTCTTTCTATCAAAAAAGAGGTAGAACGGTGATCTTTCGTTGCTTGGCCTATTCTCCTTCCGAGTTCATGAACGAATAACAGACTCCGGGCCATAAACACCAAAAGTTTCAACCGCTACTTTGGTATTTTTTATTTTCAATTCCTCGCCACAGGTTCACCGTATTTTCATGGTATGAGATACATACCTTCTGGTCGTTTACCATCATATCGACTGGTACCTAAGGGTTCCAGAACTGCAGGAACATCATCATCAGCTGACAACATAGCTCTTTTCAATATGTCGTTCACTTGGTGATGTCGAGATGTACGCCCTGCACTTCTCCTACAACTCAAACCATGTGTACCTTTCTTATCAATTAAATTACCGCAAACACAAGTATGAGGCACACAAATAGATGAACCCATCCTAAGTCCTACTGCTATTCTGAAAGATTCATCGTCTAATAGTGTTCCAAAAGATGCAACAGGTAAAGCATTCAGCCAAGCACCTGATTCCTTGAGCATTGCTGCTTTCAGACGAGCCTTATCGTATACACTTGTAGATTTCAGAAGTTTATCAGTTATAATGTTCAGAAGAGGTCGGTCCCATGTATTTTCTTTTCATTTGTAGGAGGAGCAGTGCCGAAGTGATTCACCTTCATCATAAAAAACGTCTTGGATATTGATGAATATGGAAGGAATGATGGAATCGATAAGATCTGAAACACTATTGACTGATGACAGAAAAGCTGGTAAAGCTACGGAAGAAGCCGAACACAGGAAGCGTTGCTTGGAGCCATGAATCATTATTGAAATGATTGTTTATAACATATTCCGTCGTGTTGCGGAGTAAATTATCAAATTCGTCAAGCTCTAACTGACTTGACCAAGTGGGGGAACATTTGAGGGCGTACATGAGTTTTGGAAACGCCAAATAATTTTTCAAAAAAAATGCAACTTGTTTTGGAAGTTCATTCAATCTGATGGTCAGCAATTTGAGTGATTCCCGTTTTTCTCGAAGATGTTCTGAAAGTGAATCTTTAGAAAGAGGAGCACCCAGAAGACTCCATTTAGACTTTTCCAAAATTCTTATGCCAGGAGCTAATTTCAAAATGATGGATTCGGAAATATTATTCAGAGTTGAAAATATTTTGCAGAGTGCATTCCGTACCGGGATCATGATTTTCTGGAAGTGAAATTATTTTCAGTGCATTGAAAAAATGGTAGATATCTATAATTCTTTTCCCAACCAAAATAATTTTTTTTTCAACAGTGTCTTTGAAATTTCTTTCACGTATAATCAGTGGGCATCCATTTGGGTTTTTGTATCTTCAGCAGAATTCGTATCTGATGATGATATCTCTCTGTTATCGTTTTCCAATTGATCTGCAGATATATTTTCTATATTTGGATGATTATTCTTATTATTTTCTAAAATTAAAGGTAACTCATTCGTCACATTGTTTGTTTTGAACCTGAAATAATAATGAATAAGACACATATTTAATATCTATGGAACACAGGAGTGATATGTTGTGAGTACAAAAAGTGTAATTCACGCCCTAGTGCATAAAGTTGAACTTTATAAACTACGCGTAACATTTTTACTTTATGTACGGCGTAAATAAACTTTTCACTTCTCCAATAAAATTCTAGTTTCGGTTCATAAAAGTATTTCTTTGAAAATAAAAAATTTTCACTTACTTGTATTTGGATAGCCTAGCGATTCTTGTTTTTGCACTAATTCGCTTTATACTCAAACTCATTTTTTTTTTTAGGACCAACGTCTCTCCAACAATGTTTGCTTTCCATATTCATATCGTCCAACAACCTTCTATACGTCTTTTGATGTATACTAAGCACAACTTATACTTTACGAATTGAACCAAACTGAAATAAAACAGCAATAATCCAACCGCAAACCTAGAAACACACGATTACAACGTATTTTACGTACCACCACTGTCGAGTTGATTCTGTACCGATATTGTGCAAGCTCCACCTTTTCCCTTCCTCTCGCCTGACCCTTGCATCCCTCAGAAACTGTTCGTTGTTCGTGAAGGGTCTGACACTGTGAAACACAAACCTGGGTACAATTGCATCACTGGTTGCCTCAATTGACCCATTCCTACTTCGAGGTTTACACCAGTCGTGTGCAATCGTAATATGACCATTAACGCAGTCTTCTTAACGTACAGGTCCAGAGGGGACAGACCAGTAATTAATTCCATTGCCGCGGTTGGTGTTATTCTCATGGCTCCTGTGATGTTCAAACAAGCCTATTTTTTATTTGATATAATTTTTGGATGGCCGTTGGTTGCTTGTAGAACTTTCGGGGGGATAAAACCCCCTTGATCCCCATGGCTACGGCCTTGGTAGCGTTCTAAATGTTTTAGCACATGGAATTACTCTGTTGAGATATCTGTCCTGGTATATTCTCCGTGCTTCTTCCGCATTTCCATTTGCTAATCTATAAATAATGTGCATGTTAGCCATAAACAACGTATGCCAATGAATACGAAGAAAATACAAGCGACGAAAAAGTTGTATTTCCAGTGGATTAAACTAAAAAATAAAAGACTACAACAAGTCAGTGGTGTACTTTGTTCCCGGTGTAAGGATATTTATGATATTTTATAAATACCTTCAACTATTTTGAATACCTTAAACTTAAACTTAAACTAAGCAACTCCGGATGTATGTTCAACAGAACTTCTTTTTTGAAACGACCTAACGAATCACCCTTAGAAGTTCCGTATCGGAATTAGGAAACACCCTGTATTAGGAAAAGTAAAGGGCCTAAAATAGTACCTTGTGGGACACCATAATTCATAGTTCTTGGGGTGGTATTCATTTATATTCATTTCGAATGATCCCAGGAAGATGTCTTTAGTCCTTAGTCTCATAGCAGTGTGAGTGAATGCGCTGATGAGTTGAATTTTGTGAGAGATTTTCTGTTGTAACCCTCCGCCTATGTTGGACGATTCTCGAAAGTACTTCTTTCATCTGGTAATCATCTGTCGCTTGGTTTTAGTTTGAAGTTACAGTCTCAGTAGCCATCAATCAAGTCAGTCAGATATATTTAAACAGTCGCTAGTGATTACTGATATGACCCCCATTTTGTACGGTTTTGCAGGCAGTCCATCAGTTGGATCTGTATTATTGTGCGCCAAAGCTTTGGGCTTGAACCTGAATATAAAACCAGTCGATCTTTTCAAATTGGAACATCTTAAATCCAAATTTCTTGCAGTGAGTAGAACCACATATCTATACAGGGTGTTAATTAAGTATGTGCCATAAATGTAACAGACGATTCTTTAGGCAATTTTGAGACGAAATGTTCATATAAACATGGGTTCGCAAATCCTTCGTTTTCAAGATACAGGGTGTTGAAATAAAAAAAAGTTATTCGTAAATATCTTAAATATCCTTTAGGTACCTAATTTTGTTTGTTTGCTATAGATAATGTATCAAGGATGTTACGTACAGCGCCATCTGTCCGCGAATAGATCAAGCAATAATTCTGTCAAATACAGATCTCGAGTTTGAGAGTTACAAACAAACATACATACATACAGGTGAAACTAATATAAAGCCTGTAATAAATTGGACATATACTCTATTTCCTTTCTGGGGTTTTGTTGGATATTCACAAATTTATTGATCCGTACCACACACAAGTTATATACTGTAATCAATAATAATTATTTCACCATGACATTCAACAACCAGGATTCCTTTTTCAGCTCAATCCGCAACACACGGTTCCAGTATTGGATGACGAGGGCTTCATCCTGTCTGACAGCCATGCGATCAATGCTTATCTTGCTTCTAAGTACGGAAAGGACACATCTCTGTATCCTGTTGACATAAAACAACGAGCAATCGTGGACCAACGGCTTCATTATGATTCCAGCTCTTTGTTCGCCAGAGGATTAGTAATATCTGTAAGTAAAAATATTAGGCTTAGGAAGTCATTCAAACCACCCGTGTTTTTATAGTAATTAGGAATTGTTTTGATCATCTATACCAGGGGTCTCCAAACTTTGAAGCCTTCGGGCCACAATGATTTTTTCTGTTTGTTCCAAGGGCCAATTTCTTCTCTCAACTATATTTCTAGACCTAAGCAAACTTACGCTTTTTTTGCATTTCAATTATTATTGTGTATTGTGACACTTAACGACATCTAGTGGCGAGTAGTGGTACTATGTACTATCTTTTTCAGCTACCCGCTAGGTAGCATTAAGAGTAATTAAATATTTGAAATAACCGCGTTGGTTCGAGAAAGTTCTGGTTCTAGCTAGTGTATTCCGATCACCTCAAGATGGCAGTAATAATTGCATATAAAAAGGCTAGCGGCGCAACTACGAGTTAGTCTGCGTAGGAAAGGCGAAGAAAGCGAAACTGTCTATTGTGAAATAAAGTCCCCATGTCAATAAAAGTATTTTGATTTGACTTATTGTTTTTATGTGTGATTTGTTAGTATGGAAAAGAACCGAAAAATCGACAGTGAATGCAGAACGTTCCAAGAAAAATGGAACTTTCAGTATTTTGTGATTGAGTCCAGTAATAAGGCGCTATGTTTAATTTNAAACCAGAGTCGCACTAAACAGTATATTTTCTCAATAACTAAATATGAAACTGAATTTGAGTAAACATTATCGTCGCTGTAAACGGATAGTCGTTATAAGCGGATTCGTTATATATGAATCCTACTGTATAGTTTAAAAAGACTAAAAAATGCGCTTTTGTAGCATACGAAATTAAAAAATGAAGAATAAATATAGTTTGAAAAAAACTAAAAAACACGCTTTCAACTGAAAAGTTGATTTTTTTTAAATGAGCGAAAAATACTAGTAATAATGTGAAAAAAGCGAGGGCGCTTTGTGCCATATTTTTTGTATATCAAGCGCCCGTCGCCTTTTTCACAATAATTTTTGTATTTTTGGTTCGTTATTGTTTTAAGCTCTCTGAAAAAATTATTTTTAACTTTTCAATTCGACGTTCTTCAAAAGCGTGTTTTTTAGTTTTTCAAACTATATTTATTTGTTCCTTTCAAAGGTTGTACTACTTGTAAACATTTTTCTGGCTCAGAGTACAATCATCGTATGCCACTGGCAACATTTCAAGGGTTTCTGAGCACTTGACATGCAAAACGTTTCTAACTTTTATGCTCCAAACTGAACATGCTGAACAGCTGAAACCGTTCAGAGTGGAGACAATGGGAAGGTCAGCCTGTTTCGTAAATATTTTTATTATTTTTCAGAAAATCATTCTCTTCGAAGGTGCCAAAGACATTCCTCAGAAGAACTTGGACTTGCTGAAAGAGGCGTTTGAGGTGTCTGAGAAATTATTGCAGAAGGAGTGGATTGCGGGTGATCAACTAACTATAGCAGATTTCAGCTTTGTAACTTCATTGACGTCTTGGAGTGTGTACATTCCACTATCAGAAAAGGAGTACCCTAAACTTGCTGCTTGGCGAAAAAGAATAGAGAACTTGCCGTACTATTATGTTTATCAGCAAAGTCTGGATACCTTCGTTAAACTCATGAAGAACAAAGTGCCTAAATGAGCGAGGATATTGGCATTAACTTTTTGTTATTATTTTTGGCCCGCGGGCCGTAGTTTGGAGACCCCTGCTATAAGCGGTTGGTCGCTCAAACCAGAGTCGCACTAAACAGTATATTTTCTCAATAACTAAATATGAAACTGAATTTGAGTAAACATTATCGTCGCTGTAAACGGATAGTCGTTATAAGCGGATTCGTTATATATGAATCCTACTGTATAGTTTAAAAAGACTAAAAAATGCGCTTTTGTAGCATACGAAATTAAAAAATGAAGAATAAATATAGTTTGAAAAAAACTAAAAAACACGCTTTCAACTGAAAAGTTGATTTTTTTTAAATGAGCGAAAAATACTAGTAATAATGTGAAAAAAGCGAGGGCGCTTTGTGCCATATTTTTTGTATATCAAGCGCCCGTCGCCTTTTTCACAATAATTTTTGTATTTTTGGTTCGTTATTATTTTAAGCTTATTTAAAAAAATATTTTTACCTGAAAAGGTAAAAATATTCAATGTTGTAAAAAAAGCGATGGGCGCCTGATATACAAAAATATGGCACAAAGCGCCTACGCTTTCTTCACAATAATACTAGTATTTTTGGTTCGTTATTTATATATATACAGGGCTTTTCATGATGAACGTTAATTAGCCGTTTCTGGCAAACTATTAAACGGATCAACCTGAACATTTCACAGTATGCATAAATTAATAATTTCCATATTTTTTTTACCAAACATGAACTTTTATAAATGCTGATAATCTTGAACTCTCTTGCACTAAAACGATCAAATTTGAAGTGAATCAATCATTCCTCAGAGCCGTAGGGGACTGTGTGGCATGGTTAAGTTGTTAGAGACTCAAGTTTCTAAGCGCACAAAAATGGAAGTTCCATTTACCGTAATTGAGGTACTGTAAACATCATTATTAGTATCATTATTCAATCCTACAGAAGTAACAATTGGCTATGGTAGCGATAATATAATATGTACATACACAAAATAATCAATGAAAGATTTTATTATTAAATATTTTTTCCTTTCATTATCATATTAATATACATAAAATTTAAGTAATAACCTAAGCTTGTCTCAAGTAAACAATTTCAATCTATCTATACTAATATAAATGATCGCGATTTTAGTGTTGAAATTCGATATTGGTATTAGGAAAAGTAATGGGCCGCACAGTACCTTGTGGGACACCATAATTCATAGTTCTTGGGGTGGTATTCATTTATATTCATTTTGAATGATCTCAGAGAAATGTCCTAAGTCCTTAGTCTTCAGCAGTTTTTGTAAATGAGATGAATTTCTGTACTGATGAGTCGAGCTCCGTGAGAACATCTCCGTTAGAACCCTCCGCCTATGGTGAACGATTCTCGAAAGTACCTGTTTCCATCCGGCAATCATCGGTCGCCTGGTTTTAGTTCGAACTTAGTCTCAGTAGCTAACAGTTAAGTCGGTCCGATATATTTAAGCAGTCGCTACTGATATGGCACCTACTTTGTACGGTATTGAGGGCAGTCCACCGGTTGGGGCTGTATTATTGTGTGCAAAGGCTTTGGACTTGAATCTGAATATAAAACCAGTCGATCTTTTCAACTTGGAACATCTTAAATCCGACTTTCTTGCAGTGAGTAGGTAATTTTAAGACGAAATGTTCTGATAAACATGTGTCCGCAAATCCTTCGTTCTCAAGATACAGGGTGTTGAAATAAAAATAAACAAAAGTTATTCGTAAATATCTTAAATATCCTTCACCTAATTTTGTTATAATTTGGCAATGGTATTCACAACATTGAGGAGCTAATTTAGCCCGAACGTGATTCAATTTATTAAATCCAGTGGCGTCTCGAGCGGGATTTGAACGAATATTTTTTACATAAAAATGTACGCCACTGACTTTTGTGCAATTTTTATTATTTCCTTGGATTGAGCAATTAGAAATACAACTTTTTTGTCTCTTGAATTTTTTTCGTATCTTGCTTAGTTTTTAACAAAAATAGTCGACCTAATTGCATATCCCCGGAACTCACAAGGAATAATATGGGGAAATAAATGTTTATTTTGGAAATTATTATTTTTCCAATTTTTCATTACTAATTATGTAACAATAACAACAAATAATAAATAACATTAACATCTAGACTAACGAATTGCACTAAATTAAGTGTTGGGACGGTTGTCATTGGGAGGCCTGCAACGGTATGAACAGTTCAAATTGAAGAAGTTGTTTTAAATGAGATTGAAGTAAATCCTCATACCAGTACTCGGAAAATAGCTGAAGAACTGAATATTACCCATGTCACAGTGTGGCAGATTTTAAGAGCCCAGCAGCTATAGGTCCTAGGTCCTTTGCTCTTTGTTATGTTTGTCAACGATATATCTGATTATATTAGGTATACAAAATTTGTGTTATACGCTGATGACTTAAAAATTTACAGATCCATCAAATCATTTGAAGATACTGATTTCATACAAAATGACATTATCTCCATATCTGCTTTCTGTAAGGATAATGACCTGGCTTTGAATGTATCCAAATGTAGAATAATAACTTTTACCAGGATACCTATTTGCAATGATTTCATATATTTCATTATAGGGATTTTATACTTATAATAATTTTATTGTCAATTGTATCTTTTTATCTATATATGTGTTAGGTTTAGTGTAGTTTAGGTACTGTGTATATGTAATTGGACTCTGTCTGTATATATTCAGGATAAATGAATAAATGAATATATCCCTACCACATGCAACGTGTCCAAGCTTTATTGCCCAGAGATTTGCTTGTAAGACTAGGTTTTTCTAATTGGTTACGAAGTAAAATAAAAAGAAATCCAGGTTTCCTAAGTCGAATATTGTTTACAGATGAAGCTTGTTTTTCTCGCAATTCAATTATTAACTTCCACAACAAACACAGTTGGGCCGTAAAACAATCCACACGCCTTGATAGAAAATAATTTTCAAGAACAGTTTTTTTTTTGATATTTGGGTTGTAATTGTCGGTGACCATCTCATTGAGCCTCACTTCCTTCCACTTAGACTTTATGAAGAAGAATACCGAAGGTTTTTAGAATTTGTTTTACCTGGACTTTTAGAAGAAATTCCAGTCATGGAAAGATTCCGTATGTGGTACATGCACGATGGTACTCCATCACACTTTAGTGTGGTGAATGAAAATCACCATAATCGCTGGATTGGGAGAGCAAGCTCACACCCATGGCCACCTCGCTCGCCCGAAATGAATCCCTTAGATTATTTTCTCTGGGGACACCTTAAAGCGTTGGTATACAAAACTGCTATTCAAAGTGAAGATGATTTACGGAATACAATCATTAATTCATGTGAGACAATAAAAAATACGCCAGGTATTTTCAGAAGAGTGCGAAATTCGATGATGCGGAGGCTAGACGGTTGTATTGAAGCCGAAGGAGGTCATTTCCAACACTTAATTTAGTGCAATTCGTTAGTCTAGATCAGTGGTCGCCAACCTCTTCAATGTGTTGAGCTACTTTGTTAATTTTGGAATAAACAGCGAGCTACCCACACGGAAGCCACGTAACGCAACGTAAATGAAATAATCCACAGTTAATTTGTCATTATATGTATTTATTTTACTGGTAATACATAATAAATATGTACTAATAATAAACTAAACTTCTTTTATAGCTGAAACTATCTCGTCTTTATTTCTAAAGTTGGCAAATAACGAATCAGCAGCTTCTAAAAACGCCTGTTTTATCATTTCCCCGTCTTCATAAGGTTTCTTTTTTTGTGCAACTATCTGGGACACACGGTACGATGCTTCAGTTGCAGCCTTATTTTTGTCGACTGTTTTCAAAAATATTGATTGTTGTCCAATTAACTGCTTTTTTAACTGTTTCAGTTTCTCCTTTCTGGCGGCAGAATGTAGTGGGAATGATTTTTCAAAATTAGAATGTACAGTTTTATGATGTCTCTCAATATTTCCTTTTTTAGCAACGGAGACCGAAGTATTACATAACAAACACACATTTTTATCTTTGTCTTCTGTAAAAATGTATTGTTCTTCCCATTCCGAATGAAAGTGGTATGTCTTTACCTTCTTACAACTGCTTACCATAATATTATTTTTGTTGTTCTCTACTAACCCAACCCCTGGACGTTGGTTACGCGTTCAGTTTTAAACTAAGCGCAATGTCGCCGCGCCGTGCGTATTTATCCCGTTCAAAGCAATCCAAATCGTTCTCGAACACTAACGCGCTGGTCCGGCTGGTCGGTTCTAGCCGATTCTAGGTTGATGGCGTCAGCGGCAGATCGCTCACCGCAACGTTGCCGCTGTTTATGTTTAATATTATGACAATTAGATTTTTTTGTGGAATTTTCGGAAGCTCCTCTGATTTTTGCAGTTTGTATTTTTTAAATTAAAATCGTTGTGAGAGCTACCAGAATTCCCTCCGCCAGCTACCGGTAGCTCGCGATCGACAGGTTGGCGACCACTGGTCTAGATGTTAATGTTATTTAATATTTGTTGTTATTGTTACATAATTATTAATGAAAAATTTTAAAAGTAATAATTTCCAAAAGAAACATACAATTCCCCATATTATTCCTTGTGAGGTCCAGGGATATGCAATTAGGTTGACTTTTTTTTCTTAAAAACTAAGCAGGATACGAAAAAAATTCAAGAGACAAAAAAACTTGTATTTCTAATTGCCTTATCCAAATAAATAATAAAAATTGCACAACAGTCAGTGTCGTACATTTTTAAGTCAAAAATATTCGTTCAAATCCCGCTCGAGACGTCACTGGACTCAATAAATTGAATCACGTTCGGGCTAAATTAGCTCCATGTTGTAGATACCATTGCCAAATTACAAAAAAAATAGGTGAAGGATTTTTAAGATATTTATGAATAACTTTTTTTTTTTAATTTTTATTTCAACATCCTGTATCTTGAGAACGAAGGATTTGCGGACCCATGTTTATGCGAACATTTCGTCTTAAAATTACCTAAATAATCGTCTGTTAAATTTATGGTACATACTCAATTAACACCCTGTATAATGACTCTTATAAATGAGTGGAAAGTTTTTAATCTTTTCCTTTTGAGGCCACTTAAAGAATAATGGTCAAATGGCCAACTCCGTTTGTGAATCAGAAGTACGAGGGTGATCTGTATCAGATGATTTTTAAATCGTTTCATTAAAAATCGTTCCATAGTTTTTTTTCTTATTGCTTAAAAACGCATCTGTTGATCAACAATTTTTTGCTACTAAATATGAATATTAAGAAACGATTTTTCTTTAATCACAATTTCCATTTCTCTTTGATATTCTGAAAAAAAGGTTTTTTCATTGATATTTTCTTTATATAATTAATAAACAATTTGTTTCAAACGAATTGATTTTTAATATATATTTTTTGAATACTTCCAGAAAAAACAACAACCATGTGTCACTTTTTGTGTAAAAAAAAATATTACATGATTTGTAAAAATGTAGAAACGTTTTTTGTTTACAACTTTTACAATTTTTTCGAGCCCTTCTTGAATTTTTTCAAAAAGTTGCTAGAGGTCATTTCCAATCAAATGAGATCAGGATCATCATTTTCGGTGCCCTTATTGGACAGAAGTTTCAAAAAAAAGGATCTTGGGACCCAGACTATAAAAGCTAATAAACTTCGTCCCCCCTTGCAGTCCAAACAGTGGACTGCAAAGGGGGGACCGGCTCCAAAAAATCAAAAACTGTTTTATTTGGCTGGAAAAGTGATGGCGACTGTTTTTGGAATAGTCATGGAGTCATTTTAAACGATTATCTTCAAAAAGGAAAATCAGTTACAGAATCATTTATTAGCATAATATATTTCATCGAATATAAATTGCATACAGTCCGTAAGTTTTCGAACAAAGTTGACTCCTTATCGAAGAATACAAATGGGCAAGTGATAGATTAGAAAGGTCAAAGATAAAATGGTTAAATCTTTCGCGGGTTCGAAATCCTTCGGTTTTTGGAAGTTTTATACTGTAATCAATATCAATTATTTCACCATGATATTTAACAACCAGGATTCATTTTCCAGCTTAATCCGCAACACACAGTTCCAGTATTAGATGACGATGGCTTCATCTTATCGGACAGCCATGCAATCAATGCTTATCTTGCTTCTAAGTACGGAAAGGACAAATCTCTGTATCCCGAAGATTTGAAAAAACGAGCAATTGTTGACCAACGACTTCATTATGATTCCAGCACTTTGTTTTCCAGAGGATTAGTAATATCTGTAAGTGAAAATATTAGGCTTAGGAATTTATTGAAACCACCTTTGTTTTTATAGTAATTAGGCATTGTTTTTTCAGGAAACACGTACAAAAGAGTGGGAAATTTAAATTTCAAGATTTGTGTACCAATATTTATTGAATTTCAAAAAACAGACAACCGATATAGGTTATGAATAAATGTCAGATGAAATCAAATTGATATCTGTTATGAAAAATGGAGAAATACATAATAAACTAATTGTAAATATTCAGGAATGATGAAAAATTTGAAAATTATTGTTATAGACTATTCTCTTAGATACGGACATCAAAGTGATGCTTTTGAAAAATATTTATAGTTAGACATAAGTGAGGTTAACCATTGTTAAGTAAAAATGCATCTAAATTCAAGAACAAATATGAAAATCATAGAATATATAGTTTTTCTGATATTGAAGTTGAAAATTTGTAGTTATGAAAATTGAAAGGTGGTAATTAAGGAAAGTAAGAGATTTTCAATTGTTTTGTCAACAAAAGGATTCTTCTCAAGGCGACGAAGGTGAACGCCACTAAAATATTGGTCTCCGGAAATTGGAAAGTATTATAAAGAAAAATTATAAATTGTATACAATTGTATTGAATATCAATAAGTAAAAGTAAATTGAGTGAGGACCAACCTGTTAAACCAAGTTCCAATCCGATTTCCGAAGCCCAGGTCCGAAGTTTAGAAAACTCACACCACACACCAATATTAGAGGAAAGCCAGGTATTCACCGACTCCATTTCAAGTAACATATATGCATATATTAAAGAAATTGTCCAAGAATAAAATAACAGGACAATAAAATCAAAATTTGAATCCAGAAGTCTCGGTTGCAAACCAAATGAGTTACAGTGACCCCGAATAATTAACTGACATTTCACAGACAAAGAGTGTGTACCCATATTCACACTAAATTAGTTTGGTGTAGGTTTAGAACATTTTTAGATTAGTAATTTTCTCGTTTGTTAATTTATATATATTTTTGAATTCACATTTCTACATTTCCTATTAATCATTTTTCTACATTTTGTGGCTGAATCCACCTGAGGTGTTGAGAATATTCTCTGTACACTGAGTTATAGGATTTAAACTCAACATAAGAGTCTAGCCGAATAAAATTTTCATTGAAGGACAATCTTTGCTGACTAGTTGAGAAGAAAACTCGGAATATCTTTGGGTGATCAGCAGAGCGGAGATGTACTCTTATAACACAAGTTATCCCAATATTTCGGTAAAATTTATTATCATCTTCCAGGAAAAGCTTCAACATTTGTATGATGATAGTACAATATAAAATTATCATAAAAAGGGCTCAACTTAGTGTTAGTGAGGATGGTCGAGTCGAAATCAATGTTACATTTAAACAATTGAAACATGTCAATACAATAAAACAACTCACTACATTGAAAGAGGAGAGTGAGAAGTAAAATTATTTCCTTTAGAGTGAAGTTCAATCTTCTGTTTCTGCCCTGAAAATATTTTGTTAACTTCCATTATCTCGTTGTTAATATTTTTATTATTTTTTCAGAAAAGCATTCTTTTTGAGGATGCCACAGACATTCCTCAGAAGAACTTGGACTTGCTGAAAGAAGCGTTTGAGGTGTCTGAGAAATTATTGCAAAAAGAGTGGATTGCGGGTGATCAACTAACTATAGCAGATTTCAGCTTTGTGACTTCATTGACATCTTGTACTGTGTACATTCCACTATCAGAAGCAGAGTACCCTAAACTTGCTGCTTGGCGAAAAAGAATGGAGAGCTTGCCCTACTATTATGTCTATCAGCAAAGTCTGGATAAATACGTCGAACTGATGAAGGATAAAGTGCCTAAATGAGCGAGGATGTTCGGTTGGCATCGACTTTTTGTGATTATATTGAGAAATGGATGAATAAAAGTCTACCAAGTAACTTACATTACTTTCTATTGAAAAGCGGTTCGTATTGAATAATTTTCACTAACCGAGTTTAATGATTGCCTGAAGAGTCATAGAATTAAATTTGAAGTCATGTTACAATGACGAATAGAAATCGGGGAAGGTTATCGCCGTTGTGTTCAGTTCAGAAACTGATCGCGATTTGAGTGTTGAAATTCGATATTGGTGCAGTTATGATTACTCAAAATTGTTGTTATCTGTTCAAAATGTGGCGTCCTTGGACAAGTACTGATAGTAATAACAAGTATGATAACAACGCAGAGTTTTTCCAGTGTAGTGATACCAATAGCGATGAGTTACTATATTTTTAAAGTAAAACTATAAACTACTAGCTGCTTCGCCCGCGTAGAATTTTGTTTGTCACATTGGGTTTAGTGAAAGACCATTTTAAACAAATAGTTGCAATATTTTTTCATTAACCCAAAACTTCAGGTTTCCAACTTCAAAACTGACAATTTTTGAACACCTAGGTACTTTCCTTGTGGATGGAAATGTACGATCCCCCTTCTTGATGCTTATTTACGCTATACAAAGAACCTACCTGCATAATAATAATAATAATAATATTTATTCACCATTCGTGATACATAGCGTATATATGGTAGGTCAATGATTATTTACAAAAAACATTACGTCACTTATGAATAAAATTATGGAATCAAAGCCTAAATAAAAATTATTATTTGCATATACAAAGGTATAGGTACATGTAGATATATAAAATGCTAATTAAAAAATGAATAAAAAATGTGGCAATTTTGCTTGCCGTAGTCAAATAAATATACATATGTATATATTTACATATATACATATATTTACGAACATGTACACACATATTTAAAAAAAACGATAAAATCGCCAGTCAGAACACTGAAACTAACGCAAAACAGCAAGTGAACATTTAGAACGATTATATATCTTATTATTCCTCTGTGAAAGAATCCTCTAAATATTCCTTATGACTGTAGTAACATTTGTCCAGTAATGAGTTTTTAACTTTCTTACTGAACAAAGTTGAAGAATTCAACCTCTTTATAGAAAATGGCAGTCTGTTATAAAAATTGATGGCATTATATAATGGAGATTTTTTGAAATGATCGTTCTTATGTGAAGGGACCCTCAGAGCAGTAGCATGGTGAGTATCACGACCGTAAATGCTCAAGTTCGTTATGTACAAGTCAGGGTTCCTGTGCACAAAAATGACACATTTCATTATATAAATTGCGGGTGCAGTCTTTCGAAAACGGGTCTACAACTTTCTTGGTACCCCAGGTTGAATATCAATCTTATCAGTCGTTTTTGAGAGATGAAAACTCTAGAAAATTCCTTTGCACATCCCCAAGCCATTATGTTGAAACTAATGTTATGCATTCGCAAAGTAAACATTTAGTAAACCAAACCTATCTAAACAATGTTTTAACTGTTTGATCGAATAATAAGCGGAATTGGGTTTACTGCACACTTTTTGTATGTGACTTCACCAGGTGAGATTCTCATCTAAAATAGTTCCAAAATATTTCAGGATTCTAGGTTCAGTAGCTTCGGCTGTACGTTAATATAAGAGTGTCAGTCAAGCAATAGGTTACCTACTTATACAATAGTAGCTGTTCTCCGCTGTTTTACCCGTGTTACCGTGAGAACTTACAATAATAATAATAAAAATAATAGTCATTTATTTCCTTAAGACAGTTACAAACCATATGGAAAAAGTCACTTGTTTACATTTAAAATACAATAATACTAATACTGATACTAAAAAATGTATTTCACCGCAAATTGCCAATTATATTTGAATGATTGTTTTGTCATGCAGTTTCTCATATTTGAAGGAAGAGCATTGTATATTTTAGGAGCCATATGACTGGGAGATTGTTGAGTTATTTTGAATTTTCCGAATGGAATTGAAAAATCATTCTTTTGTCTTGTATCGAAACTATGATTTTGTTTGTTCCTCACCTAAATTCCATCATTATTGTCGAATACTAGCATACTCAACTCTGATATGACTAGACAAGGTAATGTTAATATTTTCAGTCTCTTGAATATATCTTTGCATGAATCAGTCTGTGAAAGCCCCGTCATTGGTCGTAAAATTCGTTTTTGTGCCACGAAGATATCTTTTGCTAGGGTAGATAAACCCCAAAATATCACACCGTATCGTAGCCTACTTTCAACTTGTGCATAGTAGAGCTGTATCAATTGATCAATATTGAGTACATGCCGCAAATTTCTAAATTGAAAAGCAATCGAATTCAATTTTGAGATTAAAATGGGAGTGAGCCTTCCAATTGAGATTTTTATCTATTCGTAATCCTAAGAAAATTGTTTGAGCCGAACTAGTTGAGATCGATGGACTCGATTCGTTTGATTAGAATGACAACTCGTTACATTCCTTTTGGATATGGTGAAACCTCAGTGCTTGCGTTTTCGAAGTATTTAAAAACAAGTCATTTGCTGAAAACCATTCATTCAAAGAAGTCAACCCTTCATTGTATTTATCACGCAAGGAAGGGTCCATTTTTTTCAGATATGATTAACGACGTATCATCAGCGTACATTGTGAAGGATGCAGGTACAGAAAGTTTATCCAAATCATAAATATAGAAAAGGAACAGAATTGGCCCCAATATGGATCCCTGAGGAACACCGATGTCTGTTTCAGTTTGCTGTGAGAAATGAGTGTTGATGGCTACATATTGTGGACGTTTGAGTATAAATGATTTTATCCAATCTAGAGGACAGCCTCTAATACCATACTTATACAGCTTTTCCAGTAGTATGTCGTGATTGATACAGTCAAATGCCCTGCTGAGGTCATAAAAGATTCCAACAGGGCATTCTTCTGCCTCAATATATTCTATTATTTTTTAATAATAAGAAAACACCGCAGTCTTCGTAGATTTTTTGTTCAAATATCCATGTTGGTTTCTCGAAATTATATCATATTCATGACAAAATAACAATAATCTATCTAAAAAACAATACTCGAATACTTTGGAAAAAGTTGAACATACTGTGACTGGTCTGTAATTTTCAAGGCTCTGACGACAGTTCTTTTTATACTCAGGAGTTATTTTACCACATTTCAGCAATTCTGGAAAACCGCCAGAAGATAATGAGAGATTTATCATAAAAGTAAGTGGTACAGTAAGTTCTGATAGGCACTTTTTCAATAGAATTGTAGGTACCTCATCCGATCCCGAAGAAAATTTATTTTTTAATTTCGATTTGAGTAACTGGAATAGTTCTAGCTCCTGATATGGCATGATAAAAAAAGAATTTGGAAGTGACGTAACGTTACGCAGAAAATGATTGAAGTCCTTGTCACAGGAGACTATATTGCTCAATATCTTTGTATAGAATTCATTGAAAAGTTCAGCAACGTCTTTCGGATCGTCAACAATGGTGTTACTATCGTTTATAGTTATGTCTGATTTGATAGCCTTCGATTTATTAGATAGCTCTGACACTAGTTGCCATGTAGATCTTGGAAGATTGTCTGAATTATTCATTTTGTTTTGAAAATATTCCTTTTTTGTTTTAGTTATCAAATTATCGTGACTCTTTTTTCTGACTTTATATATGTTTTTCAGTTCGGGACAAAATTTTTGTAAGTTAAAAAGGTCTTTTAAATTTCGACTAGATTGTTTTGTTTCATGTGTGATCCATTTCTTTTTATTCTGATTTTTTGAACGAGTCTGTAATTTTGGAAAATTTGTCTCAAAATAATACGAGAATATTAACAAAAGTGTCTGAAACGCAAGATTAATATCAGTTTTATTCAAAACTTCAACCCAATTTTCATTGCCGATGTTTATTTCGAATTGATTTATACTATCATTCGTAAAACGCCTTCTGTATTCTGTTTTTGTTGATTTTGACATTTCGCTCAACTCCATATCGCAAAATATTAGACTGTGATCGGATATATCATTATCAATGACACAACATGTTGATTCCTCATATAAGTTAGTGAATATTTGATCAATTGTATAGGCCACGATACTGTATACTTCAGATTATAACATTCTAAAACATCACAGATTTTGTTATTTGCTGGACTGAACCTATCATAGCAATCTGCACCATATAAAAACATATTCACATCTGATTTAAAAATTTCATCTGAAACGTTTTGAATGGTGTTTAAAAAACATTCAAATCTCTCGATGGAGAACGATAGCAACACAGTATTATAGTTTTTTTCTATACTCAAATTACCAGAAATACCACAAATATATATGTCTTGTACAACACAGTATTTTGAGAGATCAATACCCTGTGTGTTATTCCAGGTCATGATCTATCTTTATACTAACATTTGAATCCATTGAGATGTTTAGCCGTGAAAAAGTTAAACACGTAATTACATACATTACGATATTCCATCCTTACAAACTTCATAATATCAGTAGGAGTAGGATTAGTAGGTTTTTTTGCTGATGCTATTCAATATTGTATAAGCGGCTATCAATTGATTGACTGACACTCTTATATTAACGTACAGTCGAGCTACTGAAGCTAGAATCTTGAAAAATGCAGGTAGGTTCTTTGTTTAGTGTAAACAAGCATCAAGAAAGGGAATCCGGAATTTCCACACCCAAGGGGGAAAAATAGGGGTGACAAACCAAATTCTACGCGGCGAAGCAGCGGGCAACAATATAATTCTACTACACTGGAATGGAAAATCACTTTTGATCTTGTTCAGGGTTATCATCACCTCATGTGATTTGCTGTGAAGTGTTTTTAAAAACAATTCAAATCAAATTGTGTAGTACTCTGAACGCTGTTGTTGCTGCTATCACAGTTATCTGTAGATCTATACATAAAACACATTTTGGTGGTTATCGTGTAATTCTTTCCATAGGAATTGGAACAAAATGGCTCCCAAATTATATTGGATTTTAGCCAGCCCTCCCGCTAGAGCCGTTGTTTTTTGTGCGAAGCAGTTGGGAATTGAACTGGATCTTATAGAAGTTGATATACTGAAGAATGAACAATATAAACCTGAATTTTTGAAGGTGAGAAAAGCATCATATTAAAACGAATTGGTTTTGAATATCTGACAACATTTCGAGACTTCAAATTACATTGGTTTCAAATTCGTTTGTACCAAAAAGTAATAGTAACAAATTGTCATAATTTTGGATTTGATACTCTTAATTTGAGAAGGAATCAGTTTATGCTCAGCAAAGACAATTTTGACGGACCACATTTATGTTTTCACTGCAAAACCTGAATTGAAAAACTATTGAAATACTGGCAAAGTGTCTGTCTTGAATTTTCTGGAAGGCTAAAGGATGAAAAGGCCTCTCAAAAATCAATTGGATGAAGATACAGTGGTTTTTTTCTCCTGAGAGCTGTCCGACTTGCCAATTTCTTCCTAGACTCTGGAAAACAGTTCAGCCTCAAAGATTTTTGCGTTTTTCCCCATGTTTTATGTCACCCATTCCAACAATCTTGTTCCCGATATTGGTTGTCATAAAGTGGTATTTTTTCTTCTGAGAGCTGTCTGACTTGTCAATTTCTTCCAAGACTCTGGAAAACAGTTCAGCCTCAAATATTTTTGCTATTTTACCCGTGTTTTATGTTATCCATTTCAACAATCTTGCTCCCGATACTAGTTGTCATACAGTGGTATTTTTTCTCCTGAGAGCTTTCTGACTTGTCAATTTCTTCCAAGACTCTGGAAAACAGTTCAGCCTCAAAGATTTTTGCGATTTTTCCCATGTTTTATGTTACCCATTTCAACAATCTTGCTCCCGATACTAGTCCGTACAGGTCTCTTCTTGGACGTATGTCATATTTTAGTTTGAATATGGCCATCAACAGATTTGGTAAAATTTTGCGAAAGGATATAAAAACCTATACCATCTACCAAAACCTAGTTGCAATTGCTGTTTTTCATCATTAGGAACACTACTGTTTACTTTCAGATAAATCCGCTGCATACAGTTCCTGTTTTAGATGACGATGGATTCATTATCACTGATAGCCATGCTATCATGCCATATTTGGTTTCAAAATATCGCAAAGGAAATTCTTTGTATCCAGAAGATATAAAAAAGCGTGCCATGGTGGACCAAAGATTACATTTCGATAGTGGAACTTTATTTGCAAACCATATCAGAGTCTGTGTGAGTAAAATATATCATAGGCGTCACATATTTATATTAACGAAGGAATGTTTATTTATTCATTTCTCAAAATGATGTAGCGTGGTTTCAGATATTATAATGATTTTTCAGTGAGTAAAATAAGTTTCTACCTCAATTGGCTTTGAACGTCCATTTTAGTGGCATTTATCATAGAAGTTAGATCTTTTGTTTTATATCTTGCTACGCATAAGCATCTGACCGAAAAAATACCATAACGAATTAACTATAAAACAAAGCAACTGTAAGTACATTTTTGTGGAAAATATAGTTAAAGGTAGATACTTATAAAAAGAACGACAAAATTTGGAGTTTCATTTTAATTTCAACTCTAACAATAATAATTAAATCAAAACACTGAACATAACAGAAATGTAAACAGATGAAAATTCATAATATTTTCGATTGTTGTAGATATTTACAGTATTGTGTGAACAATTTTCCAGCTTTACTCCACTGGCTTGATAATCCGTTTTGCCCAATGTCATCATAGTATAATTATTTTTATTTATTTGTGACGTACTGCTTCAAACATTTACATTTGCAGCTATAAACTCTTCAATATAACCTCAGGCTATCGTTGATGCTTTCCAATCCCCCAACCTCCAATATCTGTTTCAAATCCTGAACAATTCTTTTACGATAGCCATAATGGCACAATGTGGAGATTTCAAAAGATTGATGGAAGGTTTCCACTAAAATGACCACAGCATTTGCGGGTTTACTTGACATGTCGTCTCGCAACATGCCCATGTCGTTTCATGACATTTCGTCTCGCGACATACCATCCCACGACATGTCTATGTTGTCTCATGTCATGTTCATGGCGTCCCATGGCATGTCGTCTCATGACATGTTCATGTCATCCCATAACATGTTTCCTGGCATGTCGTCTAATGACATGTTGTCTCATTATATGTCGTATGGTGACATGTCCATGTCGTCTCATGACAAGTCGTCTCATGTCCGTTAGTAGCTCAGTGGAATAGATACTCCAAGACCCAACTCAATATGAATGTGCTTGTTTCTTAGACAATTATTGAATGGATACAACATGACCTTATTAGGGATATTAGACCCGTTTTATTAACTTTTTATCTGAATGTAAATAATGGTCACTACTCATGAACATGTGCGTTGTTTAATAAATTCAGTTGAATCATAGATAGAGAATGATTAAATGAGATATATGTCATTGCAGATGCCTCTTCTTAACAAAAGAACCAAGGCCATACCTGAAGACATACTAACAGCTTTAACCGAAGCTTATTGTGTTCTTGAAGGATTCCTTCTGGATAGTAAATATGTTGCTGGTGAGGATTTGACTATTGCAGATTTAAGCATTTGGACGACAATTACGAACTGCTCTGGATATCACCCTGTTGAAAAAAACAAGTATCCAAAAATCGCGGCTTGGTTGAAACGAATGGAGGCAACACCTTGTAATGATCTAAATAAAGCTGCTGGTGATTATATTCGGGACTTATTCCAATCATTGTTGTCTTAGGTAGTGTATTACAGGTATTTAGTGTATTCAGTGTATTTCAGTGTATTTAGGTAGTGTACTTGGAAATAATTCCCATGCATGCAACCAAATGCCAGTAACAAACATGACACTATTATTTTCTGACAAACAGAACACAATGTTTTTTTACTTCATGGATATGGATCAGTTAACAATGAATTTCGACTTGCTTAAAATTGTTTGAGCATATAGTTTTCAGATGTTTGGTGTAGAATTGTTTCAATAAAACATTATAAGCAATCCATGTGATTTTTTCTTGGAATATTTAAGATACTAGGTGACTCTGCGAACTTCGTTTCGCCTTAGAGGCAATAAAAAAGCACCATCCTTCTAACTATGTGGCTGCTATTCCAGAAGAAGCAACTGTAAGCGCAATGTTGGATCTCGCAATAACACTAGCTATAATTAATGACATCAGGAATGTCTTACCAGTTCCACCAGGGGCATCCAGGAAATATAAACCACTATTTTCATCATCAATCGCATTCATTAACCATTGATAAAATTACGTTTAGCTGTCATTTACCTTTTTTTGTTATTCTATGTCAGATGCGTTTTTGCTATACCACGTTTTATAGTGACTTCTTGGTGACGGAAAAGCAGTCGAACGGGATAAAAAGTATCCTATGTCCCTCTTCTTGTTCTAAGCTACCTCTCCACCAATTTTAAGCCAAAACGGTTCATCCGTTCTTGAGTTATAAATAGTGTAACCAACACCACTTTCCTTTATATATAGTATATATGTATAGATTTTGGACACAAGTTATGATGGGGTAATGAGACAGGTGTTTCATTACGTGTGGAGAAACTATAAATTGTTGAGAATGTTCTAAGCTTCTTCAGTCAGAAATCAGGTCGACGAGATATCAAAACTCCAAGTGTGTTCGTGAGTTCATGCAGTATTTTGAGTTTCTCATCTTTTGACCATCCTGATTCTTGCATATTTTCGGATACCAAACGAGAAACGTAGACAGCTATTTCGAATACGCAGTAGTCATAAAGCATGTCCATATAAATACTGTCGCAATAAGAAATTTTTTACATGATCAGTGAGTCGCATGGGCTCACATGGTCACGATTTAGAAACAGCTGCCTTAGGACGTAATAAGAAATTTGGTGCAGATGACTAACATGTTAGTAGTTAGTAAAGCAAAGTTCTGGATCAAACCACTCCGACACGTTGAAGATTTTGGGTCTGTTTCAAATTGATTTTTTTTGCTACGGATTATGATTTTCCTTAGTTTCCTTAGTTTCATAATCAAATCACTCCGCCACTGATTATTCAAATTCAAAACAGTGAAGGTCGATGTATAGAGAATGGAAATCTTGTTGAGCAGAGGGCTACAGGACTCCCCTTTTTTATTGAAAAAAAAGTTGACACCGCCTCTTCTGCGCCGCCATTGGAACCATAATGATAATTATTGGTAGTTATCTCATGTTTAACCTGGTATTCTTGGAAATGATATTACCAGGCCTGTGCTAATTGAATAATGTAACTGATGATATACAATGTTCACGACTTGGTATAGTAGGTTGAACGGTATATGGTATTGGCTAAACGATTATAATAAAACCAATTAGACCCTTAAGTTACCTACCCTAAGTTATGTAGGTGTTAGTTTGAAAATGAAAATCATTGCTAACTCGTCTTTGGGAAACATACAACCACGACAATGTTCGCAACATGTTTGATATTCTGGCATACCTATTCACTCGTAAAATAATCCTAATTCCACGATTCTGTAACTTTTTGTAAAGCCGATACCTTATTTTGGTCGAATGAATATAATAAATTGCACAATAATCAAAAAAGGGTTGGATTATACAATTATATAGTGTATTTTTTGAGTACATCGAAAGCTGAGATGGAATTCTTGAGAAAAAATAAATTTTTTCAGTAATTTTTCCGAATAGATAATCAAAATGAGCATGAAGAGATAAACGATTATCCACCTCGACTAAGTATTTGAATTCACTTATGAACTCTATTACCTGCAATTTGTAATCTTATGTTGTGTCTGTCGATGAGGAATAGCTTATAACCAGTTGATAGGATCATAAGTTTTGTTTTGGAGGAGTTAGGTTTGAGTTTATTGCGGTGCATGTACTTGTAAACATTTTTTGGTTCATTATTCACTTGATCAGCTGATGTTTCTATATTGAGTAGATTGAAAATAATATAGGTCCCAAAACACACTCCTGAGGTATCCCAAAAACGACCTTGCAAGATAATGACACTGAATCCTCAATTTTGGTTACCTGCTCACGTTGTGATAAATAGTCAGTCTGCCATTACAAAACCAATAATTTGCAGTTTATTTAGTAATATGTGGCGATCAATAGCTTTTTGTGAGATCTAAAATTACGGCTACAATATAATGTCCCTTATCTATTGATTTTTTCCATTTTGTTCAGAAACAGAGAACATTTTAGGACATATTTGAGAGCAGACTCATTGAATTTACTGTATGGAACTCAGTTAAAAACATTTTGATCATTTAATGCAATGTGCCGACGCCAGATTGTTTCCAGTTTGTTATGGAGTTTAACGGATTATATTGTGTAGTGGTTCAAAGGTCGACTCGAATATAACTGATATGAGTGATTCAATGAAGTTACACATTTTGGTGTGATTGTCCAATAGTCATCAGCGAGAAATGGCTCCAAAATTGTATTGGATTCTTGCTAGCCCCCCGGCAAGGGCAGTGGTTTTTTGTGCGAAACAACTGGGAATTGAATTAGATTTAATAGAAGTGGATATACTGAAGAAGGAGCAATACAAACCTGAATTTCTGAAGGTAAAAAAAATGTGGGGATTCAATGAAAGTTCATTGATTTGAGTTTGATAAAAATAGAAATCTCTCAGTTCCTATTTTATATCTTTTAACAAAAATATTGCCTGAAGGTAATTCGTGCCAATATTCAGTTTATTTTAACCTTTCACATTAGAAAATAAAAAAAGAAGATTTTATGCCGCAAAATTGCTGTTTTGAGAACATGGTTTAATCTAAATAAAACAAAAACAAACTGAAATTAATAAGCAACTTAAATAGTTGAAAAAAAATCACCAATATTTTTTTCCCTATTAGAATGATGTTCTTTTAATTGAACCTCCAGTGGCCTTGAGGTGTTCTTTGTATACTTATCACAGCAAAAACAAGGTACGATTTGGAAGATGTCTGAAAGAAGTCCATTAAATTTTTTTTGCCAGGTTGCCAGGTTGCTTTCAGTCAAGAAGTAAATCATATGATTATACTTGGAAAGAAACATCTTTGACAAGAATCTAATTTTTGACAAGAATTATACGTCGTCTAATTTTCATCTTCCAAGTGAGTTCAAGGCAATGTTTTTGCAAGAAAATTCAACATCTGATGAACAAATTGAAAAACTGAGAAATCAGACCGTATCGTAGTTTTGTAACACACTATTTTTGCTTTTAATTGCAAGCTAAAACAAATAATTTTCATTTCACATATAATACGAGAAATTAGGCAAATTAGGCATATAATATGAGGAATTGGGTAAATTTCGACTATGCGGTTGTTTACCTCGTTCAAAGGCAGATGGGGCGGTAACAAACCCGCTGTTTGTTGTCCGCTTCAGCTTAGTTCGAGGAGTGATACCCTGAAGGAATTCGATTTTCAATTATCGAAAATCATCGACTTTATGTTCATGATAGACATTACCTGCACTGACGAGTGACCAAACAGCCCGAAACCGGTCTGCAAGTGTGTTCCAATAATTGAAAATCTATTACGGCAGTTGTATCACCAACAGCATATGCAGGAATAACTTCAATGAAGAATCCTGCACCTCGTGGTATTAGCCAGGGGAGTAGTTGTTTTCTGTTAGGTGTCAGTTCATTAACCTACAGTGTAGGGAGTTGAGACTGGCCTGAATGAATTCCTTTAGATGATTTAAATAATTTTCAGCTGAATCCGCTTCACACTATACCCCTTCTAGATGACGATGGGTTTATTGTCACAGACAGCCATTCCATAATGTCATACCTTGTTTCAAAATATCGCAAAGGCAGTTCTTTTTACCCAGAAGATATCAAGAAACGGGCCATTGTGGACCAAAGATTGTATTTCGATAGTGGGACTTTATTTGCAAACCATATCAGAGTGTGTGTAAGTATATTATTGTACCTATATTTTTTTTTTCAATAGATAAAACGATAAATGACTTTGTGATAAACTGTTATACACTTAGTAGGAAAGTAACATGCATGTTTGGTACTTGTTTTGGGTTTATTCCATACCAGTTTTACTTTTTATCTGAAGATTAAAAGTTTCACTTAGCAACGCCTATTTTCTGTCATGGTAATGTTGTATAACGTAGTTTTCTTCAACATAGGCTTTGGTAATTCAAATAAGTCGGCGGAAAATGAAAGTGGTTAGAAGGGAATTACTATCGCCGATGCCGAGACTCGAGCAGTCTTGTGTAAAAGGACTGAGTCGGGCTAGTGTCAAAGTTAGTGCAACTGGCAAGGGTTTATGAGACAAAGTATGTGATCTTTTGTTCCAACAACTCCCACAGACAGTTTTCTACTTGTGGTTCGAATTTTATGAAATGTAATCACTTTTTTTCATCAAAACTTATGTTATGACATGCACCATAAATTCATTATTGACGAATATCTATCATTACAGACACCAATCATTTTCAAAGGCGCCAAAACGATACCCCAAGACTTATTGACTGCTCAAACCGAAGCTTATGGTGCTTTGGAACAATTCCTTCAAGGCAGTAAATATGTTGCCGGTGATGATATGACTATCGCAGACTTCAGTATCTGGACGACAATTACAAATTCTTCTGATTATTTGCCAGTCGAAGAAATCAAGTATCCAAACATCACGTCTTGGTTGAAACGAATGGAGGCAACACCAAATAACGATTTGAATGAAGCTGCAGCTGAATATATTCGGAACTTATTCCAATCCCTGTTGTATTAAAAAGTTTATTAAAAAATGATGGGTTTGAAGAACTAGTTTGTATATTATTGAATTTCTATTATATTTATTCAACCAATAATGCACCAGAGGTGAGAATGAACTTGGGGGTTGTGCCCCCATTTTAACAATTTTGTAATATTTCAGTGTCAGTAGGTATCTAGCACAGACGAAGTGATTTTATTTCTAACGACTTACTCATGTTCTTTGTTTCAATATAAACTCAGAGATGTTTCAGAAATTTTGTGTTGGAAATATAGGTATTTTCAGAATACGAAAAAAAGGTATAACAAAATTGAAAATAAAATCCTGCACGTACACAATCTAGATATATACCTACGCAATTAAGACGACACCAAAGATTTTTGATAAAATTGACTAGAGAATTCAGGAACATTTCATTAGTTTGGACTTCCATTTTCTAATATGATGTAAATTGATTTGAAATCCCTGAAATAATCTATAAAAAAATTGCAAGGATTAGCTGAAAAAACAATTTTTATTAAGCAAAAAACTGAAATTACAATGAAATAACATACAAGCAACAACCACGAAACATTGTCAACCACCTTATAACAAAGAATTTAGGAAATTTCATTTGGCAACATTGTACCACAGTAGGATGTACGGTGTACGATTTCTACTTTTCTATATTGGTTATTGTTATTTAGTGGTCCAAAAGTAGCAGACGTTTCTGTACACACCGATACAGCTATTTATTTTCGCCGATTATCTTTGTTTTACCAAATATTCTAAAGAAATGGCTCCAAAATTGTATTGGTTCTTAGACAGCCCCCCTGCAAGAGCGGTGGTTCTTGTTGCGAAGCAACTGGAAGTTGAATTGGAGTTGATAGAAGTGAATTTATCGAAAAGGGAGCAATACAAACCGGAATTTCTGAAGGTAATCAAAGTAGTGATTGTGCCTCTGCCTATACTTTTTATCTACATATTCAGTATGTATTCATTAATAAAAACAGTTGTATTGGAATTTTTTTGAATTTAGTGCTGCCATCTATGGTATAACTTGCTGAACTAAGAAATGTGTAGTAGGTAGGTTACTTCTTAGTTTCAAGATGAAAATGACGATGTTTGCAACTAGTTTTTTTTAATTTCAGTGTGTTTGTGGAAGACAAATTGTTTTTGTTCATTTCGAATGTCATAATTTCAGTGAAAAGGAATCGACGTGGCTACTGCCCCGAATAACGTAACTCTTCAATGAACAATCATTTTATTTTTTGAATCTTTCAGAAAAATTTGAAATTTTACGATTCTGAGCCCCTTTCATAAGAATTCGTCAGCTTTTATTGCTTTGTAATGTAATGAGGCAAGTTTTTGTTGCCTCCAACTGTGACTACTTTTGTTATGAGTTATTCTGTTTTATATATTGAAGAAGACACTTGTAATTTCATTTTTCTATTAGATAATTTGGTATTGACCCAATGAATCCTCGGAGAGTGGAATAAATTTCTTGCAGTGCTTCTACTTTTCATATTTGAACATAGTATACAATTTGAATTAGATCTGACCTTGAATTTGAGTAACGACAGTTCAACTATCGGTTGTCTTGCAGAACATTCTCAGAAAAACCCAAGTACAGTCACAATTATCAATAATACAACAGACTTCAGTCATTACGTATTGTTAATAATAACAGAAAAATTGATTACAGCTTCTATATTGACGTCAACAATGACAATAAGAATAATCTCGGAAAATCATCAAATACTTCATTTTCAACATGAATACATACATAAAACTTAATATAAACAACGATATTGGTGCAAAGATGGGAAATTTTTCTGTCCGTTATTAGAATTGAATTTTATTGAATCTAGGTCAAATTTATAAATCAATCAAACACATCACATTAGCCCAAAAAACATAACAGCATCATAAAATACTGGCTGATTCAACAGGTCAAACAAACTTAAAGAAGCCAATATAAAACATAAAACATACATACAACAAAGTTAATAAGATACAATCAAATTAGGATTCAAGGAGAAACTCTACTAAGCTCATATAGCTTAACATCACAGCACATGGGGTGACTCTTTGATAGTGTCAATCTACTATAAGGTTGATGTAGTTGAGAGTTATTTCTGGTCAAATGTTCATAGATTTGCTCATTTCAAGATATACAAACTAGGCATTGTTAATAAACTTTAACGAATGAATAATGACCTGTAGTGTGCACTTGTAGATGCACCAGCCAGAATTCTGATTCCCTTTTCGTGAATAACAAAAACTTCATCAGCTTTAGCTGATAAGCCCCACTGTTCAAGACCACAGGAACTCATTGACTGAATTGAACTGTGGTATAAAAGCTTGAGAACATCAAGAGAGACTGTTTGTTTTAACCGACGAAGTAAATATATTTGTTTACTGAGCTTCAGTTTGACACTATCAACATGGAACTTCCAGGTAAGTTTATTATCAATATCAACAACTAAGAATTTAGTGCAATTAACTTGTTAGGTAACTGATAGTTACGTAAACTTTTCTCTCTGGGGCATTTTATTTGACGTCATTCGCCTTGAGAACAGAAGGTCGCAGGGGGCCAAATCCGGTGAATACGGTGGCTGAGAATTGTGTTTCAACAAAACCAGACGTTTTCTTCGTATTGCTTCTCGCAAGCGGCATATACGTTCAAGATAATACTCCTTATAGACTTACTATGCCACAATAATCGAAGCAAACAGTGAACAAAATCTTGACATTGATGGAATTTGACGTGCTATTTTTGGTCTTAACTCCACTTTATCACGTGAAACCAAGTCAAACAAATCATTTTAGTTTGTTTTTTTTTCAGATGAATCCACTACATACAATTCCAGTTTTGGACGACGATGGGTTCATTGTTACTGACAGTCATGCGATTATGTCGTATCTGGTTTCAAAATACGGCAATGGAAGTTCTTTGTATCCAGAAGACGTGAAGAAGCGTTGTTTGGTGGACCAAAGGTTATATTTCGAAAGTGGAACGTTCTTCGCAAATCATCTCAAAGTTTGTGTATGTATAAATTGTTACACTTATGGTTCTCGATAACTAGTAGCACAAACAAGCAGCTTGGTAACAGTCATACGTTTATGCATTAATGACACTTTCTTATTAAATTATTTATTATACACATGAACGAAGTGATCAAATCATTGTCAGAACGTGTGAAAAATTCAAAAAAATGTATCCCGAATTAACAGCAATGAACGCGAGGAAGTTTGTAAGGTTACAAAATAATTTTCTTAACAATGGCTCAAAGTTTCCAGGGAACAACTGTACCAAAAATCAGTCATTTTTGGTAAAAAGTAATATTTTTGTGGGCTAAGACATGTGAAAGCACAGACAATAACAGAATAGGATGATTCAAAATAACAAAATTGTAAACAAAATATCACATTTTCACAATAAATGCTGAAAATGTTGTCCATTACATTCTAAACACTTTAAAATGTTTTTTGTACGCTTTTTCAATTTCTTGGGGATCCAGATCTTCAATACTCCGCACTATTCGCCGTCGCAATTCTTCTTTGGTAGGCACTGGAGTATTGTATACCCTTTCTTTCAAGTGGCGTGAGATCGGGTGATGTCGGTGGCCAATCCTACGGCCCTAAACGCCTAAACCAACGATCGTCGAAGAGTTCGTCAAGTTTCCTGGAAACTTCCTGGGTGGAATGAGCTGGCGCTCCGTCCAGTTGAAACCACGAATTCCTATATTCCTCTAAAGGCAAATTTTCAAGAAAATCGGTTACAGTCGTCCTTATATTTGGAGATATCTCTCTGCATTCAGAGTGTCTTCATAAATAAAAAAGCTAATTTTATTGTTCTTCAGAATACAGAAAACATTCAGGTCAATTTTTTCTTGAAAACCCATTTGTAACATGAGGATTATGATCAGCCCAAAAATGTTTATTCCTTCTATTGAAAATACCATCCCTCGTAAATTTTGATTCGTCGCTCCAAATTATTTTTGACAAAAATTCCCGATCTTCCTGTGTATGAATCGAAAGGGATTCACAAAAATGCATTCTACGTTCGAAGTCTTCTGCTTTTAGAGCTTGAACTTTGGTAAATTTATACGGATGCATTCCGTGATTTTTCAAAATTCGTTGGACTGAAGCATGTGATACACCTAAATCTTTTTCTGCACTGCGAATGGAAGCTTCTGGATATGCATGAAAATATGCCAAAACGTTAACAGTATTGTCCTCATTTGAAATAACAGGTTTTGGTAATGTCGAAGGCGCTTTTAACATGGAGCCGTAGTTAAAGAAATTATTTTGTAGTCTACCTCTCGTTCATTGGTGTTGATTCAGGATACATTTGGTTGAATTTTCTAAAAGTTCTCACAAATTTAGGTGAAAAATCAGGTACTTGAAATACTTTAAATTGTAGAATTAGGTATATATAGAATTTAATGTGTAAAATTAGTTATTAAGACACGCCTGAGGAAGCCATTGTATGGCGAAACACGTGTTGCGTTTTTGTAAAACTATCTAGTGAAAATCACACAATAAAGTTTTTTTAGAATACGTTAGTTATGGTTTTTCATCAAGTACCGGCCAATTCCATCATATATCAAATGAAATCAGTGTTGATAATTCACCTATGACCGTGCACTCCTAAGTTTATTTGTCATCTATCATTACAGATACCTGTTCTTTACAAAGGAGAAACAATCATACCCTCAGAAGGATTGACATCTATGATAGAAGCTTATGATGTCTTGGAAGAGTATCTTAGAGGCAGCAACCACGTTGCTGGTGATGATCTGACTATCGCAGACTTCAGCATCTGGACAACTATCACGAATTCCTCTGTTTATTTGCCAGTTGATGAAAATAAGTATACAAACATCTCCGCTTGGCTGAAACGAATGGAGGCTACTCCAAATAGTGATTTGAATAAAGCTGGTGGGGATAATATAGAGAAAAGATTTGTAAATGCTCTTAACTTTAAGAACCAATAAGGTTTTTGTTGATCACGATTGTAAGCCACTCGCTATCAATAAATTTAACCTCTGAGAATTGTTTTATTTCATCTGTTGGGTTAAAAAAAGATTTTATTTTATAGGACATGCTGGAATATAATAATAATAACGTAGAAATGTATTTCTCATTACTAATATACAGGGCTATTCATCATCCCTGAAAGACTCCTCCTGTCCAGATATTCATGATCTAAACAGTAAAATACTGAAAGCAGCTGATGATATAATTGTGGAAAATTATTGAAACCTTACTGAAGCAAAGACTGACCAAGTACTTTGAAGACAATAATTACTTTAGCAACTCTCAATTTGGCTTTCGATCCAATCGTTCAACCATAGGGGCAGCATCAAGGATTCTGGAGAGCCTGGTCCAAGGTCCTGAACAGGGGCGTCATATGAATAGCACCCTGTGCGACCTGTCCAAGGCTTTTGATTGCGTCTCCCACGATATTCCACTACAAAAACTCAATTATTACGGCATAAGAGGGGTAGCCTTGGACTTGATTGAGTCCTACTTAACTAACAGATTTCAAGCAGTGCTATACAATAACTGTGTATCCGGTTTCAGAGATGTCAAACTGGGCGTTCCTCAGGGCTCTGTATTGTGTCCGCTGTTGTTCATTATCTATATAAACGATCTGACCCCTTTCCTGTATCCACTCGAAAGTGTTCTTTTCGTAGATGATACCACATTAATTTATTAACACAAAAATCAACTCACTGGTCAGACTGGCTAAGGGAGCGGAAGAGAAAGCCGAGTCTTGGTTTCTCGCGAATAGACTCAAACTAAACAACAACAAATTCCAGCAATTAATAGTAACTACGAATACATCTCTGCAGGAAGACAGAAATGTCAGAATGCTTGGCCTTGTCCTGGATGACAAACTCACCTGGTCAAACCATGTCAGTCAACTAAGCCTGAAATTGTCCAGCTCACTCTTTGTAATCCGCCAATTGAGGCTCGTAACAAACTCATACACCCTACGAACCGTCTATTTTTTCCTCTTTCAAACCCATCTTAGTTACGGTTTACTACTTTGGGGAAACTCAACAGCGGCACCAAAATTATTCATACTACAAAAAACGGCTGTAAGAATTCTCTCCAACGCTAATTATCGTGATACATGCAGACCAGTTTATAAAGCACTGAAAATTATGACCCTTCCATCTCTCTTTATTTTGAGCACACTACTGGAAATACATGAGTACCTGCCGAATTTAACTCTGCAATCCGTTGTCCACGAACACAATACCCGCGGAGCCAATAAAATCAAAGTACCCAGATATAGACTTGCTAAATCTTCTAAAAACTCACTCAACTACAAACTATATAATGTGCTACCAGATAAGTTAAAAAATGCAACCATGTATACGTTTAAATTCACTATTAAACTCTACTTGACGAACAACGCTTTCTACTCACTAGAGGAATATGAAATTTGTGTGATAAACGGGGGCTTGATGACGTATACTTGCTGAGAAGTCATAAACCCAACCTAAACTAATAGTCTCACATGTATGTATTGTTTCTGTACATGGGGATCTCGTAAACGATAAGAGATAGAGTGTCGGTTAAATCGTGGCAAAGTTGCATATTTTAGAGACCTATTCAATGATGTAAAGAAATCGAATATAGCTCTTTTGGTTCTGGAAAAACCAAAAAATCCCAGATTATTTTTTTGCCTATATCTCCTTTATTCGCAGACATATTGAAAATCTTTCCACATTTTGCTATTGGCACTTGGTGTGGGCTATCAGACTATGTCCATGAATCTGAGTTGGGTCACCTCCATCTTTGAATTTTTAAATACGGACCTGTATTTTTTGTTGTAGTTTTTGGATCATAGACGTTCACTTCATACTGAGAAATTGAATTTTACTTTACATTTGAGGATGTTTCGGTAATATTTGATCATAATTGAGTGAATTATTCCCTTTTAAATTACGGCCCTGGAAATTGGTTGACTGAGTTGAGTAAAAACATAATAGCAACTCTCACGTCTCCCTATGTATCGTAGACTTTTTCGAAGTTTTTTTTTAATTTTCAGGTACATATTCATATTTTTTCATATTACCATTGCTCTGAGCGTTTTCTACAATGAACTTCCAGTAAGAAAACCTTTTATGATTATCTGAAACTTATCTACAACAAAATTATATTATATGTGTTTTGTTAGGCAGAAAAAAAAAAGAATGCAATAATAACATCCAAAACCAACACTATGATAGTAATGAAAATTGAAATGAAATAATTTATATACACAAAAAAATAAATGGCCCAATAAATGTTCGAATTGGAGTCCTTCCATTTCGAGACAAATACTGGGCCAATATAAATGGCCTGCAAGATCACCAGATCTCACTATTTTGGACTATTTTCTATGGGAGACATTGAAAAATAGCATTTACGCTGGCAGAGAGATAGAAAGTGTGGAAGACTCGAGATTGAGGATTTTGGATTATTTCGCAACAATGCAGCAATTAAGTGTATTAAGGGCAATACATAATTTGAAAAACCGAGTTCAAAAATGTCTCGAAATGGAAGGACTTCCAATTCGCATATTCATAGTACAATTAATTTTTTTGTGTATATAAATTAGGAACTTCATTTCAATTTTCATTATAATTATAGTGTTCGTGTCGGATGTTATTATTGCTACCATTTTTTTTGCTCATGCAATGGAAAAATATGAATAGGTACCTAAAAATGAAAAAAAAACTCTCGAAAAACTCTACGGTACATAAGGAGATGTAAAAGTTGCTATTGTGTTTCTATTCAACTTAGTCAAGCAATAAAAGGGAATAATTCAAACAATTATAATCGAATATTACCGAAAACTCTCGAAATATAAAATTGAATTCAATTTCTCAGTATGAAGTGAACGTCTAAGATCCAAACACTACAACAAAAAATACAGGTCCGTATTTAAAAATTCAAAGATGGGGTTGGCCCAAGTCAGATAACACCCTGTATTAACGATTCTTGGACATATTCTGATAGCTCACATCAAGTGCCAAGAGCAAAATGTGGACAGATTTTCAATATGTCTGCGAATAAAGAAGATATAAGCAAAAAAGTAATTTGGGATTTTTTGGGTTTTCCCGTATATCTCCAAAACCAAAAGAGCTATATTCGATTTCTTTACATCATTGAATAGGTCTCTAAAATACGCAACTTTACCACGATTTAACCGACACTCTATCCCTTATCGTTTACGAGATCCCCATGTACAGAAACGAATTTGAATAGCCCTGTATAAATCAAATTTATCGAAAAAAAAAAGGATAAAACATTGGGAAAACGTCGAAGATCAGGTGGTCTGTGTATCTGCCGATAGACAGACCTCTGTAATAATTATTAGAAGTAATTTCTGGATCCCATTAGCAATTTTTCAAGTAATCTGAACATATCCAATGAAATGAGCTTTAAATGTTCAAGCTAGTCTCGGATATACCGACAAAATAGATTGAATGGACTGACATCTATCAGAAAACAACTACTCCCCTGGCTAATACCACGAAAGGCGTTGGATTATATCCGACAGGCGTCAGTGCAGGAATCTTCACAGAAAATTTCCTGCATATACAATTGGCAATACAACTGAAAGAGTCGGCCTTCAATTTTGGAACGGCACACTTGCAGACCGGTTTCGGGCTCATTAGTCACTCGTCAGTGTAAGATAGTGGCCATCATCGACCTAAGGTCAATGATATTCCATAATTGAAAATCGAAATTTTTTCAGAGTATTTCATTCCTCGTCTTAAGTTGGAGGGAACATCAAAAATGTTATTCCATCTAGTGGACGACGTACTAACCAACTGCATATCCGAAATGTAACCGATTGCTCTGAAATAGGAAGAAAAACTTTCTTATTAGTCAGTGGGCTGACTAATAAGAAAGTAATCTGAACATGTTCCTGTAGGATATTTTGTAAACAATGATTGCAGTGAAGTATTATGAACATCCTCTTATTTTCACTCTAACATTTTGATGAAAACCCCCAAAAAATTTAAAATCTGCTTAGATCTGAGCAAATCCAGATTAGTAGTGATAGAAAGGTTTTGTATGAAGATGAAGTAATATTTCAATCATACAGTATCATCACTCTGAATGAGAAATTCGCCCACACATGTAAAAAATTTTACGTTACAATTTTTCTTTCCAGATTATGGATAGAAATTCCTTAAAGGTCCATTTACATATTGTGGGTGAATTATTTAACCATCATCAGTAACTGATGATCCATTTTTCAACCAGCCGAGTAAACAGGACGGTACTAGCGCCAGAAACCGGTCCGGGGCTAGAGGAAATGTATCAGTCTCTAGAAGTGGGAGTAGTTCATCGTGATAGTGAGTACGTTCCCAGATATAATTTGTCACAAGTGTTACTTTCAAAAGATTGCTGAATGGTGGAAACTCACCATAATATTAACTTTGTGGTCGAGAAAGATACAGAATTTAGGAAGTTCAGCTAAGTTTTTGTAGAAAAGAAATTCTCGAAGGTGAGTTTTTATTAATTTCAGTCTTCAAAGCTCATCATTCTCACCGGGAGTCCCCTTCCGGGTGGGAGCCCGCGGTATCTTACCGTCTACGCAACTGGTTTATCTCGGCAACTATACCCACCACTGGCCTGGTCAGAGAATAACTCCGTGACCTTAATTTAGTTGTCTTCGCTTTAGACGATTTGTTGTGAAGTGCTTACAAAACAAATTCGTAGCTCGTACGGCTAGCTAGTTAGTGGTCCAAAGGTTGTTGACGAGTGTGTATCATCATTTAGAAGAAATGGCTCCAAAATTGTATTGGATCCTTGCTAGCCCCCCCGCAAGAGCAGTAGTTCTTTGTGCGAAACAACTGGGAATTGAATTGGATTTGATTGAAGTGGATTTACTCAACAAGGAGCAATTCAAACCTGAATTTCTAAAGGTAATAAAAGCAGTGACTGTATAGTTTGGTCAAATTAGGTTATAAATGCGTTTCAATGCGTTGTTCAAGTGGTTTGGCCAACAATCTTCGCTTTACTTCCCTGTTCTTGAAGAACACATGTGTCCAATAATGCATTCGTGGTAGTAAAGCCTAGCACCACTCATGAAAACCGATGCTTCATTTTTGGGCTCCGATTTTCCGAGTTTTTCAGTAGTTTGTTGTTTTCAGATGAATCCGTTGCATACCGTTCCAGTATTAGACGACGATGGATTTATTGTAAGTGACAGTCATGCCATTATGACATATCTGGTGTCAAACTACCGCAAGGGAAGTTCTTTGTATCCAGAAGATGTCAAGCAGCGGTCTTTGGTGGACCAAAGATTATATTTCGATAGTGGAACTTTGTTTGCAAACCATATTAGAGTTTGTGTGAGTATACTATTATTACTCCTACGATCCTTCAGAAATAAGTATTACATCTTTCCATACAAAAAAGCAACTCAATAACATCTACACATCTTTACATTAATTACACACTCCGGACATTACTGAAATTAATACTTTATAGATCACTTCCACCATCCCTATTCGCTCGCTTTCTTCACTGTCAACTGTCGTTGACAGTGTCGTTGACGAATTTGAGTTCAGCGTCCATCTGATTTTTCAATATTTGATCAATTTTACAGATTCCTATACTTTACAAAGGAGCCAAGACCATATCTCCAGATTTACTGACAGCTTTGACAGAGGCTTATGGTGTCTTGGAAGAGTATCTTCAAAACAGCAACTACGTTGCTGGTGATGATCTGACTATCGCAGACTTCAGCATCTGGACAACAATCACGAATTCCTCTGCTTATTTGCCAGCCGAAGAAGACAAGTACCCACACATCGCATCTTGGTTGAAACGAATGGAAGAAACGCCAAATAATGATCTGAATAAATCTGGCGGAGATTTTATTAGAAATGTATTCAAATCTATTCTGTCTTAGAGAGTATATTGGAAAATCAATAGTGCTTCTATTAATTTCAGTTGTGAGTCATTGTCGAACACACTCGATTCATTTTATCGGTTGAATTTGAAAGAAGGGCAACCAGTACCTTGTGAGAAATACTTTTTTTGTCGTAAATTGTTCACCTTAGTTTTGAGTCCTAGGAAAATCCTTCCTGAGTATAATTTTTGGCAATCTCATTTTGAAATTTGATTGCAGAAAAGCACCATGCGCCCACATCTTCCAACTTTTAGCTGTTAACCCCAAAGTATTGAAAATCATCTGTGGAAGGACGGTTGAAGATATAGATATTTCGATGATATTAAAAAAAATAGGAAGAAAGACATGCAATTTTTTTACATTGACTCAAATTGGCATATGGTGGGCAAATTATTCTATCATTATCATCAACTGATGAACCTGTCTTTATTGTACAAGTATATTGTATATTGAAGTAGCAAACTAGATGAAGCGAAAACTGGGAATGAATTTATAGTACAATTGTTTTAAATGTACGTTCAGTAGGGATATTAGACACGCCCAGAAACGACGCGAGACGACAGGCGATGTGCCCCAGTAGTTGGTTGACAATTGCATAGAAAGTTGATTTGATGTGTCGAGTAAGAAAAAAATACTACTATATAACATTAAATGAACTTTCAATGCAACTGACAACTGATTATTGAGACGCCTGACATAATCTGTCATCCCGCGTTGTTTCTGGAAGTGACTAATATCCCAACAGGACATATATTCTCAACAATGACAGCTATAATGGCTGCTATTTCAATGCACATTTATTTATATATGTTGATTTGTGATATTGATTATTTGAAGTTTATGCAGTTGGTACTAATGAATGTAGGTATATATCTTATTACCTACTACAGTAGTGTTAGAATACTTGAGAATAGTGTAAAAACCGAAACCTTGGTCGTATTAATATCAATTGACATTGAGTAAGTGGAAATTAGACAAAGTATTTAATTTCTATATCTATATCATTTAATATATATGTCGAAATGGGAACATTTGAAATCTTTCACCAAATCAGTTTGATGACTTTTCAGCTTCGACATTTGAAAAATATGCAATTCAAACAGACAATAAAAAATAAATCGTATTTAAGAGTCAGTTGGTTTCATGGTTGATAAAAACTAACTGTCTAAAAGTATATGTTTATTTTGACTTACTAGTACAGGTAATGTATTTTCTAAGAGCAGGTATAGTTTTCTAATCAAGTTTTTCATGGAATAATTGTTCTTAGAGCTAACATATAAAACTTCACAATTTACAAAACATTTTTGAATAAATAAACAGTGAATATTGTATAAAAAATAATCAGGACGAAACGGACGAATACAAAATCTAAAAGTAACAAAAATAATTGGATTATATTTACACTACAGCACATTTATTTCATTGTATTGATTTTTAATGAAAAAAGATTTGATGCAATAAATTGGATAAGCAGAGTTTCTACGTTGTATGATAGATAACCTGAAAAAAATAAATGAATGGGCATTATTGAAAGTATAACTGTAGAAGAATGGAAAATATTCGTTCAACATCTATATAATGCAAATGAAGTTGACTGACAGGGAGGAAGAAGAGTGTAAAGAAACAAATAGGGGACTGAAGGGGAAAAAGGAAAAGACTGGAACGGAAAGAAGGGCAAGAGGCAGTAGTGGGGGGATACGTTACAGTACAGTTACGGAAAAGTACTTTTTGATCATTCCCATATTGATTTCAATTTAAGAGCCATCGGTAGACAGCTGTTTCAGCCTATTGGGCATCGTCAGTACCGGGCAGGCGGTCCTCGATTGAAGGCAAAATGAGAAAAACCAAGAAAGTACTTGATGAAAATAACTGCGTAAACGCAAGCGAAACATAAAAACTTGGCAAGTTGACTTGGGTGTCACACCAGTAGGTGGTTCCACTTATTACGCAGTTATTTTCATCAAGTTCTTTCTTGGTTTTTCTCATTGTCTTCAATCGAGGACCGCCTGCCCGGTACTGACGAAGCCCAATAGACTGAAACAGCTGTCTACCGGTGGCTCTTGAATTGAAATTATTATGGAAATGATATATATATATATATAAATTATTTTTAATTTGAGTATTTCAATCAATATCTGAAATACCCAAACAAATAATTTCAATATCATATTACTAATAATTTTTCACTCACACTTACATTTAAATCTCACTGTATGTGTTAATATTACAATAATCACATTTTCTCTGGTGCTGTAACAAAATTTTCAACGTCAAATTTTTCATTTGACTTTTCGTTTCATGTTTGGATTTATATGCATTTTTTTTATATTTTATACTAACTTTGGTGAGTTTTTGTAACATATCTATTGCTGTATAATTTTCACATGATCTTTATTTTGTAGATATCCTTGATAAAGGAGAACAATATACTTTCCGAAAGCTTGAATAACAAAAAATAGTGTTTCCATAGCGCGCAGATATTGACTGAAATGAAATGAAACAATTCGTGGACATAACACTCCAAAAAGGGGGGCAAACCGCGGACACGTGTTTCTGGCTATTGGCCTCATCAGCGCGGTGCAGCCAAGTATAAAGATGGGCAACACTTGTTCGCCGAAATCAGGAAACAACACAAACGCACGGAGTCAACAACAGGAGCCAACCGCACATTTGTGGTTCCAGTTAGAAGACCTAGAATTGCCAGGCTACATCTAACACGACCACGTAGGCAACTATAGCTACCTGCGTGACATCCGGGTCCAGGATATAAATACAAATGATGATTTCATCGAGTGGGCATGCTATAAATCAAAAATGAAACAATTCGTGGACATAACACTCCAAAAAGGGGGGCAAACCGCGGACACGTGTTTCTGGCTATTGGCCTCATCAGCGCGGTGCCTACGTGGTCGTGTTAGATGTAGCCTGGCAATTCTAGGTCTTGTAACTGGAACCGCAAATGTCCGGTTGGCTCCTGTTGTTGACTCCGTGCGTTTGTGTTGTTTGCTGATTTCGGCAAACAAGTGTTGCCCATCTTTACACTTGGCTGCACCGCTCAGGAAAAAAGTATTGTATTGTATTGTATTGTACATATTCATTGAGATATTGAGCTACAAAAAACATGACATTAAAACATACAAAAATATATTTAATACTTCTCTCACCCTTGAATCATTTTCAATCATTAGTTCACCGCAAACTGTTATTTTCAGCAAAAGGTATTGCATTCATCTTCCCAAGCCACTTCGTGATATTTGGATACATGATGGGATTCATGACACGATAACTCATAACATTTGCTAAGGTCGTCCAAATACAGATATCCGCGATTGTTACATTATCACCAGCCACAAAAGCACTTGATAAAAGAAACAGTTCCAGTTGATCTATAGCTGCGCCTAATCTAGACTCTTCCCAAGCCTTACCAATCGCTGGACCCGAACGAGTTATCTGGAATATGAATAAAAGTGATGTCTATTTCAAAGATGGCGGAAAATACGAAAGTTTTGAATAGTTTTTCTTTTGCTACATGAAGTCCCGATGATCAAGATGAGCATATTAAACTCAATTAATATAAAACAATACTTTATTTACGAAATTTGTAATAGTACATTTTTAGAGAACTAGTAAACAACAAAATTGCCTCACAAAAAACCAGTAATAAAGAAAAAAATAATAGCATTGTAGCTTCGATAAGTATGTTGGAGGGTTAAATTGACACTAGGTGATATGTGTTGGCACAATCATGTCGCTGGAATTGCAAAGGCTGCTTCTCAAAAGCCTGGAACACTGTTCCGGACCAGAAAACTACTCACCTCAGCAACTTTTGATGTTTCATAAAGCTCAGATCAGACCTTCTTTGGAGTATTTTTCTCATGAATGGGGCACTGCCCCTAAACAAACCCTGAAGTTGCTTCACAAAGATCCACCATTACTTGGTGGATCTTTGAAGTATGCAGACGTATGTTTGTACATGGACAAGCACTTGATGAAACCCTATATCGTGCATTCACACACACACAAACCAACCAAAAGTAATTACGTCATTATGTCACAAACACACACAAAATTTCATATGAAAAAATTTTGAATGATTCATGCACCAGGCACTTCAAGGTCACATCGCCTTGATGTTACTAAACAACAAAAAAAAAGCAATTAATACGTCATAGTGGTGGGGGGAGTAACACAGTTCTCGGCTGCCTGCGTGTCATCATCGATAGCGAGGCTAGAGCGACGCGTTACGTCACAGCCTTCGCGCATCCAGAGAGGTGAGGGCACACCGATGAATACGCATTACTCAGCGACACGTCGTGGAGTGAACATCTCGCTCTCTTACCGTTGAACGGTTGCTACTGCTGTGATGTCACACCACTACTAACTTGGTGGGCTCACACCAATGGAACATTCATTACTTGGAGGATCTTTGAAGTATGCAGACGTATGTTTGTACATAGACAAGCACATGATCATGTGACGTATGCAGAGGTCATTTCGATGTTAATGTGACCCGAGACAGACTGAAATCACAAGGTCAACCCCCAAGGTTATGCGACTTTGAACATTGTTCGAAATAGCTATGAAAATATGAAGTGTGATTGAAAGTCATTCAAAGTCAAACCCAAAACACTACCTCAAAGTCGCCTTATCCTTATTACCTTGTGACGTACGTTAAGGGTGTAACGTAGATTGAGGTCGAAGCCAACTCGATGCGTCGAACACAGGCGCTCCCCACCACCAATTCCAACTCGATGTGTTGACAGAAGGCGATACAAGCAAACAGTGGTCGTTGAAACTTCACGGAGTGCAGACGTGTACGCTCTCTGTCACGATGGGTACCGTCCAAACTGGTTAAGAAGGACTGCTCATCAGTCGATGGATCTTCGTGGTATTCAGACGTGTGTTTATTCTGTACAAACAGGTACAGAGTACACATGAAGGACAATATAAAACCCTGACTTTACCATGTATGCAATCTAGTTCCCTAATCTCAAAGTTGAATTCCATGTTCAAGGTCATGAACATAAATGAAAAATGTAAACCCTGTACCGTGCATTCCCACACACCAACCAAATGTAATTACGTCACTACACACACACAAAATCTCATATGAAAAAAAACATTCTGAACGATCCATGCACCGGACACTTCAAGGTCACATCGCCTTGATGTTACTAAACAACAACAAAAAAAGCAATAAATACGTCATAGTGGTGGGGGGAGGCCGAGAATCAGCTGTAAACATCTACTACTGGAAGTTGCTGGATTCCATCCAGAAAAGAGGCATCCGCCTGATTGGAGACCCTAACATCACGTGCAACCTTGATAGTCTAGAACATCGAAGATACTTTCACAAGTGTTCAAGTGACTTGGTACAGTTGATTCCACCAAGAGCGGTACATATCAGAACTATGCGAAGGGTTGTGGCTGCTCATCGTTTTGAGGTTCAACTCAGTACATCTCGAATTTCACTGTTTGAGAACTCTTACATTTGGAGAATCGCGTTTTTGTGGAATAAACTTCCTGAGGTCATTTTTCCAAATGGATTTAATCTCCAGCGATTCAGATCCAATGTGAATGGCTACTTTCGCACAGGCGCTCTTAGAACGTCTCAAGGACTTTCCTGTAGTGCTTGTGTTTTCTCCTTAAAAAACAAACCGGCCTTCAAATATACTCATATTCGGATTTTTGAATAGTCAACATTTTTTCTTTCCAACACCTCCTGTAAAAGTATCGTGTAGCCTCGGGAAGAGGTGGAGATCCTTACATTGGGGCAACCTTTGTAAAAAAAGCATCAACCGTGGCTGGAGTTGTGTCACAGTGTTTTCCAAGTTCCTAAGAAGCTGACTTTTCCATTCCAGTAACGAGATTCTCCAAAGACTTATAATTATTCAATTTGACATCCAATAAACCGATGTAGTTGACGGAATTGATGTCCTGATATTACAGAGTCTGTCAATGTCTTGTTGAGGTACATTTGCCCATTCAGCGATTAAAAGCTCTCTCAATTGAAACGTTGTTTAGCCGAAAACCTACAGTTTGTAAAAAACTTGATAAAAGATTAGTTACCGTTTTTGCAGGCTTTGTTCAACCCATAGAAATCTACAGGGTGGTCGAGTGTACCAATTTAATCGAAATTAAACGACCTCATACATTTATTTTTATGATATTTAGTATGTTATAAAAATATCCCCAGACTTTTCCGATGTGTGTATATTCTTTCTTAAATTGCTCCCTTCCACAAACAGAAGCACTGTTAACCAAATCCGAATATTGAATTGAGAAATATAAAACTACCAGAAATATATTCATAGCTGAACAGCGACGTTGAAATTTCACGTCCCTCATCATTTTCTTCCCGAATCGGTAAGTCGTCCATCCTTTCCAGCCAACTGGCAATATTTGGATACTCATCAAGATTCAGTTGTTCGTATGTCATCACATTCGACAGGGTTGTGTAAATGCTGATATCCGCGATTGTCATACGGTTTCCAGCAACGAATAAATGATTTTCGAGGAAGCCTTCAATAGTGTTGAACGCTTCTATCAGTCTCGGTCTTTCAATTAAGAGGGTATCCTCGTGATTATAATATATTGACATCTGAAACAGAAAACGATTAGTGTAGTCCAGGTGACAGGCCAGCGAAATTAAAACAAGTATAGTCGAAGTAACCTGTATTGTGAATAATTAAAAATATCGGCATCTCAAAGGCCAAAAAAACCAATACTGTACAATGCCGCTGCCAACTAGTCCACGTGAACTAGTTGGCAGCGGCATAAAATTAAATTTGAAGTCATGTTACTGTGACGAATAGAATGTGTGGATGAGTATCGCCGTTGTGTCGTCAATGTTCAGTTCAGGAACTGATCGCGATTTGAGTGTTGAAATTCGATATTGTTGCAGTTATAAATACTCAAAATGTTTGTTATCTGTTGAAATGTGGCGTCCTTGGATAAGTACTAATAGTAATAACGAATGTGCGGCCATTATTATGATGTGCAAAAAAATTCGACATTTTGAAATACTCAAGCGCGTCAGATTAAGATATATATTGTTCATCTTTATGTTTCAGACGTGCTGTCTCTTAATCTGACGATTATCTAGAGGGATTCGCTTAATCTGACAAAAACAATATTTTTTTTTAATTACGTCACTCTCAAATTGTCAGATTACTGGAATATACACTTTTTAGCAGGTAATTAACTCACCCTACCTTAATCTGACGCGCTCGAGAATTTTTGATGATCAATTTTTTTTACTAATCTGATCCTTCATCCCTCACAGGCGGCCTTATATATGGGGCTCATATTTGTTGGAATCACTTAACCGGGTACAAGGTATCCCCCTGTATATTAATCTGCCGCGCTTTAGTAAATCCCGAAATTCCCGTTTGGGCTCACCTATTATAAAGGGTGTTCATTTTGATATTTGTATTTCTTCAATTTGTCACATAAATCCAAAGCACAACAAGAAATGATTCAATAATTTAGCATGGATTTGGTAGCCATTTGCATTTCCTTTCAAAATAACATGAAATATAATAATTTTTTTTTACTTCAAAAAAGTACAAGCTCATAAAGAAGTGACCATCTAATTGTTTTTAGGAGTGTATCTATATGAATCATTATTATTATTTTCCCCGAAGGTTGAGCTGGTCAGTCTCCGTCCCCGAAGTCCCGATTTATTTGGGAAGACGTGATCACTCTATACACCGTGACGTAGGTGATCATTGGGTCCGATAAACATGTGCCCAGACGCAATAAGCCACGAACGGTAGTCTTCTGCATTGGTCAATCCTAGATTTCTACCTTAGTAGAAATAAAAATACAATTATACTTACAGCTACTCTAACATGTGTCGCGAATAAAAATCCTGATTCAAAAAATAGTTTCTGATCTACCATGGCTCTCTCATAAACATTGTCTGGGTACATAGAGCGGCTCTCACTATATTTCGTCACTAGATATGCCATTATCGAGTTACTGTCGTAAAGCAAAAATCCATCGTCATCTAGAACTGGAACTGTGTAATGCGGACTCACCTGAAAAGGAAGACTGAGACAGGTAGGATATACAGAACATTCATAAATTCCCTTGCTCAATAAATCTCGAGTTTCGAATCTGATAGAGTTGTCTTTCCCTCAAACTTTATCCACAGTTGACGTGAGTTTTCGTGAGGGGGCGCAGTCATCGTGCTCAAGGCAATTCTGCCACTTCCTAGTTTTCTAATACATTTTTCGTTCAGTTGAAAACATCACCATTTTTTTACACCTGTATACAGGGCTTTTCATAATGAGCGTTAGCCGTTTCTGGTAAACTATTCAACGGATCAACCACTGTATTCCACTGTATATTACTAAAATATTACTAAGTATAAAAAAAAAATGTTGAATGTCCATAATAAGTAATGAATTCAAAAAAACGGGCAAGAAAACCACGTCAGTTTCCGTTTGAAACAGTTTATCTCGAAAACAGTTCAAAATAGAAATAGGGTTGTTACTCACCCTCGCTAGGGGGTTGAAGGCACAGGTAGAAAAATACATCTAAAATGTGTCCCCCTCAAAAGCAAAATTGACCTGTCCGAGCATTTTTGCGTTAAGTTACAAAAAAAGGAGAAAAGCAAGGTGCATATTTTCCGTTGGACCACTCTGTATATATTTCCAAACGTGACATCTCTATCAGCCGAAACTCAAGCTTAATATTTAGTTACTACAGCGTAGGTACTTGGTGAATATACAAAAATTATCACTTACCGCGATGAACTCCTGAGTTGTGACTTCTCCATTAACAATGTCCACCATCATCATTTCTACTTCTACGTTTAAAAGTCTTGCACAAGCTAAAATCGCTCTAGAACCGGGACATACTACCGTCATGAAAAGTTTTATAGCCATAGTTTCATGTGATAAATGGAACGAAAACAGGATTTGTCGAAAAGTCACTAGATGAGAAACACTGGACATCCAAATAGGTTAAAAGTTTTTGTCGAAACAATTCAGAAAAACGAAAATATGATTTGAATGGTCACAGGGCCGGACTTGTACACATTTGACTGAGTAGCCAACAAATAGTTTGTGGAAAACCATATGACAGATTATTACAAAAAAAAATCAGAATTATTTCGTTTAGTGGTAGTTACATGTTCAATATTTTTCAGGTGGTTGAACAATCCGCTTCATAGAAGAGAAAAATTCAATAGAACTGGTCGATACTTGATGGAAATCCATATTAAAAAAATAATCAATAGTGTTTATTGTATGATTTTCACTATAAGGGTTTTACAAAAACTGCTTCTTCAAGCATAACTGAGAGTTACTTCTAAATTACACCATCATATACTATAAACTAGTACCTGAATAATATTAGTAGTACCTAAATAATAAATCTACCTGAAAAAGACAGGTATAAATACATTTTTCGAAAGTCTACCTGTAAATATACCTAACTATTTTTACCTGCGAATGAACAGATTCAATAATGGCGAATTATTCAATTCAGTTTGAGATTAAATGACTGGCATATGTGGAATTTGTTTTTCCATTCTGAAAACTATATTTGTGTTCCTTCATGCGGGTATTGAACGTCCTTCCAGTTTGACCTATATAAAACATCAGACATGACCCACACGATAATTTATACACTCCTGATTTTTCTGAAACTTAACTTTTATTTTTGTTATTTTTAATGTGCATGCCCAAATTTGTTGTTGGTTTTGAAAGCAGTCTTTACACCTTTGCTGTGCAGAAAATCTGAAATATTTGTAGTGGGTTGGCGTAAGTAGGTTAAGGTTCTATAACTTTTATCCTCTTCTCTTTGAATTGGGTAAACTTCTTTCAAATCTTGACTGTATAACTTTTTTGATAATAAAGAATGTATCAGACCACTATCATAATCATTGTTGACGGCTATTTGCTTTATTATATTCAGTTCTTCATTGAAATTCGCTTCTGACAAGGATACATTTATCAGCCTGTCGATCATACTGTTGAAAGCTGCTACCTTATGCTGGTATTGGTGAGTGGACGAATTATGAATGATAATATCTGTATGTGCCGGTTTACGATAAATTGAAAAATCATGTCTGTTCTTATCTTTTGTTATTGTCAAGTTCAAAAAATGTATATATTCGTCCTGTTTCATCTTCACTGTGAATGTGATAGGAGGGTGGAGAGAATTGATGAACTTCAAAAAGTTTGTCAACTGTCTGTTCGTTCCTGTGAAACATACCAGGATATTATCCACATATCTATACCAATACAGGAAACTTCTTACCAGTGGGTTGTTGTGTTGCAAGAATAGTTTCACGGAAATACATGTGGTTGCTTATGCAAACGACACCAACTTCTCCATCAAGGAGAGTAATGCAATAGCACTTGCAGAGAAAATAGACAATGTCTATGAGCAGGTAGTAACATGGGCGAAAAAAAATCAACGAAAACATCATTAGTGAAATTCTCGCTGAATTCTGCTCATGGCGATTTTAGCATTTATGAGAACGAGGAGTTGTATGTTGAATGTTGCTCTACAACAAAGATGCTTGGCCTTACACTTGACTACAAGCTCAGCTGGATCCCTCACATTGAAAGTCTTTGCGACAAACTCCGCAGAAATTGCTATGCGCTAAGAGAACTATTGCTCGTATAGGATGGAGGCAATCGTGTAGAAACATTTTCAAAGAACTCAAAATACTCACTGTTGCGGGTATTTATACTTATGAATTATGCATATACATGTACAAGAATGGTCATAATTTTATATCTAATCAGCATAAATACCCGACCCGCTCTAAAAACTTATAAATACCTCATATGCACCGAACCACCATATACCAAAAAAGCCACCTTTTTCTTGGACCAAAATTTTACAATAAGCTTGATGATTCGGTAAAGAATGTGCCAAATGTCAATATTTTTAAATCATGACTGAAAGCTGTTCTCATAGAAAAAAATTGCTACACCCTTGAAAAATTTTAGGTTAGGTGTTTTTTTTGTCTTCTTCAAGGTTCTTGTCACTATTCGACATTACCATTATTTTAAACTTTTCAATTATAACCACTACTTTTATGTGTCTATACAGTGTGTCCAAGATAAGGATCCTAAGCATGGGAATCTCAGTACCTGTTGGAGATACAGCTTAGGTTAAATAAGGAAAAAGTTGTGATCTTTAAAGCTTATTTACATACCGTTTAGAAACTTGAAGAATTTTCATGGCCTGCTGAGATATTTGGGAAAAACGAGAATTTGACAATATCAATTTTATTTTTTTCTGACTTTATTTGAAAAGATATCAAAAAACGAATAACACTTTTTCATTGGCACTTTCAAGGTACTACACGATGGTATTTTTAGTTTTTATATCCGACGTTTCGTTTTCAAAA